TCAGACTTTGATGGACGAGCAAGATGCTATTGCGAGGAAGAACGTCAACACCAACAAGAACGGTAAGTCAAGTGAGCCATATATCGGGAGGAGGCTGGACGCTGATGAGGCACCCTGATAGCCGCAAAGGCTGCTTTGCGTCGCAAGAAGGGCCATGAGCACAGCCTCGAGCAGACAATCTCGCAAATTACGACACTCGAGTCCCAGATCAATGCCATCGAGTCGGCGAACATCAACAGGGAGACGCTGCTGGCAATGGAGAAGGCTGGCCAGGCCATGAAGGGCATTCACGGCAAGCTTACGGTCGACAAAGTGGACCAAACAATGTACGTGTCTGAAATGCGTGGTTTGCGTTGGCGGTCGATGGAGCGAATACTTACACGGTGGGGACAGGGAGGATCTTCGCGAACAGAATGCGCTCAGCGAGGAAATCGTCAACGCCATTACGACGGGCCAGACAGACAACATCATCGACGAGGATTTGGAGGACGAGCTGGAAGCTATGCAGCAGGAGCAGTTGGACGAGCAGATGATCAGCACTGGTTCAGTGCCAGTGTCGGATGCTGTACATCGGATGCCGGCTGCGGCGAACGGAGAGAGTAAGGAACCCCTTGCTCGGTGCGTCAGATCGGTAGCTAACAGGCGTGAACCAGTCAAAGGCAAGGCGCCCATCGCCGAAGAGGACGACGAGGAGGCCGAGCTCCGCAAGCTGCAGGCGGAGATGGCCATGTAAGAGGCTACATGCGTCAGACGATCTTGCGGGGATGGTCGAGAGCGATGGCATAGCATTCGTGGTCTGGAACGGGGCTCCCGGAGGCTTGCATGGACCTGTGATACGGAGGTGTGAATGAAGGCAAAACCACATCTGCTCGGAGAAGCGGACTTTGCACGACATACACGACATCAGCCCGCGCACGCTTGTTGATTTGAAGCGACGACAACTCTGGAGCAGCCTCTGTTCACACGTTTCTCGGGTACCGTGGGCCCTTTTTTTCAGACCTGTTTACTGGCGTTGGCGTTTTGGGATACGCGGGGTGCCATTTCATGGGAACCTCGTGGTTGTGGAGGTTGACGGGAGTTTGGCAAGCTTTTCTGGGTTGCTGGAGTGGCAGTTTACAAGTCTCCGAGTACTACGCGCGCGTCTTTTTCCCCATAGAACACATATTGACCGTTGTTGAGGAGCTAGGCTAACTAGCCATTGGGACCATGTGCAGCGTGCAGTGTTGAACCTCTCTCGGGATGATGGGTTTGCTTGGCTAATGCACCAGAGACGCAGGCGGAAAGCAGCGGTGTCTGGCTCGGTGAGCGAACGGTCAAGACAATGGACGACGGTCCACCTGAAGTGGCACGAAGTTCGCTGGTGTTAAGGGTCCACATGACCGGGTCCGGGACAGGAGCCACCTCTCACGTGTCTCGGCACACCGCCAGTCGCCAGGAGTGACCGATCGCCGGCCGGGGCGTCCAAAGCCACGATCATCTCTCCCGTATGAGTATCCGATGTTGTGATGGTGGGTGGGTGTTGCTGTTGCGGGAGGCCTCGGCTCGAGTCAGGGCCAGAGGCGGGCCTGTCTGCTCTGCTGTACAAGTACATAGTAGTATTCGACCCTCGGTGTGAAACAGGGTTCATGTCACTGCGATAAATGTGTAGACTCGGTTGTCAGTAAGAAGCAAATGAGGCTTTCCAGTTGGATCAATGCAAACACCTTGAATATCGTACGGCGGTGCATTGCGGATGGAGCAATAGTCCAAGATCAGGGCGGTCGAGCGCTCCAGAGAGCCTGCAATGAGCAGCCGGCCAGACCTGCTGTAAGGAACAGAGGCTGAAAAGAGTGGACATGACAGAGATACTTTGAAAGTATTTTCTGGCAAGACCAGCACCAACTCGTCCTGATTCTGAGCACAACGGGGATACCGATACATGTCTCTTATCGAGGCCCACTTGCGTTGTTTAAGAGGGCACCTAAGCACAGGCTTGTCAGGCACATCAGACGCTAGAAGGATGCCCTGAGTTGTCTTATCGCGGGGCAGGGAGATGCAGGTGTCAACCACTGCCCAAGGACACTAAACTACTCGGCGGCAAGGGGACAACGTCTTTCCCAACCCGCTGGCGCTGTGACGTGACGACAACAACGGCAGCCCAAGGCTTCCTTCGCAAAGAAAATTACTGAAACCATCTTCCCTGGCGAAAAGCTCGCCAACCCAAATTTCTTTCGCCTTTCCCTTCCAGGTTCCCTGCAATTGTTCATGGATGGTCGTCCTTCAAGACTTCATGATAAACAACACAGCCATTCGCGATCGAGTGCGTGTTGCCTCCGCGCACGCATCGCGAGACCGCGATATTGGCGATCGATTAGCGGCTCTCTTGACCCTCCCTGTTGTACGTGATGAGTACGTCGTGCTTCTGGTAATATCACACAGGGTACGTAGCGATTTCGGCATCGTGATGCCTTCGCCCAGAAGCTCGATGTCTCTTTAGCCCAACTACCAACTCCACATGTCCAGCACCGCTCTCCACGAGACAGACGTCGTCGGCCCAATACCACCAGCCATGTCGTTTGCGTTTCTCTCGGCGCCCAACCTCCTCCGACTTGTAGGGCACATCACTTCCTCTCGTCCTGTCCACTGTGTAGTCGGGCCAAGTTGGGTGCTTGCAGGGCACCAATGACACCGGCAGCACCGGCTACATGACTGAACTGCATGGCGCACTGCAAATCTGTTCGGGCCAGACTGGGCTACTGCACTTCTCAGACACCGTCGTCGGGAGGAGCCATGCCATGCCATCCCGTCCCATCCCACCTTGCGATCATCAGGCCCAACCTCTGCTAACCTCACCACCAGTCGAACGTGTCCAAAGCCTCCCCGGCTTTCAGCCTGAGCTCTCGCCTTCCGCCTGTGGTGGATAGGCTACAGACCGGCATTTCCACGACATATACAGACCATCTTGCTGACATGGTCGCGACTGGTTTCTCATTCACATCTGTCCCTGGATCAATGCCTTTGCTGCCAACCGATGTACGCAACCCGAAAACTGCCCGGTACAAAGGCCGCCGCCTGACCCAGCCCCCACCCGCCACTCATCTGTGGGTGCCACTGTCACTGTCACTGCAGTCACATCCGCCCCTCCCGCCAGCCGTGGTCCGGCCCTCTGCTACATGGATCTTCAGAGGCGAGCCTCAACCAGGCGAGCCACGTTGCACATCGCTGACCGGGGGTTTAATGGCCGATGAGAAACAAGCCGCGTCTCTAAACCCACCACTGACACACCTGCCGCCGAAGAGCGACTCTTAGACTCCTAGTGTCTGGAAGCAAATTCCCTGCCGACACACATATCGAATATACTGCGTACATCGTACACACGGGCAGGACGTCTCTCAACGCCGACTAACCGCATGTAGCCAGACCGCGGCTTCTCCCTCGTCCACCCTCTTTTTCTCGAACAACGGATGACAGGATGGTTGGGGTCACCCTCCAATGCGGCCCAGGTACCACCCTTCCGTCGGCAATCGTTTCCTTTTTTCTTACCAAGGACGATGAGGGCTTTTGCAAGGATCCGCCTGGCTCCAGTGGACCGGCCCATCGACGTTGCTTGCCCCGACCGCCCCACACGTGCGTGTGCGCTGGGCCAGACACCAACGACCAGCACAGACAGCCATTATTAGCTCATAACCGCTGAGTGGACGGACGGACGTTTGCCAGCTTACACTTCATCAAAGTCTAGAATAATCCCCTCGCTGCAGGGGGGGGACTGGACGACCTAGACCTCTTAGGGCTCAGCATGCCGCATTACTCTCGGAATCTTGAGGACTGTTGCTGGAGGTTGTTCGCTCGGCATTGGCTTATTGGTGGTCTGCCTCTCTTCTCAAGCAGTTTCTCACCACAAGGCCGGCTCAAGTCTTTCCGTTCTTGTTAGTCTTTCGTACCAATATCGGGTCTCGTGGGTAAACGTCAAGTGAGTTGCCTCATCGGTGAAAGAATCTGACCCGAGTGACCAGGGGAGAGAAAAACAATCCCCAAGATTTCAATGCGTGGCAGGCAATGCCCTACGAAACTACGAAAAGGGATAAGACCGCAAAAGTAGAGTGCATATCCTGGAAGAAATCACCGGCATTCATGCCCGGCCTCGTCAAGCCCGTCTCTTTATGCGGGTTGGCCGCTCGCTTCCAAATCGAATCAGTCGTTGGGCAGCCATCATCCCTCCTCCATGTCTCCATGTCCGTCCGATGTGTTCAACCACCAAGGCTGTCTCTCCTGTCTCGTCCCCCCATCACACCATTCACCAAGTCATTCAAGCTCCCCGGTCCCAAAAGCCGCACTCCCCCAGTCCAACCCAAATGCGACGTGGCGCCAGTGCTCCTCCCGCCTCACTCAAGCCAATGGCCCTCAAGCACGCACGACATTGATCACTTGGACTCTAGAGACTGCCCGATTTTGTCTCCATTCGTGGGGACTGCGTGGGGTAAGACTGCGTCAGGGTCCCCTTACTCCCGCGCCTTGAACCCTGCCACCAGCCAGTGATGCTTGTGATGTTTGGCACCGCTGGGAAAGCTCCCCCCTGCTTTTCCTCCCACAGCTCGGCCCAATTGAGCCCTCCTAGGGTCGCCGTGGTCCAAGGCGCATCTCGTCACTCTTGGTCCTTATTTCCCATCTCTATCCGTCGTCAAGTTGAGACAAGAAACCTGATGCTTCCTTGTCGTAACCATCAATTGCACTTTTGTCTGTTGTTTACACCACGAAGACCGTCTCACAGGCGACGAGATACCATTCTGTACTTGCTTTTGAGTCTCGCGATACCCGCCCAAGAGACTCGAACTTCTCACTCCGGTTTGGGCACCGCACATCAACAAGATTACAAACCCCTATCAAAAGAATAAGTCTTGAGTTTATTCTTCACCAAATCCCATCGTCCCCTTGCACACAGACAGCACCAGACCACCTACCCTGATTCGCATTGATCAGCTGCTACGAGACAAGGACCCCCATAAACACTAGGTCCCGGAAGCATGAATTCGGAAGAGCCAGTCGATTACTGCCCTTACCGGCAGAACCTTGACTGGAGCCAGGTCCAAACCCAAGACTTCTCCAAAGTCAAGTACTTTCAACCTTCAGATTCCGAATTGGAAAATGGTAAGATACCTGCTTTAGATTGCATTTGGCCTTGCGTTTGCGCCTAACTCGGCCAACTTATAGACGGCGACGTATATGCCAATGGCGTGACATATCCCTCGCAACCTGCCCAGGCAAGCAGCAAGAAGAGCAAGAAAAAGGCCAAGAAAGACAAGAAGGCAATACAATACACTTACGACGAGCCGTCAACTGCTGCTCCCGAGATCCCCACCCCGGAACCGCCTCACGACACCGGCGTAGCCGAAGACGAGTGGTCATCAGCACCTCCCAAGAAGGACAAGAAGAAGAAGAAGAAGGGCAAGAAGGAAGAAGCCGCTGTTGTTTCTCCTGTGCCCCCTCCGCCCCCTCCGCCTGTAGAACCAGAGTATGAGCCGGAACCTGAGCCCGAGCCCGAACCCGAACCAACAAAACAGGAGGAAGTCACTATAGAGGAGGCCCCGACATCTCCAGTCAAGGCGAAAGAATCTTCGAAAAAGGACAAGAAGGACAAGAAGAAAGACAAGAAAAAGAAGAAGGGCAAAAGTGGCAAAGAAGCCGAGCCAGAGCCGACTGAGAGCTCCAAATCGACTCCTTCGCCACCACCGCCGCCGGCTGAAGCGAAGCCAACGAAGATGGACGAATCCATGATTGACCCCAAAGAGGAGACCTCTGCTGTAGAGCCTGCGGCTGAAACCGACCCCGTTGTTGACCGAAGTCTCGACGAGCCCGTCAACGAGAAGAAGCAGGAGACAGATGCATCAGCGGCTGCGGCTGCCGCTGTTGCTGTTGCTGCCGCGGCGGCAACGGCAGCCGCGGTAGTCAGTACCGACGAAGACGCCACTGAAGCCCCCGCCGTTGCATCAACGGAAGTCGAAGAAGATGCCTTGGGCGATGTTCCAGCTGCTCCAGCCGCTCCAGCCGACCAACCGGAGACAACACCTGAGATAGCAGAGCCCGAATCCGAAGGTCCCCTTGAGGAGACTCCTGTAGAAACATCAACATCGGAAGAAGCAGATGCCGCCGAGGCCCAAGTCAACGACACAACTTCAGCCGAAGGTGCTCCCGAAGGAACGAGTGAAGCGGAGGCCGACAAACCATTGGGAGACGCACCCGAAGGTCCTGCTGCAGTTGAGGAAGCCCCCGTTACTTCAGCAGATGCTGAGCCTGAGGAGCCCGAACCCGAAGCAGATACAACATCGGAACCTCCAACTGAAGCTCTTACGAAAGACAAGCCCGATGAGCTTGCACCTACAGAGGCCATTCCAGAAGCTCCTGCTGAAGCTGAGACTGAGGTCCCCGCTTCTTCCGAGGAACCGACAGGCGAAACTGCACCAGAACCTGCTGCCGAGGAACCTACACCTGCTGCAGAACCTCCGACTGAGACCTCAGCCGAGTCTAAGTCAGAGGAGCCTGAGCCTACCGAAGAGGAAGCCGCCGATGCAACGGTCGAGTCTGACGATGCTGCACTAGCTGAAACTAAGAACGACGCCCCTTCTGCCTCAGAAGAGGCCGTGGCTGAAGTATCGGCAGAGGACAAGCCTGAAGATGCTGCTCCCGCAGATGAACCGGCTGCCACGGAAGATATCGCACCTGTAGGGACGGAAGCGGATGCCTCGGTCGAAACCGAGCCCGTGGGGCCAGCTGCTGAAGCTTCGGATGATGCCAAGTTGGACGAACCTGCGAAGGATGCCACCACCGATGCAGTAGTTGAGACCAACGCGGAAGAAGCTGCGTCTTCAGATGAACCAGCGGTCGAAGTTACTACGGAGGCTCTCGCTGATTCTTCTGCTGATGCTCCCGCTGACGTCAAATCTGAAGATGCTGCTCCTAAGGAAGCATCTACAGAGCTTGCCCCTGAAACTATTACGCCTGTTGAGCCTGTAGTCGAGGAGGCATCTGAGGCCAAGATGGATGATAGTCCTCCTGTAGATGTGCCGGCACCTGAAACCCCAGTTGAGGCGAAGACTGAGGAACCAGCTCCAGCTGAACCCTCAACTGAAGCTGCTGAGGATGCGAAGTCTGACGAACCGGGGTCAGCGGAGACCTCGTCGGGTGAGCCGACTGTAACCGACGCAACATCAGCTCCATCAGAACTTGCACATGAGGCCACCAAGGAGGGAGAAGCGGCCGGCTCTGAAACAACAGAGGCTGAAGCAGCGCCTATAGAAGATACTCCAGCTGCTGCCGCTGCCGAACCTCCTGCGCCTGAAGAAGCCGAGGCACCGGGCGCCGCTCCGACGGAACCATCAGCTGAAGTTGCTGCCGCAGAGAGCGCTCCCACTCCTGCCGAGGAGGACAAGACTGAGGACGCTTCCGAGAACGATACTTCTGGGCCAGCAGCTGTGGAGCCAGAAGAGCCAGCACCTGCTGCAGAAGAGGCAGAAGAGTCTGCAGATGATCACGCGAAGTCTGAAGAGCCAGCAGCGACTGAACCAGATGCATCTCCTGCAACATTGGAAGAGGCACCCACAGATGATCTTCCTGTCGAGGCGACCGCTGTGACGAACCCTCCCGCCGAAGACCCTGCTTCCACGGATCCTGTTGAGCCAAAGGAGGAGGCAGTAACCACCGATGCTGAACCTGCAGCCTCACAAGAGGATAGCGTTGTCGCTGAGCAAGACGCCGGGGCGGAACCCGAAGTGGCTGCTCCCGAGACGGTTGTTGACGAGTCCAAGTCTGAAGGTCCCTCTACTGTTCCAGAGCCAGCGACAGCAGAGGTAGCATCCTCTTCGACAGATACAGAAACTCCAGCTTCTGACGCCGCGGACGAAAAGATTGAAACGCCCGCTACCGCTACTGAACCAGCTAATGAGCAAGAGGCCACTCCGGTTGCGGAGACGGCGCCTGTGAGTGAGCCTGCTGAAGACAAGAACATGCCTTCAGTCAGCGAGGCAACCGAGACGTCGGTCGAAGCGGCGCCTGTGTCTTCGGATGTCACTGAATCTGCTTCCGAAGCTACAGAGGCAGACGAGCCGGGATCCGTCACGGAAACCGAGCCTGAGATTGAGGCCGAGGCTCCGGTCGCTGTCGCAGCTGATGCCTCTGAGCCAGAAGAGTTGGAAGCCCTCAAGACAGAAGATGCTGAGGCACCTGAGGCCGAGGCTGAAGAGTCCAAGGATGCTACTCCTGAACCGATCAAGGAGGAGCCCGTTGCCTCCCAAGAACAAGACACTTCGCCCGCGTCGGAAGTTGAACCGAAGGCATCCACGACAGAAGAGCCCGAAGCAACCCAGGATGATCCAGATGCTTCCAAGGAGACCGAGGCTGAAACTTCCAAAGATGCTGACTCCAAAGCGGATGCTGTACCGACTAACGACGCCACGCCCGAGACCTCATCGGACGTTGCTCCCGAAACTACTCCTGAGGCTCCCGCTGAAGCCGAAGATCCAGCTCCTGCCAATGTTGAAGCCGAGGGCGAGCCAGCGGTGGATGACGCTGCGGAATCTGAACCCTCCGGAGAAGCGGCACCAGAGCCTGAGCCCGAAGCCCCCAAGGAACCTGAGCCTGAGGCTGTAGCTGAAGTCGCAGCAGATGCTCTTAAGGAAGCTGAAGCTGAGCCGGCCACTGAGCCGGCGGCCGAGGTCGTCGCAGATGCTGGAGCCGGAACGACCGAGGGCAAGCCTGGTTCACCAAATGAGGCCGAGGCCGATGCCCCTGAGCCAGAAGAAAGTGCAGCCCCAGAGCCCGCCTCCACGGATGCTTCCGCAGATGCAGCCGCCGCAGGTGGTGGGGTTGTCTCGACAGAAGGTATGAACGGTTACGAAATCATTAGTGACGGCAAAGAATTCAGCTTCACCGTGGACATTCTCTCCCCAAGGACCAAGGATACTAAAGAAAAAGCAGAACCAGCAACGGAGACCGAAGAAACCCCCGAAGAATCCAAGGTGGAAGAGCAAACTCCTGATCTTGCCCCAGAAGAGCCCATCACCGCCGCCGCCGCCGCCGACGAAGTCGAGGATAAGACTGAAGCCGCTGAGAGTCCGGCTGAAGCAGCTACGGATGTCGCTGAACCTGAACCTATTTTAGACGAGGAGAAGGCCAATGCCGCAGATGTCGATGCCGCAGATGTCGATGCCGCAGCTGAACCCGCTCCAGATGCCGACGAATCTAAGGAACCCGAGCAAGAAGCCACCACCGTTGAGGCTACCACGCCCGAGCCTGATCCCGCCGTCGAAGATGTAAACTCCGTAGACCCAGAGCCTGAAGCAGAGGCCGCCGTCGAGACCAAAGAAGCAGAAGCAGAGCCAGTCGTTGCAACCTTGGATACAGAGCCTGAACCCGCCACTGAAGTGGTCCTGGAACCGACGGCTGAAGTTGAGGGTGCTGAACCCGATACAGAACCTGTTGCGGAAGCCAAGGATACCGAACCAGAGTCAACATCCGAAGGACAAAACCCAGACCCGCCGACTGATCCAGCTGCGGAGTCCGAACCCGCAGTCGAGCCCTCTACTCCTGATACGGAAGCAGCCGAAGTGAAGGCGGCAGAGCCGGATACGGCACCAGAGAATACTACGGAGGCCGCCGGTGAGAAACCTGAGGCCGACGCGGTTCCTGAGACCGAGGCTACGGAGCCTGAAGCGGCGGATGCATCTGCGGAAGTCGATATCAAAGAATCTGAACCAGAAACAGATGCTGCAGCAGATACCGAGGAACCCGAGACTGAGGTCAAGGTTGAAGCCGAAGCTGAAGCCAATGAGCCTGAGTCCGAGGCACTAGAAGCTGCTCCCGAAGCTGAAGCTAAGGACCCTGAGCCCGCCGCCGAGGTAGAGCCCACTGCGGAATCAAAGGATCCTGAGCCTGAGTCAGAAGCACCCGCCGAAGCGGAGACGAAGCAAGCAGCGCCTGAATCGGAGGCTGCAGCTGAAGAGACCAAGTCAGCCGAGGCAGAGCCAAACGCTGAACTTAATGAGCCCGAGCCTGCTGCCGAGGCCGAAACAGTTCCTGAGGCGAACGACCCCGAGCCTGAGGTGGAGGCAACCCCCGCAGCAGATGTTAAGGAACCCGACTCGGAGCCTGCACCAGCGGAAGAGACAGCCGAAGCCCAAGACCCCGCGACTGCCGCTGAACCTGCCGCTGAGTCCGACGCTACCGTTGAATCTAAGGAACCCGAGCCTGAGCCAGCAGTGGCGCAAGAGACTACTGAAGCCAAACCCGAAGAGCCTACCGCCGAGGTTGAGGCAGCTCCAGAGGCCAGCGATTCTGCACCCGAGCCTGCGGCGGCGGCCGAGACAGAGCCCAAAGAAGCAGAGCCCGAGGCGGAAACTCCAGCTGAAGCCACAGCGGTTGAACCAGAGCCTCCGGCTGAAGTTGAAGCGCCTGCTGCTCCTGAGGAAGCTGCTCCGGAGGCTGCGGAATCTACGGTTGATCCTCCTGCTGCTGCAACGGAGGAAGCTGTTGCGACAGAGCCTGCTCCTGAAGCTAAGGAGCCGGAGCTTGCTGAAGCAGTCGCAGAGGCAGCACAGGCCAAAGTGGTTGAGGAAACCTTGGCACCAGAGCCCGAAGCTGCTGCTGAGCCGACTCCCACCGAGTCTGAATCTCCTGCTGAACCGGAGGCTCCGACTGAGGCCGAAGCACCCACCGAGCCTGAGGCAGCTGCTGAGCCCGAAGCAACTGCCCAGCCCGAAGCACCCGTTGAGGCTGAAGCTGCTACCGAGCCAACCCCTGCTGAGCCCGAAGATGCTGCTGAGGCTGAAGCTCCCGCTGAACCGGAGGCTCCGACTGAGCCCGAAGCACCCACCGAGCCTGAAGCTGCTGCCGAGACCGAAGCTGCTGCCGAGCCTGAGGCTTCTACTGAACCGGAGGCAGCTGCTGAGCCAGCTCCTGCTGAACCAGAAGCTCCTGCTGAGGCTGAAGCTGCCGCCGAGCCAACTCCTGCTGAACCGGAAGCTCCTGCTGAGCCCGAAGCTGCCGCTGAGGCTGAAGCAGCTGCTGAACCAACTCCTGATGAGCCCGAAGCTGTTGCTGAGCCCGAAGCAGCTGTTGAATCAACTCCTGCTGAGCCTGAAGCTCCTGAACCGGAGGCAGCTGCTGAGCCAACTCCCGCTGAGCCCGAAGCTGCCGCTGAACCAACTCCTGATGAGCCCGAAGCGGCCGCCGAACCCAAAGCTGCTGAGACCGAAGCTGTTGCTGAACCCGAGGCTCCGAGTGAGGCTGAAGCTCCCGCTGAGCCCCAAGCAGCTGTTGAACCAACTCCTGCTGAGCCTGAAGCTGCTGACTCCGAGTCAGCTGCCGAGCCCGAAGCTGTTGCCGAGCCTGAAGCTGCCGCTGAACCGGAAGCTGCCGCTGAGGCTGAAGCAGCTGCTGAACCAACTCCTGCTGAACCGGAAGCTCCTGCTGAGCCCGAAGCGGCCGCCGAGCCCGAAGCAGTTGCTGAGCCCGAGGCTGTTGCTGAGCCCGAAGTTCCTGCTGAACCCGAGGCTCAGGCTGAGCCTGACGCTGCTGCTGAACCTGAAGCAGCTGCTGATCCAACTCCTGCTGAACCAGAAGCACCGGTGCAGTCAACATCCGTAGAACCTGCAGCAACTGTTGAACCAGAAGCGGTGGCTGAAGCACAGACGGCCGAGGGTGAGCAAGCGAGATCTCTGGATGTCGATGAGAGCAAGGATACGGTGGGTCCAATCGCCTCTGATGCAAGAGGAGCAGAGAAAACAGGTGAGAACTCCCTTCCTTCCCCTAATCCCGATTCCCCCGATGGAGATGCAAGGGAAGGACAGGATGGCCAGGATCCCGAGGTTCCGGACGAGGACGTCCAGGCCGGCAACCCTGATCCGGAACCTGCGGAGCCCGTTGTGGACGACACACTGGATACGAATCCCACGGACCCTGCCGAAGAAGCTGAGGCGACAGCGGCGCCGATTGAAGTTGCCGAAGAAGACCCCCCTACCAATGCGGAAACTCAGGAGAGCCAAGACACTGCAGCTGCAGAAGAGACAGTTTCTACTGCTGTTGAAGAGCCTGTCTCCGAAGAGGCTGCGGCCGAAGAGCCTGTTGAAGAACCTACTGTTGACGAGCCTACTGTCGAAGAGCCTGCCTCCGAGGAGCCTGCGGTCGAAGAACCTGCTACCGAAGAACCTGCTGCCGAAGAACCTGCTGCCGAAGAACCTGCTGCCGAAGAACCTGCTGCCGAAGAACCTGCTGCCGAAGAACCTACTATTGAGGATGGTATCACTGATGAGGCTGCACCAACCGAGTCAGCTGAGCCAGCAGTAGCGGACCCGGTGGTAGAGGCGACCGAGCAGGCGGAGGAAGCTCCAGAGGCAGCGTCCGAGACTGTACTGGAAACGGCCGCACCTGCAGATACCACTCCAGAAGAGACGGCCCTCGAGGGCCCCGCTACAGTGGATGCTACTGCTGAGGAGCCAGCATCAGAGACGGCTGCACCAGAAGAACCAACACTGGCCGAGCCTTCTCCTCAAGACCACGCCACCGAAACTACACCAGAGGACCGTTCCTCAGTTATGACAGCGGAGGCAGCTCCCGAGGAGGCTAACACTGGGGAGGCTGCCGCCGTCACTGAGCACGCCTCTCAAGAAACTGCAGAGCCAGAAATGATAGGCGAGGAAACTGCGAATGAAGCCAACCTTGAAAAGTCGTTACAAGTGGAAACTGGAGATGAATTACCAGCAGAGGCTGAGCCGTCGGCGGAAGAACAGACACAAGATACTGTTGAAGAGTCTACCATAGAAGCTCCTCTCGAACCGGAATCCACCCCTGAAGAGTCACCAGCAGCAGAACCTGTCGCAACCGAGGAAATAGTAGAGCAATCCACGGAAGATACTCTGCCAGCTCTAGCTGTAGAGGATGCTACACCCGAGGAACCGGTATCAACTTCAGAAGAAACCGCCCTGACTGCTGAGGATGAGGGTTCACGCAACAATGACGGGCTCATCGCAGGAGCAGCTGCCGCTGGTGCTGGTGTTGGTGTTGCAGGAGTTTTGTTCGCTGCCAATATTGGAAAAGACTCGAACGATGATATCACCGCAAGGGAGGTTCCCGAGCCCAACGCAACAGATGCTATCTCACGCCGAAGCTCGTCGGATAAGTTGACCCAGACTCTCGCAAACTCCCTGCCTTCAGGACCAATCACTGTGGCCGACCAAAAAGACGCTGATGTGGACGCCCACTTCAACCCCGTGCAACGAGAGGGATTTTCAGACTCCGGAACGCAAACAGATAGCTCAGTGTGGGGTCTTCGACCCTCGACGCCCGCCGTGGTTCTTCCTGAGCTTCCCGTGTCACCAGCGGCCAAGGAAAGGGCAAGGGCTCTCAGACGACAGCGGAAGGTCTCCATCAAGCAAGCCGAAGAGCTTGTGGCAGCTGCTGTGGTTATCTATGCTACGGCGGAGGCTCTCCGCTCACCCACAAGCCCTTCATCGCAGAGCAGCACCCAACTCATCAAGGCCATGCCCAGCTGGGAGCAACAAATCAAGACAAAACCGAAAAGGGCCTTTTTCTCGAGGGTTCTACCTGGCCTTCTTTCCAGACGCAGGAGTACTACCACTACAGGAGCGGGCAAAACTAGCAGATTTGATACTGACTTGTTCGCAGAGAAGAAGGATGCAGAGGCTCGTGAAAGGCACCGCCGACGTCGTCACTCCTCTACTCACCACTCATCATCGTATTCTGGCCGCAGTCGAGGCGAAGACGAAAGCAGAGACGACAGCAGACGCCATTCACACCACTCGCATCATTCCAGCCGACGACACCGAACGGACAGCGAACGATCTCTCCGGTCTGGCGACTCTGCCCCCCGCACTCCGCCGGGACCTCCAAAGAGACAGGATAGCGGTTTCTCGGAAAGTCCACAGACAGTCTCTCAGCGAAGGCATCGAAGCGAACGTAGCGGAAGGACTGAAAGAAGCGAGCGCAGCAATCGCTCCGAGCGCACGCCTGAGGAACAAGCTGCGCATGAGCGCCGCAAGGAAGAGCGCAGACTTGCGCGTGAGAAGGAGAAGGAGCGTGAACGTGAAGCTGCTGAACGGGAACGAGAGCGTGAGCGTGATCGTGATCGCGACAGGCGTCGTGAGAGAGAACGCGAGCGTGAGCGCCAGCGTGAACTGGAACGCGAAGCGGAAGAAAGGGAGCGATCACGTCGCAAAGGCAAGGGGCCTGAGGTCATTGCCAAGCCTGAGGAGACGACAGACCGCAGCCATCGCCGCTCTCGCCGCCACAGCACCGCGGAGCACCACCGTCCGGAGCGTACTCTTAGCAGGAGAGGACCCAGGGATCCCTCGCCAGAACGGACGAAGGAATTCTTCAGCATCAACGGCGAAGGTGCGAATGATTCGAACCCCCCTCCCCAGGACCCCCTCTTCCCCCATCAGCCAAGGACAACATGCCAATGGATGACAATACAGGACAACAAGAAGCAACTGGTTCACGCGGTATCCTGAAGCGATCCAGCACAACGCGCGAGAAGCACAGTCACAGCCACAGCCATACCCGTCGGTCTGAGGATGTTGGGAGATCCAACAAGCTGCAAAAGGCACGTGAGCAAGTTGCCGAAGAAGCAGCACGCAAGGCGGCCGAGAAACCCAAGTCAAAGCACTCGGACGATTCTCGACGACGCGCCCGCGAAGAAGAGCGGAGAAAGACAAGAGATGTCGAAAAGGAGAGGGAAAGGGAGAGAGAAAAGGAGAAGGAGAAGTCAAGCGGGATCAAGGGCATGTTCAAGCGATTGTTCAACTAATGATCCTTGTGTAATGATGTTACGACAACGAGTGTATGCGGACTGTATGTTTTACGGAAATGAACTAGACTGCATGTTTTCAGGGTATGGTTTCTTGGAGGGGTTGGAATGCTTGGAGAGTTGATGATTTTCACGACGGTTGATTTCTCATGATTACATGGCTAATGTGTTAGTAACTGAATACACAATGTCTGATGAACTTTGGATCAAAACCCGCCGGTTGCGAATATGAGGCATAAGTTCAGTAAACGCAGTTTCATGGCGCCGAGGGGTCGAATGCATACATAATCAAACGATTGGACTTTTCCGGCACGGCAATTGACAGACAGCAAGCTTAGTTATTGGCCACGGCATTTGTAATCGACTCACGAATAGGGCTCGCCGACGTCTCGATGGTTTTATAGGCTGCTATAGCCGGGCAGGGTATGGGATGCAACTTGACCGTGTGTCCCCCCTCCGACTTATCGAACGCTTTTATGTCCGTGGCCCATCCACAGCATCATACCGTTTTCCTACACGGACGGTTCAATAACAGCCTAGTGCCAGTGCACACCGGCAGATAGCAGTCCTGGAAAGCACGGCCGAGTCAAAATTACGAACCTCTGTGTGCCCAAAAACAAGGCATTTGTGCGTTGAACTCGTCAGCCGCGTTTGATGGGGGTACGAGGCCGGGTTGTGGGTTTCCGACTCCCGCGTACTCACTAGTAGCGTCTTCTTGCATGCCGCGCTCATGTGCCTTTTTTCTATTTATTGCTTGCGGCTTCGTGCGGTTTTTATTCCCCTACGCATTGGGTCCAAAAGAGACCCTCGGTCAGTAGAGACTCACATGTGGTATGGCCGGGTTTGTTTGCGTTTTCTGCGTCGCTTTCTGCGGTGCATCGGGTGCGATACCACCGTTCTTCCAAATGGTGTTGGCACCGTCTCGGGGCTGAAGTTCGGGTTGTGGGATCCCGGTCCCGGGTCTTGACGTCACCCGAGATCCCGAGTCCGACGCCCTTTTCTAGCCATCTTTTCTGGGAAAACATAGTTTTACAAGAAAGAGAGACCATGTTTTCTCGAGAGTGTGTTTCCTTCACTTATGGGGCATTCTATCGTGCGATTTTTTCCCATCAGTACGCCGCTGTTCGGCTGGTTGGGTTCCCGGGAGGCGGCCGGAGTCCCGGGATGTGGGGATCGCTATGTCCGTCCGCCGACACGGCCGCGTTATCTCCCTACCTTCACCGACGTTCCTGTTTGGCGCTTAACGCTCGTCTATTACATGTTTGCACTCTTGTAAAAAATAGTCAAGAGACTGTTTCCCAGTTGGATAGGTCTAGCGGCCATGTGGCGTTGCCGGTGAGATTGGGACTGCATGTCCTCGGGCCTCACTCCTCTTTGTGACGGCGATGCGCGGAGTGCGGTGCGTCCTCTCGAGTCCGTCCACAGGTGGGACTCCAGGCACCATTCAATAATTTCCATGCAGACAATGTACGCATGACCCCCCAGATTGTGGAGAACTCTGTTGGCATCGTGGACTCGTCCATTGAGCTGTGTACATACGCGTCCCGCCCCTCGGTTGCTGCCGCCAAACCGAAACATGCTTGTCTCTCCACGGATGGTAAACAGTAGGGAAGAGAAAAAAAAAGACTCATTAGTGTTGCATGGGAGTCTTTTCGAGTAAGTAGACACACATATAGGTACACACTTTCCGTCGCTTGCATGTGCCAGTTTAGAGTCACGCGAACGCATGGTGCCTGGACTAGTGCACGATGCCCTGTCTGACATGGGAGAAATTTAATATATTGGCGTCCTGGGAGCTCCACGGCGTGTTCGGTACAATGTCCGACGATAATTCCAGCGAGTAGGTGCGTTGGCTTATCGATTTGTGACAGGCGGAGTTCGGTACACTGTCCATGAGAGCCCTTGGCAACCTTGATGAACTTCTACCAGAGACGAAAACGCATCCTCGTCATCATCATATTGCCAATCTTTAATTGGTGGCTGATTTACATCCAAACGAGACAACACTTTGAGGATACTGCCGTGAGATCGAAAGGCAGATTGTCCTCTGCTGGGATCACGCAGCCCCGATGCCTGGCGAGCCTTGGATAACCTTGAATCTGAAGTGGAGGCGTCTCTACTTCGGCTCTTGAACTTTCTTCCCATAGCTGACGACTTCAGCTGTCGGCGTTTCAGGTCTAGAAAGAATACGGTACACGTGTATCCACTCTTCCCAAGTAGCATTGGATGGAGAGGATGCCTACGCGTACTCATTTCTATCTGACGCCATTCTTGCAGCGTACAAGCATCTTGTGTAGCGCTGGCGCTTCCGTTTCTAGTGCAAGGTCCTCTAGTACTTGCTCCTGCCAAGTGCGCTACGGGCGGTCCCGCGACTCGAGACGTGTAAGTCTATCGCCCTTAGTCTATCCGGGGTTGTCAGCCATGCCCTACTGGTACCAAATGCTATTCTTGTGGTTATTGGTGACCGGAAACAGTAGCCTCTAGAACGCACTGATGTTACAACGTTATCAGCTGTCACTTTTAGCCACGTTCCCTGCACATCTTGGCAAACCTAGTTGTTTCTTGCGGCACATGTCGTTGTATCTCTGTCAGTCTAGCCAGTTTTGACGGCCAACGATAGCGGGGCAAGACCGATAGGGGGCCTCCGCGTTTGTTGATATGGCAGTATGTTCAAGTTGATGATCGATAGTTTGTTCCTCGGTCCTCTTTTCGTGCCGATTGTGCCGTGAAGATGGAAAACGGCATCGAATATCCGCTTCAGCCGCCATATTGAGCTCTTCCTGCGGCCTTGCATACTCGGTGTGGGGAAAGTATCTTCTTCGACATCTACGCCCAAGGCCGTGACTGATTCTGTAGTTTTCCTGGCTCTGAACCCCAACGTGTTGTTTAGCCAGAGAGGGGGAGGGGGGTTCAGCGTTTCGTAGTTCACAAGAATTACCAACTGCTGTCAACTACGGGTACTGCCGCCTTGAAACGAAACTAAGCGGGCAATGGAAACTAGGGGTCGTTAGTTTTCGGTTTTCCTGTTGGTTTGCAATTTTTCTTATTGTCTCTCGCGCGCAGCTTGCACGGATGCTCCCGCATAGTCAAAATGCCATAGAGAAAGTGGAGTTATTGCCAAGACCACGGGCTACAGGGCACGGGGTTTTCGTTCAAGTTTCTTTTCCGAGGCCGAACGTCGACAGGTCTACAGCTGCGGCAACTGGGATAAGTGGCGCTAAATTCCATGTGGTGTGACTACGAGGTGGTAGATGCCTCCCGCCAAGCCCCGGATCTGAAGCACCAGGAGGTCGCTTGAATGGTCGGCTGCAGGTGGTTGGCTTGCTACTTCAGGAGAGTACGTAATACGAGATGAAAGGAGAGGCGGCGGAAGCAGCTTCACAACCCCCCTCTACACCGGGCCTTTTCACTACAATCCTACAATGAAAACGCATCTGGCTCAACGCAACCGGCCGGCGGAGGCAGATCCGCGTCGGTGGATCGAAACGCTCGATATAGAAGTCGAATCATTGGAGTGCAGGGGCTTGCGATCGTCTCGTATTTCTCAGCGGGCAGTTCTGCTAACCGACAAGCATGAATCGTATAGCACGGGTTGAAGAAGCAATACCGCCGTGTCAGTGGATTGAATGGAAGATTTGACATGAGCCGCCAAAACCGGCAAGCCCCACGTTTACCGCGAAGCATCAGTTCGTGCGAAGCATAATTGCCTGTGAGCTTTCGAGTCCCTTGAGCAGTTCCGGGAGCAGCCGTCCAAAAACGAACAACAGAGGTTGTGAGATGCCCGCCAGCCGTTGATGTTGAAGTTGGCCCTTTCTTCTTTCAAAGGTTGTCTTGACACGGGGGGTCATAGAGATAGAGGGGCAAAGGCGGGATTTGATGCAAGCGATTTCGGCAGTACCGCCATACAAATACCTACCTATTGGGAAATGCTCGAGAATGCCAAGACTAGGATACCTAGGACGGCACGAGAGCCCACTAAGAACGGACGGGAGGCTGGAGCCGGCGATGGCGGGGAATCGTCGGAAGACAGGCGTCGAGATGAAGGCAGGGTTTGGTCATGCTCTTCGCTGCAGATAGGACGGCCTTTTCGGAATTGAGTCAGTTGGGTTGGCGATATTGTCCGTCCGGTAGCATTGGGAGCCTCTCCAGAGGTGGAGCCGGCAAGACGACGTCTGTCGTCGTTGTCGTTGTCGAAACGGCGGCTCAGGGCCTCCTGGTAAAGGGGCCGCTAAGACGCACCAGGTATAGCGCAGCGCAGCGCGGGAGCCGGCATTTGGCTCCATAACACATAGCGCCAGAGCACTGTCCACCGACACGCCCTCCCCCCCCCCCATCGATGGCTACGCGGGTGGGGTACTAAAAGCGGCATCAACCAGAGATGAGGGCTTGCGCGGCCAAGCATGGGTCGTTGAGGCTCGTGGGACTCTAGGATTCGAACCCCTCCCTCCTTTGTTTCCTCGACTCCATCCCTGGGGAGTAGAATATCCACAACCTGCCAAGAGCAGAAATATCGACGACGACACACAACGACACAAAACGACACAAAACGACGATACAGTGACAGGTACCAGCACCCTAGGCCTTCCCTGTCTGCAGGAAATGGGATGGATCCAGACTGGGGAACCGCTTTTGGGGCGATGCCCTTTACATGCATACCAGGATTCTTGTAAGTCACAAGCCGCAGCAGACCACGCAGATAGACTACATACTCTGTAGTAATGCATAAGTATAGCCTTGCCGCATCAGGTGTTTGGCTTCGTCTTCTTAACTTGGTCCCCATACATACCTACCACCCCTATCGTCCACGGCTGCTACACCCCCCCTTCTTACCCTCTCTCCCCTACCTAGTTTCCTTCCCGTATTTTACGTGATTGTGACATCCCTACCACCTCGCAGGGAGCCAGGGACTACGTACGCACGCAATCGCAGTAGTGTACGATGGCGGCTCCCGCAAATGGGCGGGCGCCCGAGCCCGCTACGGAGCTGGCGGGAGCTTCTTCGAATCAAGCATACTTTTCGTGATGGCAAAGACGATAGGTACCCAGGTAGTCATGAGATTGGATTCAGAGCCTAATCACCAAGAGGCAACGTCCTCTGTTGATCCGGCACAAACACCCTCGCTCGCTTTCGCTTCTTGCGCCCTTTGGTCTTCGCTGCTCGCTACCGCCCCTCCTGTCCCGTGGCCGATCGAGATCCTACGGGAGATCCTGCGCCCGCATCCCATGCCCGATCCGCGTCTGCTTCTCCCGGAACTCGAGCGAGGCACTTCTCCTTGGTCGACAATCGCCCATGGCATTTAGGCGTCACCTGGCCCCACGAAAGGGGCTCCAACGCACGTGGCACGCGCGAGAAAAGGTCACCGTAACGGTGGCATTGGGCCTCGCTCGCAGAAAGCGTTGCTTAGGGAGAGCTACGCACGGGGAACAGATGCGCTTGCGCCTGTAACCCGCAAACATCAAACAAATCCCACGGCCGCTAAGATGCCTGATGTTGCTTTCCTTCGAGTCAGAGGTTCAATCCACATACGGACGACATCGGGATAAATTTCTGCTAGGCTCTTGGCGTTGGGCGAGGTTGCAACCTCGTGGCTGGGGCCCATCTCGGATTGGGTGGTTGTAAAAGCTCCCCTCTCCATACTCATCCTGGCTCCCCTTTGACACGCTCGTCCCATCTCCAACGGTTTCCGTCTTGACGCCGTTGCATTGGATGACGTTGACCGCGGCCAAAATGGGGGGCTCGGCCTTGCTCGTTGACAGGATTACCCCTGCCAAGCTGCCCCTCCTGGACCACCCCCATGTCAGTATCAGTGGGGGAACGCCACAGCTTTGGATAACCACCAGCTTTTTGTCCACTTCCTGATATACGCTGCCAAGCCTTACTCCTGGCCCGCTTCGACTCTCTCACCGTTAGTGTTTCTTTCCGGCCCTGCTGCAATAACCTTTGACGGCCCTCCCGCTTAGAGCCTTGATTTTGGTCTCTTCTCATTGGTCCTTCAAAGTGGCATCTCCCCTTTCTGGTCGGGGCACGATGAGGCTTCGGTAATCAAGGATGCACTTATCAATATCCATCTAAGTAGGTCGATGGGGCCGAGATTGGCATAGCGTTTTCAAGGGCATCATCTCTTTTGAGCACTAGAGATATGGAAGACGTCAATGATATTCCATGTTCCCGCTCGCTTCGTTCGAAAGCATATGCATCGCAGCAGAGCCGGCAGCGCGCGGTATTCGGCCTGACAGGTCCCGTGAGAACCAATGCAGCTACATAAGCACCTTCCGATAGCCCTCCTGTCTCCTGAACGGCTACGCGTCAGCAAGACCGAGCTTCGAGGGAGCAACTGGCAGGAAGGGTTGCAGGTGATGCTCCTCCAAATCGGCTATGCACGTGGTCAGACTTGGCGATCAACGCCTCTTCTCCATCTTTTTCCATGCGACCGCTATTGCCTTGCCTGTTTAGCCGCCTGAACTTCAGACGAGGTACAACGAGCCCAGATATGGAGACTGCCCTTTGCGGGCTTACAATACATCCAATATACATGTTCACCCGCACGGCGCCTACATACGGACTTACAAGACCCATGCAAGACATCCATATCGACTGGCCTCAGGGGTGTATAAGGGGTCCACCTGGATATGGGGAACACATTCCTATCACCCTCGGGGAGCAGAGAGCGAGGGCGCATGCGCTGTTAGACTGACGGGAGACTCTCCGCTTCAAGCGTAGGTTCGGCATGGCCATGTCCCTCGTATAGCCTAGATGTTCGATAGTTGCTGTGTAAGCATGGGTTTCGTCCGCCGGAGGCGCCTTTGCGGCCGAAAGATCCCGTAAACGACATACCAAGTCTCTCATGACCTTGCACGATGGACGATGCTCTTCGATGTGGGACTGGGTTTCCGCGCCAGGGTGGGCTATCGCCCTCACGCTGCACGCTAGATCCTCAGAGCGCAGCATCGAGGGAACGCTGCAAGTTGGGATTGCGAGTTCATGTCGGAAACACGGCCCCTCGCAATGACAGGCGTCAACTGACGAGACCCTCTATTCGGCCGTCTCGATGAAGCTCGAAGCTCGTGTTCAAAACCTATAAAACCAGCCGGTTTGGCCCGCCGTTGGGAAATGTTTCTCAGGCACCATCACTCGCTTCTTCAGGCTCGGTCTTCTCTCATCCTCTGCCTTCCTTCGTTTTCAGGCATTCTCGGTACCATTCGTTGATCACACCGACCATCGCTATTTACACTCGTTCTGCATACATCCATCCAGCATGTACAAACGCTCACTCTTGGGATGCTTCGCGCTCCTGTTCCCCGCCTTGATCTCTGGCGCCCCTTCTTCACCCGCGAACCCAGTCGAGAAGCGGCAGGACTGCGTCTTCGACTCGGCTCTCAACCCTTCCTGCTGGGACGGGACTCACGATCTCTCGACCAACTGGTACGAGGAGGCCCCCAACACCGGGGTCATCCGCGAGTACTGGTTTGAAGTCACCAACACCACCTTGGCTCCCGACGGAGTTGAGCGCATGGTTCTCGCCATCAACGGCACTGTCCCTGGACCTACCATTGTTGCTGACTGGGGTGACACTGTCGGTAAGTGTCGACCTTTTTCTTCCAACCGTGGTGTGCGGTTATCTAATAGTTTTGTCAGTCGTCCACGTCAAGAACTCTCTCGAGAACAACGGCACCAGCATTCACTTCCACGGCATCCGCCAGAACTACACCAACGAGGCTGATGGCGTTGCTTCCATCACCCAGTGCCCTACTGCCCCGGGAGACTCCATCACTTACACGTTCCACGCGTCTCAGTATGGTTCTTCATGGTACCACAGCCACTTTTCCCTCCAAGCCTGGTAAGTTGGTCCAAATGATGCAAACATTGCCTCAACTGACAGTATCCCAGGAACGGTGTCTTTGGAGGAATTCAGATCAACGGCCCTGCCTCCGCTCCCTATGACGAGGATCTCGGCGTTGTCGTCCTCAGCGACTGGTTCCACCGCACCACTGACGAGCTCTACGAGGCTGCCGCCACCAGCGGCCCGCCCACCCCGCAGACGGGTCTCATCAACGGCACCGGCAAGTACGGCGATCTCGGCTCGCGCTTCACGACGGTCTTTGAGAGCGGCAAGTCGTACCGCATGCGCCTCGTAAACAGCGCCATCGACACGCACTGGAAGTTCATGATTGACAACCACACCCTCGAGGTCATCGCGGCCGACTTTGTGCCTCTGAACCCCTACAACGCCACGGATCTCTCCATTGGCATTGGCCAGCGCTACGACATCATCGTCCGCGCGAACCAGGCCGTCAGCGACTACTGGCTCCGCGCCATTCCCCAGATCACCTGCAGCACGAACGAGAACACGCTCGACATCAAGGGCATTGTGCGCTACGACGCCTCTTCGACGGCCGACCCTACCGGCGAGGTCCCGGCATACGACGACTCCTGCACGGACGAGCTCATGTCTAACCTGGTTCCTTTCGTGGCGATCGAGGCCGGTCAGCAGTCGTTCGACGACACTCTCACTGTCGGTCTTCAGGTCGTCAGCAGCCAGTTCAAGTGGACTCTGAACAACAACACCTTCCTTTCCGACTGGGGCTACCCTAGTAAGTGCCTCGAAGCTCAAGGAGTCGCAACACAAGCTAACACCGAGACCACAGCCATTGAACAGGTGCTCGACAGCAACGACAACTACTCCGTGCAGCAAAACATTGTCCACCTCGACGAGGCCAATGTCTGGGTCCACTTCATCATCCAGAACCCCGTCGGTCTTGTAAGTAAACCAGCCTACAGCATCTTTCGTGTCCGACTAACGTGATGCTTCCAGACCCATCCCATCCATCTCCACGGTCACGACTTCTGGGTCCTCGCCCAGGGCACCGGCACCTACGACGCTTCCGTCGCTCTGCAGACCGTCAACGCGCCTCGCCGCGACGTCGCCATGCTGCCCGCTTCCGGTTACCTCGTCATTGGCTTCTACACTGACAACCCGGGTGTCTGGCTGATGCACTGCCACGTAAGTCCCCTCGTATCATTCCCTTTCACCTTGGACCCGAGTCCCTAACACTCGTCCCCGCAGATCGGCTGGCACACTTCCCTCGGCTTCGCGCTCCAGCTCATCGAGCGCCCGACCGAGATCGCGGCCATCACCAACGTCGACACGATGAACAGCACCTGCGCCAACTGGAACGCTTACGCCCTGGAGGATTCTGTGCACCAGGAGGACTCTGGTGTCTAAACAGACACGTCTCATACACGCACACTCACACGCCATAACGGCCTTCAACACCTGACCGAATGCGACGATTACGTCGTTAATGTTTCTTATGTCTTGCTTTGAATGCTTTGTTTTTGAGAATTCGCTGCTTTGCACGGATTTAGCTTGGGAGCACAGTACGCAACAGCTTTCTCTGTATAATGTTTCTTATTCCAGTATATAGTAATCTAATGTTGAGATTGCAACCTAAAATACTCGCAGCCCATTACATTAATGTCAACCCGCGCGAATTGATACAATGTCTTGTTACCTACCATTCTGCGAGCTCTGAAACGTTCTCTCATAGCTTTAATTACCTCGTGCTCGAGATGCCGAACCCTTGTTGTTGACGTCGTTCGAACCCCGGCTCCGCCAAGTTTGGCCGTATCTTGGTTCGGAAGCTTGATCTCACGCGCCAAATGCCGAGGCCGGATGTGGGTCCAAACGTTACCTTACGTTGAAGTTGTGTGGGGGGATCGGGCGCGGCATCGGCTTTAGTGGGGCCTTGGTAACTAAACGGGCAGGCGGCCCAATCACAAATTAACCGAACGCCAGCCGTGGTATCATTGCCCTCTCCTACGTCTTCTGCGTTATCGACGGCAGTTCGTCCCGGTGCAGCTTCTTGCATTGAGCTGAGTCGCGACATCGAGGCCACTTGATTGGACTCGAGCTAGGTCTCCATGCAGTCGTCTCCCAGGCACGTCACGCTGGCAGCGTGACCAACATGACGCATATTGGTGTCGTAATGGGCGCCGGCCGCTAATCGCTCGCCATTTCTAACGGCCCTTATCACCCCGGCAAGACACTCTGAGGGGTGCTCCGCCGAACCCCTGTCTCCGTCTCTTTTCCCCGCACGCTTACCTCCAACCCCGGATTTTGACGCCCATTCATGGGTGCTTGTTTCTTTTCCGTATCTCTGAATTCCCTAGGGGGGACATCAAGCCCAAGGTGTGTCGCCGCCAAGTTGGATATACTGCATCTTAGGATTCCGCCCCGAACGCGAGAACAAGAATGCTCTCATTGAAATGATACTAGCTGAGTGGCCGAAGAGGATATGACCTGCATACCGTGGGCTGCATCTACAACATGTTGGAACAAGGGGTTTGCCTCCCGCCCAGATAACAAGCTTTGCCGCGCCGGATGACAAAGAGCTTGGGATGATCGCCCAACATTGCCTCCCACCGCGGAGCTACGCAAAGGAGGGTTGAGACTAACGGGAAAAGACTACCATCAATTACCCGGCTTTGAGGAGTATGGGCAATTAATGAACCAGAAATGTGACTGGCTGGAAACACGTTACCACTCGGGGAGGGGAGGGACGGCAATTACCCCGACTTGGGGAAAGCTGGGACGAAACCGCATGCCTGCGCTCTCGTCTTTTTCCGCGCGGGAAGCCGTCATAGCCTGGGTGCGGAGTTAAAGAGGGTTGATTTCCTCAATTTGCTTTGGACGTGTCGACTTCAATCATCCCCGGATCAACGATTGATACCCTGAAACCGCCATTGAGCCATTCCAAAGTTTCCAAACGGGCGCCAAGCGAAGCAGTGGTTCCAAGCAGTGTCTCTGACGACCTACCGACCAGTTCCACTCCAGTTCAGAAGCTCGCGACGGTTGGAAGCAGAGCCTGGTCCGGCTACAGTCACCACGGGCAAAAAGGGGACGACATGGCGGGCGGAAAACTGACCGAGGTGGACCACGTCTCGCTAGACCACGAGCACCGAGCCGGCGATGTCGAAGACCTTCCCAAGCCCTCGGTCGAGGCTGAGAGGCGGGGGTTGCAGCCGCCGCCCATTGTGGCGGCCATGACGTCCGAATACCGCTTCGAGCTGGAAAGGAAGCTGAAGCGCAAGATCGATCTGAGATTGCTCCCGATGATTGTCATTATGTATATCCTGTGAGTTCACGGCCTACTTTTTTATCACGTTGCATGTGCTGCTGGAATGATCTGTGGCTGACCTGTCCTGATCGATAACAGCAACTACATCGACAGAAACAACATTGCGGCCGCGCGCCTGGCTGGTTTGGAGCGCGATCTCAAGCTGGACCCTAACTCCAACCAGTTCCAGACGGCGGTGAGCATCTTGTTTGTCGGCTACCTGCTCATGCAGGTGCCATCGAATCTGTTCCTCAACAAGATCGGCAAGCCCGCACTATACCTGCCCACATGTGTAAGTCGCGCAACGAGCAATACGTCTCGACGACACGCCTGGCAAGTACAATGGAACTGACACCGCGACGCTTTGCTAGATGATTGTCTGGGGAGTCATCTCCGCCGCTACTGCGGCATGCCGCAACTACGCCGGCCTCCTCGTCATCCGCTTCGTCCTCGGCTTTGTCGAGGCCGCCTACTTCCCCGGCTGCCTCTACTACTTGAGTTGCTGGTACACGCGCGAGGAGCTCGGCCTGCGCACGACGATCCTGTACACGGGATCCCTCATCTCGGGGGCCTTTTCCGGGTTGATCTCTGCCGGCATCACGGGCAACATGGACGGCGCGCGCGGGCTGGGCGCGTGGCAGTGGTTGTTCCTGATCGAGGGCGTGGTGACGGTTGGCGTCGCCTTTGTGGCCTACTTTGTGCTGCCCAACTTCCCGCGGACGACGTCCTGGCTGAGCGAGGAGGAGACTGCGCTGGCGGTCTGGAGGCTCGAAGAGGACATTGGAGAGGACGACTGGAAGAGCAGCGGGGAGCAGACTTTCTGGCACGGCTTCAAGACGGCGCTGGAGGACGTCAAAACCTGGATCTTGGTAAAAGCACAACCCCGTTCCCGCTCTCATCAGCCACGGCGCATGACTAACACCGGACTCGCAAACAGCTCGTCCTCGTCTTCAGCATCGTCGCCTCGGGCTCCATCACAAACTTCTTCCCCACCGTCGTGGCGACCCTGGGCTACAACTCGGTCGTCTCCCTCCTTCTGACCTGCCCGCCTTACGTCCTCTGCGTCATCACGACCTGCCTCAACGCCTGGCACGCCGACCGTACGGGCGAGCGGTACCTGCACATCGTCGTGCCCCTCTGCGTCGCCATGGCGGCCTTCATCCTCGGCGCCGCCACCCACGCCGTCGCGCCGCGGTACGTCTCGATGATGCTCATGGTGCCGGGCATATACACGGGCTACACGACAGCGCTTGCCTGGATCAGCAACTCGCTGCCGCGCCCGCCCGCCAAGAGGGCCGCGGCGCTGGCGTTCATCAACGCGGTCAGCAATTGCAGCAGCATCTACGCGAGCTATCTGTATCCCAAGAGCGACGGGCCGCAGTACACGGCGGCCTTCATACACAACTGTGTCGCGTGCTTCGTGGCCATCTGCGCGGCGACGGTGTTGAGGTTCGTGTTGGTGAGGCTGAACCGGAAGCTGGAGAGGGGCGAGTTCGTCGAGGGGGCCATCAACGCCGCGCCGGGCGAGGCGGCGGCGCATGGGTTCCGGTTCAAGGTGTGAGCCGCCGCCAGCGTCGTCTGCGATGTGTCATGAGGTTGGATGGCGTCGTCTCAAGTTCATGGTTTTGTTGGTAGCCCGATGCGTAGATAGGGCCGCATGTAGACAGGGCTGAATCATTTCACAGCGACTTGAGACCGAATGAGAGGTTTCGATGCGAGTATCAGTCGGACGACGATGGGTTGACAGCGCGCATAAACGTGGTCGAGCGATTCGAATCGGGTCTAGAGGGCCGCAGCGCAACCCTGTAGATGTTTCCCTTGCTACTGGGGCTTGCAATTCTGTTTCGCCGGCCATCCGCGTCGCATCGGCCGCGCCATGATCTCCCCTACCAATCGGTCCTCCTCTTGATCCAATCGCAGCTCAAACTTGGAACGGCAGCGTGTCATTGTTTCCAACTTACAATGCCATAGCGACCTTCTTGATGGAATTCGCACCCTTCCCTTCAGGGTCCAAAAGCATTTTGGAACAGCCAGTCGCATTCTTATTTCCAAGACTTGGCAACGGAAATGCAACTCTCGATGGTGTCGAACATTCCACATACAGTTCATAATTCCAATTTCTCTCACATGTGAAGATCCAATCATTTCAGGAACCAAACGACGTGTGCAGGGCAGAGCCAGGCGCATGACCAACCCTAAACAAAAGACGACAAGCGCAAAACCCAAAAGCTGAAACACACCTCATCGGACGTACGACTCTGGCCTAGCAACTGGGTCATGGTCACGTTTTCTCTTTGGAGGGGGGAGATGCCCCCCCCCCCCCCCCCCCATTGATTTGAGTTGTGACTGACGGACGCGAGCGGCAACCCCATCCCTTGCTGTCTCCGGGGAAGGGGTCGACTTTCACTTCCTTCTAGAAGGGGAGATGCGTGGAATTCCCTTAATTGGTTTAGGCTTCAAGGCCCTTGAGTCGTTTTAGGCTCCGCCCGAAGGAAAGTCTCCTAGCGCTTTGCACTCTGTCTTTGGGTCCATGATTTCGGATCAGGAGCACGTTTCGGGAAGCAAGTTCGCCCGTTAGACTCGGGGTCTGATGGGATGAGCCGTTGGTTTGGTCTTTTTTTTTTTTTTGGCGGCTCGGATGGTTGACGGTTGGGTAGAGTGTCAAGCGTATCTAAACTGATCGACACACCGGAGGACGGCAAAGACGAATGGAGACATGGGACGATGAACCCGACCGCTGGGAAGGTTGGTCTTGAAGAATTGCAATTTTTTTTCCTTTGGGCTGCTGACCTGCCGACCTGCTGACATGACATCCTGCCTTGCAGTCTGCCTTGCAGTTCGGGTGCCTGGGCCTTCACCCTCCCCAATCCCCAATTGCACCACAATGTCATGTTGGTGAAACATGTCCCGAGTTTCGGGCTTTTCGCCCGCCCGCCGCCGCCGCCGCCGGCGGTTGAGAGTTACAGTGGGATAACAGTGCTGAAGACCGTCTCGGGGTCTCTGGCTCCGACCGGGCGGGCTGCAAGTCGCCAATGTGAGACATGTCACTTGCTCCCGCACGGTAGTTGTCCGTCCCGTGTAACTTTTTTCCATTTGTGATCGATAATAAAGCGCCGCTCAGTTGCGGCACCAGTTGGCAAAGGACGTCCCGCGTCAAAAATAACGAGACTTTATAGCGCTCTTATCTCCTTGTGCCCCCTCCCCACGTCCTGAGCTCCCATACACCACCAAACGCGGATTTGACACAACCTTCGGCATCACACCCGGGCATTCCATGTGGTGCGGAGCACAGATTCCACTAGCGTAGCCGTCCGTCCGCCTCTAACTTATCGACCTACCTCTCTTGGTAAAAGTCAACGAGGAACCTAAGCAGTACGTACAGAAGCTCTATGTCTTTGCCCTTGGCCTGGCCGATCCTATGACTAGTTCCCGACCGTCGGCATCAAACTCCCCGTAATCAAGCCTGTCAACTCCCCGCGCCTCGTCGGCTAGAATCCCGGACATCAGCAGCTGGTTTATCGGCAGTTGACCTCCGAGCTCGCTGCGACTCGGAGGCTTTTGAATGACGCCATCCATTCCTCCCTCAAACGTCTCGCCAAAGTTCTAAATACTTGACACATAAACTCACCCAGACCCGGGGATTGAGACCTGTTCGTCTAATCGAGTTTCTTGCTTCTAATATCACCTCCCATACCCTTGTAGCTATCTCGGCTATCGCGCTCGATAATCCCGCACCGGACGATTCATCATGCCCCTCACCAGCGAGTCCCTCCACTCGGCGCAAGCAAGCGAGTTCGCGAGGTACGCGAGCCGACGGAGTGTCGTTCACAGCACCAAGGGAATCGTATCTTGCACACAACCGTTGGCCGCAAAATGCGGCATCGAAGTCCTTCGCGCCGGTGGTAATGCCGCTGTAAGTCAGCTCTATCCTGTGCCGATGCATCGACTGATTGGATGCGAATAGGACGCGGCCGTCGCAGTCGGTTAGTTTACTCTTTGCGGGGGAGGAGAACTGGTTCATGTATGGTAATGAGAGGCTTGCATGAAGTGGCTGACACCTATGGATCGCATAGCTGCTGGTCTAAACATGACTGAGCCGTGTTCAACCGGAATCGGCGGCGACATGTTCATCCTCTTTTACGACGCCACCACCGGCAATGTCTCAGCCATGAACGGCTCGGGCCGCTCGGCCAAAAATGCCACCCTCGAGACCATCCGCAAGGATCTCGGCATCAAGGAAGGCGCCTCGGGGAAGATCCCCATGAAGAGCGTCCACGCCGTCACCGTCCCCGGCGCCGCCGCCGGCTGGATTGACACCATCGCGCGCTTCGGCAGCGGCAAGGTCTCCGTCGAGCAGGTCCTCGCCCCGGCGATTGAGCTCGGCGAAAAGGGATTCCCAGTTTCGGAGCTGACGAGTCACTACGTACGTCTCGCCATAATCGCCGCTCCATCAGGAGTATGACGAGTATGACGAATTCGAATGCTAACGTCCAACAGTGGAACACAGCAGAGCCCCAGATCAGAGAGGCATCGCCCAACTTCCACGAAATGCTGAAGAAGGATCCCAAAGCGCCAGACGGCGTCAGAGCACCTTACCCCGGGGAGATCATGAAGAACCCCACCCTGGCGCAGACCTTCCGCGCCCTCGCCAAGGAGGGCAAGAAGGGCTTCTACACGGGCCGCGTCGCCGAGGAGCTCGTCAAGGTCGTCAAAGATCTTGGAGGCCACCTCGACCTTGAAGATCTGGCATATCATCTCGAGCAGGGCAGCGAGCCCGTTGAGCCCATCTCGCTCAAGTTCAAGCCCGCCCTCAAGAGCCAAACCAACGGCCACAGCAAGGCAACCAACGGCCACAGCAACGATGGCGCCGTCGAGGTCTGGGAACACCCTCCCAATGGCCAGGGCATCGTCGCGCTCATGGCCCTCGGCATTATCCAGGAGCTCCAGGCCTCGGGCGTGGTTCCTGCCTGGTCCGCCGAGGACCACAACACGGCGCCCTACCTCCACGTCATCATCGAGGCCCTCCGCCTCGGCTTCACCGACGCGAGCTGGTACGTCACGGACCCCAACGTCGTCTCGGTGCCGTCGGCCAGCCTTATCTCGCGCGAGTACTCCGCAGCCCGCGCCAAGCTCTTCGACCCGAACAGGGCCATGCAGAAGCTGCACGTCGGCGAGCCGCCCAAGCACGTCTCGCCGGCGCTCCAGAGCAGCGACACCGTCTACTTCAGCGTCTCCGATGAGCACGGCAACGCAGCCTCATTCATCAACAGCAACTACGGCGGGTTTGGCACCTGCATCATCCCTAACGGCTGCGGCTTCACGCTGCAGAACCGCGGCGCCAACTTTAGTCTCGACGCGGATCACCCTAACAAGCTGGAGCCGAGGAAGAGGCCTTACCACACCATCATCCCGGGTATGGTGACGAACCAGTCTGACGGGTCGCTGCACAGTGCCTTTGGTGTCATGGGCGGATTTATGCAGCCCCAGGGACATGTGCAGGTGCTTCTCGGCCAGTTGATTGCGGGTCTCACGCCACAGCAGACACTCGACGCACCACGTGTGTGCATTGTCGCTGGGCTGCCGGACAGAGATGCAGACTTTGACTGGACCGTGAGCGTCGAGGAGGGCATGCCTGAGGAGACGGTAGAAGGTCTGCGTAAGCTGGGACACAAGGTCGAGGTCGTCAGAGGAATGGAAAGGGGGATGTTCGGCCGCGGTCAGATCATCAGATACAGTGTCGACCCTGTCGAGGGAACCGGCGTGTGGTCTGCAGGAAGTGACCTGCGCGGTGATGGAGCTGCGTACCCGGCGTTGTAGTAAGAATTCAGCCGTGATTTTCCGTAATGAGTAGGACGGGGAAGCAGAAATAAATAACGAAAGCGAGATGCCACACATAAATCGCCCAATCCCAACCATTGGAACCTGCTGAAAGTTGAATGCCTGGAAAGGAGAGAAATAAGAAGGCACTCATGACAACTTCAATAGTGACGAAAGTCACTGGTTGGCGGTCCAAGGCTTCGGTCGGTGAAAGCGGATGTCATACCTGAAAACCGCAAGTACTACCAAACTCTGGGCTTGGCCCCTTCGCGATGTAGCAGACTTGGGTAAGGCTTTGTCTGTCCAGAAGTCGCCGCTTAACATGTGCTCTCACTCTCTGGTGTGGGTATCTAACATTCGCAAAGGACCTTGAAACCCCTAGTAACCGTCGTTCTGGGTGTGGGATTGGTTCGTGACGGTTTCCTCAATAAGCAACAGATCTAAATCGGTTGACCCAACGACAAGCGGATCGTGAAGGTGAGATGATTAAAGATTGTGGGCCTTGCCAATAGTTACCACTATATTTCCCTGACATGTCCCACGCGTGGCTGTCTCCCATTCGGTATGATACAATTGTACAGATCAACGCCTTTTAGCGCTCGCAAACAGGTTCCCGTCTCTTACTCCTTCTTCTCGCCCTCAGCCTCGGCGAGGACCTTCTTCTCCTCGAGAAGCTTCGCCAGCTCGCCGTTCTGGTGCATGGAGACGAGAATGTCACAGCCGCCGACGAACTCCTTGTCGACGTAGAGCTGGGGGATGGTGGGCCAGTCGGAGAACTCCTTGATACCTGTTGCGCCCGTAGTTAGCATCTGCACCGTTCTTCCACATTTACTTCCATCTCCTTATGCTCGAGTGGCGTACCTTGGCGCAGCTCCGGGTCGGCCAGCACGTTGAAGGCGGCAAACTTGGAGGGGTCGACGCCCTGGAGGCCGAGGATCTGGATCGAGGCACGGGAGAAGCCACACTGGGGGGTCTCAGGGGTGCCCTTCATGAAGAGAACGACAGGCGCGGAGCCGACGGCGCTTTCGATCGCCTGGCGCGTCTCGTCGGAGAGAAGGCGGTGCTGGGTCAGGAAGGGGAGGGGAGCTCGGAAGGCAATCGGGCGAGCGGCCGGGCGGACGGCCTGCCGTGCGAAATTCTGGACGCTTGGGTTAGCGATTGTTGCTAGACAAAGTTGAAGAGAAGAGCGAGATTTTTTGCCAACATACTGAGCGGAGGATTGTCCTTGAGAACATGTTGGGCTGTATTGTGGTGCGTTGAAGGAGGTGGTCAACGTAGAGGCAGTTGATGATAAATGCGAAATTGTTCGGATGGCAGAATGGGTGATGTAATGAGGTGAGCTCGGTGAAGAAGCCTGGACCATGTCCTTACCGAACTCACCGGCATGTCGAGCTCAATGTGGGGCCAGCTTGGCACCAATCAGTGGGCAGTATATGTCATCTCTCTTACATCTTTGAATGTTCACAAGAGCTTTACAAAGGCTACCGACAAGCCCATCTAATATCTCAATGTTGTTTGGTATGTGTTTTCTCTGTTTTACACTACTTTAAAATAAAACAAAAACTGGATTGAGTTACCATATTGTTAAAGATACTCTAACCGGAGATGTCTCGGTCAGCTTGTCCAAGCTGTTATCAAGGACAATTCGGCTTGTGAAGTATACGGAACCAGCTTCCAACCTAGTGAGAACACAAATGAAGTCTCCAATAGTTACATACAAATCTCCAATAGTTGGCTATATGCACGGCCTTCGGATATGCATTTGCTAGCAACTTCACCTGGACTTCGGTTTTGTTACCAATAAAAAGCTAAAAGACTACAGGATATGAAAAGATATATGCCCATGTTGGTTTCTAACATTATGATAGTTCAAGAACCTCATAGCTTCATGTAGCTATCTAGCCTGTCCACGTCTTATATTCCATCATCCCTAAGCCCAACCCTCATCTGCCCCTTACCGCCCCTATTTGCCCTGAAATAGAACGGTACAAACACAAGATCTCTCTTTACCCCTTCTTTGCCTTTCTCCAAAGCTTCCGGCGGCCTTTCCCATCCAACTGTCCTCAGCGCAAAATACTCCTCTCCGCTCACACGGTCGACCCTCCACTCTTCCCCCACCTTTCCCTCTCTCTTCATTCCAATGTCCTTGAAATGATTGTTTTCCCAGGGGTGATCGGCGTCCTCGACGCAGTACACAATCGGCCCACGCGCAAGACTTAGCGTCCGCTGGTTTGTATAAGGGTGAGGCGCAATATACCGCGGCGCGAAGCCGTGGATATCAAGCGAGAAGACAGGGTTGGCTGCGATGTACGCCGGACTGAGGTGGAGGTATCCCCGTTCCAACGTGGACGTCCCGGGAGGAGGTGTAGGCGTGATGACGAAGTCGCCCTTAGCCCAGGCCGGGATACGGAGTCGGATCGTCGCTTCGAGGCTTTCTGCGCCCTTGAGCTGGAACAGGATATTGCCCTCCCACGGCCAGTTCGACTTCTGTGAGAGCGTCACATCGGTCCCGTCCACGGGGAAATTTACCTCGGCGCTTGTATACAGATGAACGTTCACCCACGCCTCCCCTTCCTTACCTCCGTAATCCCAGAGGTACCCACCCAAGCTTCCAAACAGCCGCGTCACATTCGGTGGACAACACGCACACCCAAACCAGCCCTCCCTCTCGCTCCTCGCGCTCTCACAGCTCGCAAGCTGGTTCTCATAGGTAAACGCCCTCCCGTCGAGGCTCATGGCGGTCATGACGTTGTTATATAGACACAACTCCATGACGTCGGCGTACCGCCCGTCCAGCTCCGGGTCCGCGTGTAACAGCCGCTCGGCAAGCATCATTACGCCCACGGAAGCGCACGTCTCGGCGTAGCAGCCCCCCTCGTCTGGGCCTTGCGGGAGGAAATAGTCGATGCCAAACCCCTCCCATTGCGCCATGGCGCCGACACCGCCAGTGAGGTACATCTTCTTGTCAACCATGTTGGACCAAAGACGGCGGAGGGCAGCGAGCCAGTCGGGAGCGGCGGCCAGGGGTTGAAGTTGTGCCGATGGGGTGCTTGTATGGGAGAGGTTCAGCAGGTCGGCGGCGGCGGTGAGGAGGTACACGACGCGGACGGCGTGGCCTTCGACGGTAGGCTGTTCGAGGATGGGCGCGTGGGCCTGGCAGTACCAGTAGGACCTGTCCATCGGGAAGGAGTTGGGCCGTTTCCAGCGCGGCTCGTCACGCTGTTCCATCTCCCAATCGTAAAAGTGCTTACCGTCCTGGCCCGTGGGGTTCCCGCGCTCTTCGAGAAAGAAGCGGGCGAGGTCGTATGCATCTTGGGAGCCTGTTACCGAGTAGAATCTCAGGAGGGCGAGCTCGATCTCGGGGTGTCCTGGGTATGCCCGCAGCTGACCGTCTCCCGGACCGAAGCGTCGGCACATATGGGCGATGTACTTCTCGATTGGCTCCATGAGGAGGTCGTTTCTGTAATACTGCGAGTGTGCAAGGGCCGCTTCAATCAGATGCCCGGCATTATACCTATCAAGATGTAAGCCACGCTGCTACGCGCCCGGCTGATTCAGATAAGAACTAACATCTCATGCATATCGCGGATATTGGTCCATCGCTTCCCTGGCTCGACAACGGAAAAATGAACGTTGAGATACCCGTCCTCGTGCTGCGCAGCCCGGATCATGTTGACCAGCTCACGCACAGCAGCGTCGACTTCCACGTCATACTCGTCGGCCAGGAAATAACAGGCGCCCTCAATCCACTTGGCGACGTCGCTGTCCCAGAACAGGTGTAGGGGCGCAGGCCAGCGCGACTTATCGTCGTATATGGGGTGCCATCCGAGCTTGAAGCAGTCGTACTGGCCGTTGTCGCGGAGCTGGTCGAGCTGGGCATGAACGGTGGTGCGGGAGACGGTACGGCGGCGGGTGAGGAGGAGGGACGGGGCCGTGAATGTTGTTTGGCGGAACGTGATCTGGGGGTTAGACATTTTTGTAGAGTTATCACTGCGAGGTTCGATGGTGAAAGGTATATCAATGGAGTTTTTGTCTTGGCAAAATCTCTCAAGCGGCCGAGGAACAAGAGCGACCTCGAAATATGAGGGGATCTCGGATCACCGGGGTAAGAATGAGAGCTGCGAGGAGCAGGGATATGAACTCAAGCTCGGTATGATATGAGACCGAGAAAGGAAAGTCGACTTGATAAGGAAGACGCGGGAAATTTCCTCCAAGCAGGACGAACAATTGGCGGCAAACCTTACCGGGCAAAATTGCGTTGGCGAGTCAAGAGCATACGAGTGATCAGGAATTGTACACTTGACTACAACCCTTTTCTTCGATGATAAGAGTTGGAGAGCGGGTAGATGGACAGATACGAGGGGCAAGCCAACCAGAGCTTGAAGCTTCACATCCCTCCGTTAAGTGATGGCCGATGTCCGGTGCGGGGTCAGCAAGGACGGGCATCTGGCAAGTTGCCTAAGCCTGGTAGCAAAGATCCGAGATAGGCTGCGAGCTGTACATCTCTACTCTCATCTCTACAACTTCTATCGCGCTTGTCTTGTTCGTCTCTTACGTCCCCTACAAATAGTAGCCACAGAGGACAATCATAGAAACAACGACAACATGAGACGAAACTAATAGGAATGGAGGGCGAGCGAGGTTGAAAGGAAGAGAGAAAAAATAACGTATCCTAGTTATTTGACCAATCGTGCGCCGAGATCCAGGATTCGCTCGAAAATATAGGGCCACGCGAACTCGATTGGAATGTTCACACGCAAGTGTTACCATTGTGGTCATGGTATTCGGGTTGCAGGATGCAAGCGCTGTCACGGGATTTCAAGATGTCATGCATCGACCGTGGCATCTCATAAAACTTTTCATTTTCAATTGGGTATGGTATCAATCTAAAAGAGATCATCAATCGCCTTATCGGCGTCCTTCTTGATGAGGTCAACCATGCCCTGGCGGAGGTTAGCATTGTTTCACTCACCGTCTCAAAAGAGGAAGAAAAAAGAAGGGAAATAGTAGGGGGAAAGGGGAGAGCTCACCTCGGGCATAATGGGCTGGCCGTCCTTGTCCGTGACATACTTGAAGGGCATTTCGGTGCTTTCGTGCTCACCGAACTTCAGCTCAGGGTAGGTAACGTAGGGGATCTTGTCCAGGGGTGCTGCTGTCCGTTAGTGATGCGGTCCCAGGAATGCGACAAACGGGGCTGGACATACTCTTCTCCTCGACGACGATTCTTGTGACGCGGACGGCTGTGTCAGTCGTCATCTGAGTGGGACCCAGACGTCTCCCCTCGAAGCCCTTCTTCCTCAACTCGGAGGTGCGGTCTGTGAGGGTCAGAAAAGACATTCACACGGCGGGGATTGGGAATGAGAAAATACCGCGAGGGGGGTCATCGCCTGATGAGAAGGTTAGCGTCAACTCAGAGCCGTTGAAAAGCCGGGCTTCAATCACGAGAAACATACCCAGAATGCCGCCAAAAAGGAAGGCGTCAAATTTTTCACCGTCCTCGGGGCTCAGGTCGCTGGCGGCGGCGGGGTCGAGCAGGCACACACGGGACTTGTCCTGGGCGTAGAGCTCCTCAACACCCCGGTTCTCGGCCTTGAAGGCCGGGACCTGCTTCAGCTTGTCCGGGGCGACGAACCCGGCGGGCAGGGAGGACAGCAGGAAGGTGCCGCCGGCGGCGTGGGTTTCTTTGGCGATGGCGATGTACTCGAGTTCCGACCACGGGCCCAGCTCGGGGTCGAGGTGCTCGACGATGTACGTCTTGCCCGTCATGTTATGCTTCTTGTCGTTCTAGCACTTGTGTGCTTTGTTGTTGCTGTTTCGGGTTGTTTAGTGGGCGATAAGGTATGATGAGGTCGAGGCTGGAAATAGAATGGTAGGCCGCGTAATAGCGTACACGGGGGAGAGGCTCCGGGCGCGATTTTGCTGGTGTGGTTATGGATGGCGAGGACGGGCTGAAATTTGGGGTCAAACGCTTGTTTGAGAGAGTCACTGTTTTGAGAATTTGGCTGGGGAGGCGCTTGTCGCTGGACTCTCTCCACTTGGGCTTCAAGCCATCGCGGGCACTCTTTGGGCAAGGCACAATGCTTAAACGCTGCTAGACCTGCCCTAACCTGGGCGCCTCTTCAGTCTACCCAGCGGGTTGAAGGTCTGTTCCGCAAGTTCCGCATGATTGACTTTCACTTGGCAACGGCTGTCCCGACAGGTCGGGGCTTATGGAAGTACTGGCATCATCGTCGTTTGGAGCAGTTGACAATATGGACTCAGTTGCACATCTCACTCTCAGAACTGTAAGGTGAGATGAACATCTGTCTTGGTACGGATACTTAAGGAGACAGAGGCACAGAAGCAGCGAGTAAGGTAGTTGATGTCTCAGGTTACGCGGCTAAAAATTGGAGATGGGGCCAACTCCTATGTACTAATGAAAATATGCCTTATGTAAGCCGGGTCCCCCGGGCGATCTGTATGAGATTTCTGTATGCTCGCTGCCGTCATGCGGCTTTGACCGGTGACCTGACGCTCCTGCGAATTTTATTCCGTCCCGCTCCCGGTCTGACAGTTGTCGAGGGAAGAAAAAGAAGACCAGAAAGCAAGAGCGATCGGCGAACACCAAGCCAACGAAACACGGGGGGTTTTTGAAAGCGCTGCCGACTGTTATTCGGCTTCGTGTCTATTTATTGGTCGATTTATTGGCAATGGTCCAACGCTCGTTTTCGGCCGGGAATTGATACCAGCCAAATAAATGATCACTCACTTGTAGATAGCAGAGGAGGCGAACGCGCGGTTCGTTCAGCGCCCAGCACGTAGTAGTGGCCGCCATGCATCAGCGTTCCGGGCGCCCTTCCACGCCGTGGGCCGGCAGTCCGTCCGTTAGAACCGTCGCCCACAGCCAGCGACTCCAGAAGTCGTAGAGGAGGCCTAGCCCCTGTTTGGAGACTGCCACAGCTGGGTCTCCGCCCATGCGGCACCACTCGGCTGCGCTACCATCCGCTGGGCGATAACAGGAAAGGGCGGCGCTGACGAACCCCCCAAGTCCTTCCAAGTCTGTGCGACACTCGCTCCAGCCTATTTCGGTAGGCGGAACAAGAGTGGGACGGGGGGAGGTACGTGGTGGTACGTGTGCGAGGCCGGGGTGTGGGAGAGAGAAAGACTGGGGACTTACCGCCTGCACGGCAAAGTGCAGGCACGAGGCAAGGGAAAGCACCGGAGAGTACACATTTCAGATCTGGATGGACGGGACAATCCAAACGGACCTCTCGCGTCGCATCTTTTTCCCTCCCTCTGCCATCTTCCTCCCTCACAATTCTCCGCCCTCCCTTCCTTCAACATCACTGCCTACTCAACAGCAGCATCCCTCTTGCTGCGGTTGATTCTTTCCTTCATTTCCTTTCTTTTCACTGCTGGGAAGACACGCCTATGCAACCTCGAGTTGGACCACGCCCCTAACTCCATCTAATCCTCCAAAGGTAGCCTCGGGGAGGCCAACACTTTCCCCATCATGGCTATCCTCTCAGTGGTGCCGGCGCTGCTACTTGTGCTGGCATCATGGGCCCCGACCGTGGCCGCCCAGAGCGCCGCCGAATACTTTGTCCACGAACTGCCCGGCGCACCAAAGGAGCCCTTCATCAAGATGCACGCTGGGTAAGTAACCGACGCCGCTCGCCCCCTTTGGACCCCTGTGGGGCAATGTGTATCGCAACCTGTGAAGCTATCCGGCTGACGCGCGTTTCATCACAGACACGTCGAAGTGACCCCCGAACACAACGGAAACCTCTTCTTCTGGCATTTCCAGAACCAGCACATTGCCAACAAGCAGCGCACCGTCATCTGGCTTAACGGCGGCCCCGGATGCAGTTCCGAGGACGGCGCCTTGATGGAGATCGGCCCTTACCGAGTTAAGGACAAAGACCACCTCGAATACAATAATGGCTCCTGGAACGAGTTCGCCAATCTGCTCTTCGTCGACAACCCCGTCGGGACCGGCTTCAGCTATGTCGATACCGACAGCTACCTGCGCGAGCTTCCCGAGATGGCCGACCAGTTTGTCCAGTTCCTCGAGAAGTGGTTCGCCATGTTCCCCGAGTATGAGCACGACGACGTAAGTGGAATCCTCGGAACCATACTCTACTTGCCCCCTGTTGACAAGAAAACAGCTCTACATCGCAGGTGAATCATACGCCGGCCAGCACATCCCCTACATCGCAAAACACATTCTCGAGAGAAACAAGAAGCCTGGAACCCAGCATATCTGGCAGCTCAAGGGTCTGATCATGGGTAACGCATGGATTTCTCCCAAAGAGCAATACGATGCGTATCTCAAGTATGCCTATGAGAAGAAGCTCATCGAGAAGGGATCTCCCGTGGCACAAAAGCTCGAGCAGCAGTGGCGCATTTGCCGAACGTCTCTGGCTGTTGCCAACACGGTCGATTTCTCCGAGTGCGAGACCGTTCTGCAGAACCTGCTTGAGCAGACGTCCAAGGTCAACGCCAAGGGCGAGCGCGAGTGTATCAACATGTATGACATCCGCTTGCGCGACACCTACCCCTCTTGCGGCATGAACTGGCCCCCAGACCTGGTCAACGTGACGCCCTACCTCCGCAGGAGCGATGTCGTCAACGCACTGCACATCAAACCCCAGAAGAACACTGGTTGGAAGGAATGCAACGGAGCTGTTGGCGCCGCTTTCCGAGCCCAGAACTCGGCTCCTTCGAGAGAATTCTTACCTGATCTCCTTAAAGAGGTCCCGGTTGTCCTCTTCTCCGGCGCCGAAGACCTTATCTGCAACCACATGGGAACCGAAGCGATGATTGGTGACATGGAATGGAATGGCGGCAAGGGCTTCGAGCTCACTCCCGGCAACTGGGCCCCGCGCCGTGACTGGACCGTCGAGGGCGAGGCTGCCGGTTTCTGGCAGGAGGCCCGCAACCTCACCTATATCCTCTTCTACAACTCCTCCCACATGGTGCCCTTTGACTACGCCCGCCGCAGTCGCGACATGCTTGACCGAGTCATGAAGGTCGACATCAGCTCCGTTGGCGGAACGCCCACCGACTCTCGTCTCGACGGCGAGCAAGGCCCCGCTACGTCGGTCGGCAACATTGGCAACAGCACCTCCGTCGACTCGGAGACGCAGAAGAAGCTGGACGAGGCCAAGTGGAAGGCGTACTACCGCTCTGGCGAGATCGTTCTGGTTATTGTCATCATCGCTGCCAGTGCCTGGGGTTGGTACATCTGGCGCGATCGCCGCAAGCGCAAAGGCTACTCGGGGATCATGGGCAATACGCTTCCCACTACCCAGCGCGGTACCTCCCGCGGCCTCGAGGGCTTCCGTGACCGGCGGACCGGTCGGGATGTTGAGACGGGCGATTTCGACGAGAGCGAGTTGGATGATCTGCACGTGGCGACGCCGACGACGGAAATGGACAAGGACCGCTACAGTGTCGGAGGGGACAGCGACGATGAGCCCCACGAGAAGCCCTCAGGGGCGAACGGTAGCCGCTCAGCGCGGTAGAGGAGACTGACGGTTTGGGGCGATAAATCGGTTTGGTTGAACTATTGATGCTCCTCTAAAAAATGCATGGAAAGTTTAGCGAAGATGATTTTACAATGAGGAGCACAGATGACACTTGGGAATTCAGCACGGGACGGAGTTTTGTGTTGTGCCTAATCATGTATAGAACAAAAACAGCTGCCTTCGTCTGAAGGAGCAAATGATCATTTATCGTCTGGTTATACCTAATGATGCATCCACAGTTTCCCGTCACAAATGATCCTCCATTGCCAATGATTCGTGTCGCCCTACTTCCCATGTGCAAAGTATCGTCTTTTTCTCTCGTACGCCCAAACACCTATTTTGTCGCAAGCGAAGCGCCTCTGTCGTTCCAATTCGGCTGTGCCGCCCAATCCCCCCGCGAAAATGCATGTGCCGACGGATATTTATGTTTATGTGTGTGTGTACCAGGCTCCTCCCATACCATGACAGTGAACGCCAGTATTCCGAATTCGTGTCCAAGAAGAGAAGAGAGGCGCCCTTCTTACAGTTGGATATCGTTGTTGAGGATGCGCACCTCCTCGCCGGGCTTGAAGGGTGGCAGGCCAATGTAGGGGCAGCCGTCGCAGCGGAAGGCGTCGCCGAGGGCGCAGTTGCCGCAGGAGCCAACCTTGCCCTGGACGGTGAAGTCGACCTCGGCGAGGTCGTCGGCGCCGAGTTTGACGGCCTCGAGGGCCTTGTCGGCGGAGGCGCGGGCGGCGGCGTCCTCGGCGGCTATGCGCTCGGCGAGGCCGCAGGTGCAGTCCTTGCAGGCGCGGCGGCGCTTGCCGGCCTTGGGGGCGCATTCGGGGGCTGTTTGCGGTTGCGTTAGCTGGATGTCTTTTCTTCTTCTTCTTCTCCTTTGGTTTTTGGTAGGGATAGGTAGGGGGGATCGAGGATACATACGGATGTTGAGGGGGCGCGAGAGGTCCGCGTCCGTGAGGAGGGTGTCCTCATCGATGAGGTCATCGTCGCCATCCATGTCCAGGTCATCGCTGAAGTCGACGAAGCCAACGCCCGCGGGGGGCGCGGAGACGGGCGGCGCCGTGGTGGGCTTGCTGCCCAACGACACGGCGCCGTCGGAGGCTAGTGCGGCCGTCTTCTTCTTCCCGAAGCTCAGCGTGACGACCTGATCTTCGCCGTAGTCCGGCTTCGTGAAGCTCCCGGCGGCAGCCACCAGGCCCGCAAGGACGGCCTCGCGCGCGACGGTCGGGTCGTTGGCGAGGTTGCCCCCGTCCTGTGCCTTCAGCTCCGCCGAGGGCTTCAGGGAGTCGGCGACGGCCGAGAGCACGGCGCGATTGGAGAGCAGGCGGGTGGACTCGACGCGGGAGCCGTCGGCGTCGGTGAGGACGAGGACGAGGTCGTAGGTGGACTGGGGGAGGGAGATGTGGCCGGCCGAGAGGCGGTCGAGCATCTGGAGGTCTGTGGTGGCGCGGTCGTGGGAGGCGAGGAGGGTCTGGAGCTTGTGCGGGTGGGAGGCGATGGAAGGGGGCGCGAGAAGGAGGGTGCGCTTCGCGGGTATCGTGTTTGCGGTCGAAGTGGGGGTGAAGTCGAAGTCGGGGGTCGTGTCGAGGGTTACGACGGAGGGCGCCATTTTGGAGATGGTGACTCGTTGCGAGTGGTCTCTGATGCGGTGCTCTGTTGGTGTTGCTTTTTTTGCGATCGGGTTGGGAGATACGATGGGAACGGGCGTCAGAGATGAAGAGATGTGATCGAACAACGAAGCTGGAAGATGTTGTGCGGTCTTTTCGCGGGGCGAGGAGAGGAGGGTGAAGAGAAACTTCCTTCATGGATTAGTAAAAAAAAAAAAGGCCAACTGTGTAGCGGGCGACGGCCGTACTGTAGGATGGTAGTGCTTGATAAGCGCTGGAACGATGAGGGGTTGGCGGGGTGGGCACCGTAATCTGGCAGGGGTTGCCGCACGGTACTGCGTAGGTTTGATTGATTCCGCGGGGGGGGCCGATCAGGTTCGGTGTTATCCTCTTGGAGTGTTCCGTCGGCTGGTTCGGTTGGGTACGGATGTTAAAGGAAAGGGGGAGAAGGGCCTTTGGTGGAAGACAGTACGGGAAGGGTGGACGGGACTTGGGACGGAGATGCAAGATTCTACAAGAGATCTTTATCAAGATCTTTGCTTACCACACGGAAAAAGGGAAGACATGTCTACGTTGCGCAGAAGGGGGGTCCGAAAGCGGCGGCACCCCGCCCCCCAAAGTCGACTTGACAATCACAAGCATGACATAAAGAGGCAGGCAGCATACCAGGATGGGAAGCGAGTGGCCAAGGGGGTAGGCAGTGGGAAACGCTGACGCTGCATTACAGATAATGACAATTGCCCAACCAAGGCAAAGAGTTTCCAATCCTCATTTCCAACAGGCCATGTTTTTTTTGGTTGGGGGTTTTTTTCCTTGCGTAGCGCGTACCCGCCTAAAAACGATAAGTGCAGTGTGAGTGGTTGTAAGGGCGGTGCACGATGGGAACACCTGCACAGTGGTAATGTTCGCTGACCGAATTTAATGTCACTGACAAAATGCTTTCTCCCCAACACTATTGGCCAGTAGGACCCCTGGACTACAGAGTTGGACGCCATCCCTGCCTCACTGGTCCCTTTGGGCATCCCTCCTAGTGCCCCAGTCCCCCTTCCGCGGGTCCTGCGACTTCCTTCGGAGTTCTTCGGCGCTGCGTCTTCTGCCTTTAGACCCTGACCAGGCATATTGAGCCGGCATCGGGTGGAATTGCTTCCTCGAGCTACTGCGGTATTGGAGGTTTTCGTTTGTCATCCAGCCGGCTGATTACCAGACGTGAGATTCTAGATTTCTTGGCGCGACGGCGGCTTGTTCGGTCCAGAACCGAGAACTCGGGGCCTGGTCGACGACTGTGAATTGACCAACTTTTTATTCGTCCCAATGAAACAAGGGATGGATGCTTTGTGATACATGAGAAAATTACGCTCTGGGCTATGTCTTCTCCAGATTGTGTGTTCCATATCCGAGCCTCAACGCCGTGGGGACCCTGGGTAGCTCTATCGTCGCTCCCTTGACATCGCCATGCAGACACTGCTCTACTACAACTTGAAGCTACTACTCGTCGCCTTGACCTCCGCCTTGGCCTTGTTGCCGTCAACGTCAACAACCTCACCCTTGCGGTTGATGACCTTGACGCCGCCCTTCTTGAGATCCGCCATCGTGTCCTTCTGCATCTGCGCCTTCTTGCTGAGCGGCTTCTTGTCCGTGCCGCCCGCCTTGCGGATGCGCTCCTTCTCGCGTCTGCGCCGCCGCAGCTTGTCCTCACGCGACATCTCCTGCTTGGCGATTGGCAGCCCGCTCTTGGCCACCACCTCGCCCTTCTCCGCCGTGTCCCTGCCGGCCTTGTAAACCTCCTGGGGCGCGATCATGCTCTGACCGCCGCTAACGCCCTGTGCCGTCGTGGGCTGCGCGTCCTCCATGGCGATCGTCGCCGCGTCCGACACGACCGTGAGCGACGGCGCCGCCGGCTTGGGCTTGTAGTGCCAGCTGCTGAGCGAGTCGAGCTTGGCGCTGAGGTCTTTCCACATCTTCTCGACCTCCTGCTCCTCCCTCTGCATCTTCTCGTCCGACTTGCTGACGTAGTTGTCCGGGTCGGCGTTTTTGATGTGCTCCTCCTCGTAGATCTCCGCGAGACCCTTGCCCGACTTGCTGTCGTCGAGCTCGATGAGTCCACGTCGTGTGTTCTGGGGCAGGTCGGCGTCGGGCCGGCGGCGGAGGACCTCGTCAAAGTCCTGCGCCAGGATCCTCCGCTTGATGAGGTCCTCGATGCCCTCGCTGACTTCGGCCGTGATGACGGGCACGGGCTTGCCGAGGTGCTCGAAGGCCAGATCCTCCTCCAAAAGAGAGTTCATGGGACGCTCAACGGCAGACGCCTCACCTGTTAATGTCCACTGGCGCTTGGCGACGGACTCCGCCTCGAGCTTGCGGATCTCCTCGGCGAGCTTGGCCTGGCGTCTCTCGTGGGCGGATCTACGTGACCTCGGGTCGCCGGCGGAAACGTCTGACAGGGCATCGTCGGAGTCGTCTCCGTGATCAGACTCGTCGTCAAAGAGATCCCTCCTAACGTCCTCCATGGCACGCTCGACATCCTCCTCAGCAACTGGCTTGGGCGCAAAGCGTACAGACCTATTCTTCTTGTACTTGCCGTCCTTGGATGCCTTCTTCGCCGGTGGCGCGAAGAAGTCCTTGAAATAGATACCGTTGGCGTTGAACTCCTGATCGTCCTCCATGGCGTCATCCATGTCCTCGTCATCGCTTGCACCTTCGGGAGCGTTGAGGTCCATGTCACCAAACGTTGGACCGTCCTCCTCATCTTCCTCCTCGTCGGAGCCGGCATCCTCCTCCATATCATTGTCCTTGCGTTTTGAAGACTTTGACTTGCTTGATGGCGCCAGCGGGTCGGCGGTCCAGTCAATGTCTTCGTCGTCGCTGTTGGCGTCCGTGTTGGGGTCCCCTCGTGCGTCTTGCTCCTCGAACCACTGGGTCTGCTTGTTGAACTCGTCGATGGAGAAGAAACCGTCATTAAGACCGTTAGGGTCCTCAACGTACTCCTCTTCGTCATCTTCTTCCTCCTCATCTTCATCTTCTTCGCCCTCGTCTTCGTCCATGTCCTCGAGATCTCCAGTAAGACCCTCGACATCGGATCCTCCAACCTCCTCTTCGTCAGATTCCTCCTCCGCACCCTCCACGTCGGACCCTGACTCCTCCTCATCACTGGAGCCCTCCTCAAGTTCAGAATCCCCTCGTTGGAATCGACGGAGGTCTCCTCGCCGTTGATGCCGGTCGTGACAACTTCGTTTCGCTCCTCGAGTTCCTTCAGGGTCTCCTTGGAGTGGTTCAGAGCGCTCTGAATGATGCGACGGGCTTGCTGCCAGACCTGGCCCGTTTCGAAACCATCGACATGAACCTTGCGGATCTTGAGAACATCGGCCCTTGCGCCACCGTCGGCTCGCTTGCGCTTCTTTGTTGCTTCCTTCAGCAGGCGCAGCTGCTCGTCGCTAATCTGTCCGGCAAAGGCGTCCAGCGTGTCCTTGACGACCTGCAGCGAGGCGGAAGGGATCGCGGATGACGGTTGGAGAAAGGCATGACGTTTTTCGGCGCCCAAGTTGTCGTAGAGGGCTCGCACGTCGGCGACGCCGCCAGGAGGAAGCTGGGCGGCCATACCGGGCGCGAAGGTGAGCGTGTTGGTTGTCGACGTCAGGGAGGAAGACGTGCTGCTGCCCGCCGCCATGATATTTTTTTCTGGCTTGGGATATGCGTGTTTCGGCCGTGCAAGATTTCACTTTTTTTTTAGGCCTGCACTTTCCGTAAGAACCAGCAAAAAATTTGGAACCCCGCAAAACGCTCGGGATGGTGGGTCGCATGTGATTGGCCAATGAGGTTAGTGCTGCCTGTCGAGAAGCATTAGCTAATCGTTCTAGTTCACGAACCGTTGTCTATCCTGTTTGTCTCTATCGTTTGAGTTCATTTTCCACTGTTTAAAGCTTTTGATGATGGCTGCTTTTTTTCTACAATTATCATCTCAATGTACTAGTTGCTTGGGCTTGGCATTGCCATCACCAGAGTCACTAGAGCTCCTCTGTTTCAGCAACGACAACTATTGAGTAAGAACTTCTGCAGATGTAATCTAGCGTATAGTTTATTCCAAAGAAGCTCTCGGGACAGAAGCGAGAATTTACTACTTAGAAACCAATTTCTAATGATGAACAACTATGAAGGTGCATTAAAATCGTTCTTTGACACAAGTTCCAACACGATCCGGCTCGGTGGCGGGACCGGATCAGCCCCATATCTGTACCTCCGAAATGATTACTAAGAGCACTAGAGATGCCGACTTGACTCAACTTACATCGCTATGCTCCGTCATAAAGCCTTTCGACCGACATACCCTGTGATGTGACATCGCTTCTCAAGACGAACGTTTCGACACGATATATACCTACTCAAGCAGACACGTTACCAAGTAAAACATCGTCCAAGAATTTTGTGGCCAAAAATTGCATGCGAGTCGGCTCTCATTGTTCGTAAGTGAGGTGAAGCCTGCGCCTTGCAACAAGCTACCAGCATACCTTACCTTTCGGCCTCTTCTACCTGGCTTCCCCTTGATCTCATTTGCCTGGACCTTACAACGAGTCAACCCCCAATGTCTCATGTCGGTACTTCCAACGACCCTGCGGCTTCCGTAGCGGCCTCCCGATCAGATGGAAAGGTCCACCTTCTACTGGCCTGCAGCGGCTCGGTAGCGACCATCAAACTGCCCAACATCATCCAGGCCCTTGGACACCATAGGAACCTTTCAATACGAGTCATCCTCACAGCCTCTGCAACCGAGTTCCTGAATGGCTCGACAGCAGAACAACCCTCCCTCGCTGCCATTCGAGCGCTGCCAAACGTCGAAGCTCTGCACCTTGACGCGGACGAGTGGGTGCAACCATGGCGCCGCGGGGCGTCGATCCTGCATATTGAGCTGCGACGGTGTAAGTCACGCCAGCCGCCATCTGGAGAACCTGCTCCCCTTTCGTACTTGAAGCTAAATTTTCCTTCCAGGGGCGGATCTAATGCTCGTTGCACCGCTGTCAGCAAACACACTGGCCAAGGTCGTCAACGGTTTCTCGGACAACCTTCTGGTAAGTTGACATGTATTTCATAACCCACATTCTTATTAATCCGTCTCAGACTAGCGTTATCCGCGCATGGGACCCCGAGGGACTCATCGACGGAAGAAAGAAGAAGATCCTGGTGGCGACCGCCATGAACTCGGCTATGTACGCACATCCAATCACCGCGAAGCAGGTCAAGGTTCTGGAGGAAGAGTGGTCCTGGTTCGAGGTGTTGAAGCCCATAGAGAAGACACTCGCATGTGGCGATACTGGGAGTGGGGCAATGATGTCCTGGGAGGATATTGTCAAGATTACGGAAGAGAGGTTGGGACTCGGGGCTGGTGTTTAGTGACGGGCGATGGGTAGAAGATCCCGCATCAACGATGCAATGCGCGTGAGCTTCTCTGATTTCTCTGCTAGCAAGCATAGCGTATATTTAGAAGACGAAACCGAGTGTTAAGCTTGTCACGGGAGAAGTCATCAGACAATGACGAATTATGGCTAACGGCAAATGCAGTGCCATATATGGACAACACGTAGCTAGTGTACATTTCCGGCCAAGCTTAGTACCCGGCAAGCGACGCAGAAAACGTACGCTAATCATCGCGACACCCCATGTCCTGTTATGCATATCCTCAAGACCTTTCCCAATTCCTTAATCCACGATTTCCTCGATGCAAATGCTAAAGTTCCGGGTCCCAGATAATGCTATGCCGAAAAAACGAGAAAGAGATCGCCTTCCATTGCCCCCTTATCCCGGCCATCCCACGTTTTCCTCCTTCACCCGCTCCGTGGAACATTACCGAGTTTCTGGTTCGCCTCGAGCGTCGGACGTGGTTGCTGAACACAAGTAAAAAAGGAGACCACTTATCCCTACAATCCAACCAGAGAATAACTTAAGATATGTATATGTATGAGCTCGCATGTAGTTGCCGATTAGGTGTCATGTCTGAATGTGCACTTGTCGCCTCTAGCGCATTTGCCTTGCTGCCAGAAGCTGCACGGTTTGGTTCCGATGAGGGCGCGGTTGACTGGACGATGAGGAGGGAGCGTGGCGCCGCCAGGAGCGTTGCCTTTGCGGTTCTTTCCCTGCTTGCCGCCTCTCCCTTCGCGGCCGCGTTCCTTATCGCGCTCGCGCCCGCCGTGGGGCTCGAACTCGTCTCTAGTGTCTCGGTCGCTGTAGTCGACCAGCTGCCGCTGCAGATGAGGGGGTTTGAACGGTGGTTGGTCATGATTAGGAGGAGACTGTGAACCAACTGGCGGAGGCGGCGGCGGTGGTGGGGCGGCTTGTTGTTGTTGCTGCTGCTGCTGCTGTGGTTGTTGCTGTTGCTGTTGAAGTTGAGCGAGCATCATCAACTGCTGGTAGCTAGTGTCTTGCGGGTTGAGCCCGTACACATTGCCTTGGGACGCCGGCTGTTGTTGACCCATTTGAGCAAGAATGGCCTGAAGCTGATTGTCGCCTGCCAGGGTAGGCGCTGGAACAGGTTGGGCTGGCTGTTGAGGCTGACTACCCTGCAGCATCGCCATATATTGGGCGTACTGCTGCTCCTGCTGCTGGTAGTACGCAGCCCAAGCGTCTTTCTGGTCTTGAGTCTGGGATGCAGGGTGTTGTACTTGTGCCTCAACCTCAGGCTCAGTGCGAGCCTCATCGTCCGCCTCCTTCTTCGCTCTCGCCGCTGAATCCTTTTGATACCCGGTCCACCACTCCCTTACTCTTTCTTGGTTGCTGGTAAGCCATGCGGGCGGGCTAGTTGCGGGATATGGCAGTCCTCTCAACGTTTCCGCTGCTTCCTCTACGTTGTCGGCAGCCGCCTGGATAGTCGAGTCAGGGTAGTCGTAGCGTCGATGGGTCTGCGGTGCTGCGGGGTTGAAGGGAACGAGATCCTGCCAATTCTTCACTTTGTCCGAGGTGAGAATTTCGTAGACCTCGTCATCGAACGGAATTGCCGGAACATGTTGCATTTCAGCAGCATGAGGCAGGATGGGTTGCGCATTCTCCTTGGGTGGGGTCATGTTGTATGGTTCAGGCTCAACCGCTGGCGCGATTGGCTTGAGGTTGCCCAGGATCGAGTTGAGTTTCGTAGCGGGATCATCTTGAGCATCAAGGCGTTTGCGCGCGTAGTATCCCGCTGCTTCCCAGCCGAACACTTGGGCCTCCTTCCACCGCTTGTGAATCTCGTCGTACTTCGGCTCTCCTTGAGGGAGCTGTGAGGTCTTGCCCAGGGAGCTGAGCGTTGCGGACTCGGGCGGCGGAGACTTGGGAGTTGGCGGGATGTCCGAGACGTCCATGTATGTAACCATTAGCTCCTTCTTCTCTCGTTCCTCAGTAGCCTTCTGTTCCTCCGTATGGAAAGTAAGGTTACCTCCACGAGTAACATAAGCCTTATCGCGGTAGTCCTGAGGAATCCTGGATAGATTGGCAAGGATCGGCTTGACCCAGGGTTTCTCTGGCAGATCCTCGTCCTCATCCTCGTCTTCATTGTAGGACCGCTGCTTGAGCATCATTCCCTCAGATCGATCATCTGCCGCGTCCTTGGTCATGTTGTCCTGGTCTTCAGCGGCCTCCTTGTGGAAGATGCGAACCTGTACCAGCTCTGACTCGGGTTTCCAGCTGACACGAAGCTTCCGGCGAGCTTCCTTGCGGAGTCGCTTTTCCTTTTCCTCGGGAGTCTCTGCAATTTCCTTCTTACTCGAATCCTTCGCTTGGGTTGAGGGCCCATCCGCCTTAGGCGTATTGATGGAGTCGAGTAGAGAGGCGATACTTGAAGAAGCCAGGCCTGAGGTTGCGGCAGCCTTCGCCGCGGGCACTTTCGGCTCAGGTTTGGGCGCGGATGGCACTGGTTTCTTGTCAACGTCCATTGCGGACGAAGTCGACCCTTCAAATTTCGTAGGTTCGAGTTTGACAGGATCTCTTCCGCCTGGTTTGGGCGCGGGAGCTCGGATTTTCCCTGCAAGAGACGTTGAAGCAGTCGGGCGAGGTTTTGTAGCGCCGAACTTGGACTGAAGGGAACCAGCAGCAGGCTTCGCCCCCAGTTTGTTACCCAAAGTGTTGTTCGTTGATTCGATGGCCACCTTCTTGACAGTGCGAGAGTCGCTGTCGTCATCGCGAGCTCTTTTTGCAGGGGAGCCATCAAGTGGCTTCGCAGCGGGCTTTGGTGTTTTACTAACCGGGGCTGTCGAAGATGTCTTTTTGACGTCAACGCCGTTGATTGGCTCCGCATCCTTCTTGATCCGAGACGCGATAGTACGAACCAGTTCCTTGACTTCATCGTCGCCTTTATCCGCAAACCGCTTCCGGACATTTTCGAAGTTCACAGCCTCTGCGACTTTCTTGTGTATGCTGATGTTGGACATAAAGCGAAGGAGGGCCTTTGGCAATGGTCCACTGAAGTCAGCTGCCTTGATGCAGCCAATCAACATGTTGACGAGACTCAGTATGCCCTTCTGATGGCCGCCAAAGTTCTCTAACACGGCTTCATCGCCGTGCTTAGCGGCTGCCTCGCAAACCCTAGTAAAGATCTCTCTCTTCACATGCATTTTACTGTTCCATTCGGCAATGACAGATGCAGGCTTTTTTTCCTTGTTGGCCTGATCGACCTCCTGTTTCAGTCGGTTCACCTCCGACCTGAGCTTGACGAGGAATTCACCCAGAGCCTGCACAGCAGTGCCGAGAAGGGCAGTCGTTCTGGTGGCTGAAGGGTCAATATAGACAATGCCCAGGATATCCCATACGGCAGCTTCTACAGGATCGGCAGGCCGCGTCTCAGGACGGATGGGCCTTTTTCGCTCTTCCTCCTCTTCCTTTCGGGCTTTTCTCTGAGCTTTGGATTTGGCTGCTTCATCAGCCTTCAGTTGTTCCTGAAACGTGAAAGGGAACTCCGAATATTTAGGCCGGCCAGATTTGAGATCCCCCATCTCGCGTCCATACTGCTCAATAAGAGCCTTGGCCTCCGTCTCCCGATCTCCTGGTTGCCCGACAAAGTTCATCGATGGTCTGTACTTATCAGTGAACCTGCCTTGGATCTCACAGGGAAGGTCACGACCGAGCTCCGGAAGAATTGGCCGTCCACTTGGTGATGGCAAAGCAACAAGGGGTGCGAGTCTATCATAGCTCTTGGGCGCGGCTAATTTGACGGTGCCCGAAGAAATAAGGAAAGATGCCCCGGGGATAGGCGGAAACTGTTTTTTGGACGCAGCGGTGCGTTTCTTAAACTTCTCCATGGCTACGATCTCTTCTTCAGTACTCGAAGGCAAGACCCAAGTTTCGCCATCGTCATCTTTCTTCAGGTTCGGGGAATCCGACCGTTCCACCTCTCCTTCTTTCTTTGTAACACGTTTACGCTTCTTCAAGGGCTCAGGTTGAAGGGCTGGGTCGATGGTGGGTGTGCCAGGTTGAGAAGCAGGTGCTGCCGCAATGGGCTGTAGGTGTGGCTGCTGCTGTGGCTGGACATTACGAGCTGGTGAGGGAACCGCCTTGGCTTGATGGACAGGTTGTTGCTGTGCTAAAGGCTGCGATGTATGCTGGGGAGTCGACTCTTGATCAGGCATCTGTTTCGCAGCGACAGGCTGGAACGCAGGTCTTACTGCAGACTGCGAATATGATATTGGTTGAGGAACGAACTTGTGCTGCTGGTAAGGCGCAGCTTGGTTCTGCTGGAAGGGAGGCGGAGTCGGGTTAGAGAAGCCTTGGTTGCTCTGCTGATGGGACTGTTGAGTCTGGAAGGGGTGAGGCGACTGGGAGAAGACTCGTTCAGGCTGAGCCTGGTGTTGTTGTGGCGATGGGACATAAGCCTGGGGAGCCGGCGAGTAGGACTGAGGAACTGAGTCGAAGCGCTGCTGTAGTTGCGCTGGTGCCTGGTGGCCATGCTGGGGCATCAGTTGAGCGTCGGTGTATTGAGGTACATTGCCATTGAAGAGCTGGTTAGCCTGGCCGTTGTACTGAAATTGTTGCTGGGTAAAGTCAGGCGTATGGCCATGGTTCAAGTTGTCGATGTTGGCCGTGAAGTCTGCCTTTCCTGGCTGGCCGTACATGTCTTGCGGAAAGTCATTAAGACCAGCCAGTGCATCCTCTTGCCCGGCGTCAGTGTAAGGCGTATCCAACGAGAACTGATTGTGACCGTTATGGAAGTTTCCGTGGTTCAGAGCAGACATGCTGCTGTGCTCGGTCGCCACGGTGGCATGAGCTTGATGAGGTGAGGCATAGAGATTGTTCTCAGCACTATTCCCTCGGGCACCAAGATGAGAGAAGGCATTCTGATTAGGGAGTTGATGCTGCCAGTTTTGGGAAGCATCGAACTGGGTTGACCCATCAGGGAACCCATAAGGACCCGACCACAAGTTATTATGGCCCTGGGGAGAGCCTGCCTGGCCATTTGGCTGCCAGTTCTGCATATTATCGGCCTCCTCAATGGAAAGAGAAGCACGTGATGGATGCGGAAGTCAAAATATCCTCATGCGATCATTGGTGGTGGTGAGCACTGCACGGCTGGAGCCAATTAGCATATGTTCCTTGAGAGAGCACTAAGTTTGATTGGCACGCAGACTAGCTCGGCTGTGAATCGGGGGATAATCAGGGCGTGATCAGACGAGGACGAGCAAGAAGCCACGCTGATTGGGTCGAACAGGGGTCCAAGAATGCAGCGTCTTGAAAAGGAAAGGCCTTGAGGTGGTGGTGTGGAGATAGAAAGTTTGGGATGTTAAGGGTTGGACGGTGCAGGACCTAGCCAAGTAGGTACTCTGTCTAGCAAAAGATGTGGTGGAGGAACCTGGAGTGGCGGGAGATATAATCCCGACGGCTAAATGCCGGTCGGAGGCTTGCAGCTTACCTTGAGGTGGCAGCGAATAGAAAACAAGAGGAACTAAGCCAAATACGGCGATCCGACAAGGATTATGGTGTGGTGAAAGCGCCAGAGGCACTGAATTTCGATGGGAGGGAATGACGAAGGGCGATCGTATGTTCTCTTGTGTGGTAGACTACGAAACTGGTCAGCACTCAGGATTCGGTTTGGGATGGCAGTGGCAGTGCTCGTGTTGATTTGGAGTCTGGCGATTGGAAACTGAGACGTCTTCTGTGAACCACTGGGTCCGTAGTCCGTGGATGACCTGGTGCTCTAAACGGCGCAGGAAGTGAAGGGTCTTGGAAACCAACAAGTGGTTGGTTGGAGGAAAGCCCAGCTGGTGGCACTTAGAGACACCGAGGCGATCGCCCCCTTCTGAAGTCGAAGATAATGAAGGGCATTGGGCAGGGTGCTTGGATGGTTGATCTTCGCTTAGATGCGCAATTGACGGGTAGATTGAAATCCTCGATGGACGGCTGAGGTCGAAAGGAAAGCCGGAGCTGAACGGGATGGACTTTGTGAAGTAGCTTCAGAGCCGGACATCCTCATGTCTCTGCTTCCCAGTGCAGTTGTCTCCCAGTCAACGGCGAGTAGTAAAGGCGAGATGAGGTGAGGTGTGGTGAAGTGTGCCTTCAGTTGTTGGGTGGTCCCTTGTTTCCAGTGGGCTTCAACCTGCCGACCGTTCGCTGTGGTAAGGTCCAAGGCCCAAACAGCGCAAGGCGCTCTGAAAAAAGTGAGATGCACCAGAGACCCGCACCTAACCCAGCGCCGCAACCCGCGCAGAGGGTTCTTGAGTGCCCCAGTGAAGTCGAAAATTTCCAACGAGAGGCTGAGTGAACTGACGAATGCGGTGATGACGATGATAGCGATGACCTGCAGCATCGACCAGTTTCCGAAGAACTGAGTTGTCTGAAATGCCCGATTTGCTTCTTCCCTCAAGTGACCCTTTTTTTGCATGGGGTTCCAGCCGTTCCACCACGCCGCGGAACAAGGCGTTCTGCTTTGCAAAACATTTTAAACAAGAGGGTTACTCGTGTGTCCTTGTCCACATTTCCACGCGCGTTGTGTCTGCGTCTGCCCCTGATCTGATCCGACTTTGCAAGTTCATCGCTGCAGAAGTCCAGTGCGGGTTGAGTTCGAACACCATGGGTTCATCATGATTTTCACTCAAACAAACATTTTCCTATGTCTGCGTCTCCAAGAGAGGATGATGGCGGGTCGATCGTGATGGGAGTGCGTTGATCAATGATGGCGGTGCTGGTGATGAGGGATGAAGGGGGATGGACGGAGGCGGTGATTGGGGACGGAGGGAGGGGAACGTGAGTTTGGCTTGGGGGGGGAAAGTGTATCATACCCTGCAGTTCTCGTCTCTACCCAGCGCAAGTTATGATGCGTTCGGAGAAGAGCTGGCTTCGCGATCCTTAACGTGGTTCGCGATTTTTTCTGTTTGGAATTGACGATGGTCGCGAAGATTACAACATGACGGTCGACTGCCCGGGAAGATGGGCGGGCGAAGACTGTCTACCAAAAGAAGGGGACAAAATGGAACGACCGCTGAGGATCTGGGAGGCGACAATCAAACAGTCAAGTTAGGTGCCTTCAGTTGCCTTCAATAGCCCCAGAAAATGAAGAATCAGGAGTTGCTCAGGGAGTCGTCGCCAGTGGCCTTCCGACGCGTCTTCCTGTCGATTATTTTCCGTGTGTCGGCGGTGACTTTTGGTTGATGATGAAGGAGGAAGAAGCAGGTTGTTGTCGTGGCAGAGGAGGAAAAGCTGGTCATTGTCACAGTGGCCTGTCCAAAGGGATGGCGGGAAGGTCACTTTGTGGCCGCACATCTAAGGCATGACAGCGGGTCCGAGCTGGAAAGGGCCAACACTTTCCAGGACGGAAGGGCCATGGGCCTGACTTGCTTTAGGCTGTGACGAGGCGGGGCCTCGTGCCTTCCAATCTGGACCTGAGCCACAGGCTTGCACACCCAGGCATCCTTTGACAGGTCACCTGGGTCCAGCCGGGGCCATTCCCGCCCAGTGTCGGTTCCTCCCACCTGTATTGCCCTTCACGGGCAGCCGGAACTCGGAGACTCAGTAACGCCGGCCCATGACATCGTTTCTCACCTTGGGAGGGGATCCACTTCAATACAAGCACGGGCAGGTCAGCGGAATCATCCATGAAATGTGGCTCGACGGCACTTTGAGGACACCGATGCTGGAGCCGTGTACGTACCTCTGTTCGTCGCAACCGCAAGCCGTCAACCTCAATTTGCCAACGCAACCGCGAAGAACACTCGATTGAAGTTGCAGCATTTACATTCGATAGCTGTTGCAAGCCTTGGCGTTGATTTTATGCGACTCGTTGATACGCCGCCCCTGGCAATTCCAGCTTCTTTGAGCTAGCTAGAGCTGCGAAGCTCCCCCACCATCGCCATGGCAGCGAAAGGCCATTCGCTGCGCGATCGCCAGATCTGTACGTCGCATGGCCTTTGACCCCTATGCCCCTTATATATATGAAGCTAACGGACTTGAAGCTGCCCTGAAGAAGCTTCTTAGCCTGAACGACTCCTTCACCGAAGTCGACACCGATGACGCCCAAGCCAATGGTGGCGCACTTGGACCGACGGGCGCGATCATAACTTCAGATGGCGACCCTCTCTGGAAGGTCCTCGTCTTCGACGACCTCGGCCGGGATGTTATCAGCAGCGTTCTCCGGGTTAGCGATCTGCGGGCGTTGGGCATCACGATGCACATGTACGGCTACTTATCCCTCTCAAGCACGGTAGTCGACTAACACACGGGCAGGCATATTGGGTCCTCCAGACACGCAATCCCAGACGTCCCGGTCATCTACCTGCTCGAACCGACGGCGCAGAACCTCCAACACATCACCAGCGACCTCCAAAAGGGCCTTTATACCCCCGCTTACCTGAACTTCCTGTCCTCCATCCCACGACCGCTGCTGGAAGATTTCGCAGAGCAGACGATAGCCGCCGGGACGTCGGACAGCATTGCCAGGCTAATGGATCAATACCTGAACTTCATTGTTGCGGAGCCAGATCTGTTCAATCTGGGAATGCAACGAGACCACACATACTGGGCGCTGAACAGCGCAACGACCAATGACGAAGAGTTGGACAGAGTGGTTGACAGGATCGTCAGCGGCTTATTCAGTGTCGTTGTTACCATGGGCGTCATTCCCATTATCCGATGCCCCAAGGGCGCCGCCGCCGAGATGATCTCAGCGAAGCTCGACCGAAAGTTGCGCGACCACATTCTCAATTCGAAAGAAAACTTATTCTCCTCCAGCGCCCGTCCGGCTTCTTCTGCCGGAACGCCACAATCCCGCCCTGTGCTTATCATTCTCGACCGCAATGTCGACTTAATACCTATGCTATCCCATTCTTGGACCTACCAATCGTTGGTCCACGATGTTTTGAATATGAAATTGAACCGCATTACGATAGAGACGCCCATAGACGAGAACAACCCTGCCAAGGGGACTACCAAGAAGGCATACGACTTGACTGCCAGCGACTTCTTCTGGACCAAGAACGCGGCCGTGCCATTTCCTCAAGTAGCAGAGGACATTGATGCTGAGTTGACCAGATACAAGGAGGACGCGGCAGCGGTGACCAAGAAGACTGGAGTGACGGACCTCGAGGATCTGCAGAACGACACAAGCGCCAGCGCGCAACACCTGAAGGCAGCCATCACTCTGCTGCCGGAGCTGCGCGAGCGCAAGGCGGTGCTCGACATGCACATGAACATCTTGGCAGCGCTCCTGACGGGCATCAAGAACCGCCAACTAGACAACTTCTTCCAAATCGAGGAAGGTGTCATGAAGCAAACCAAGGCACAAATATTGGAGCTTATCAAGGACGGCACAAAGGGCGATGAACCCGTTGACAAGCTGAGACTATTCGTCATTTGGTACCTCAGCACCGAACAAGAAGTAAGCCGGACAGAATGGGAGGGGTTCGAGAAGGCCCTGACTGAGTGCGGCGCGGATACGACATCTCTCCCGTATATTCGACAGTAAGTACTCCAGGCGTGCATCAATACGGTCCTTTACTAACAAACGCCCCCCAGAGTCCGTGCTACCACCAAGATGACCCAGCTCACCACCATTTCCAACCCCAACACGAACCAGGCCGCCTCCTCCGATATCTTTGGCCGCTTCTCCTCCATCTCTAACCGCCTCACCGACCGCCTGAAGGAGACAGGCGTTCCCACTGGCCTGTCTTCCAACTTTGAATCCCTCATTGGCGGCATCAAGAACTTCCTCCCCGCCAACCGCGACTTGACTATCACCAAGATCGTCGAGTCCATCATGGACCCCTCCACCGCCGCGAGCTCCGCCATCGCCAAGACGGAGAATTACCTCTACTTCGACCCCCGCTCCGCCAACGCCCGCGGCACTATGCCCCCGCCGAGTGCCATCCGCGCTGGCGCCGGAGGCTCCTCGGCGCCAGGTGGCCTTCCAGGCCAGTCGCTTGGCGGCCAGACCGTGGGCACCGGTGCCAGCTTCGGCCAGCGCCGCCAGGGCTTCTCCGAGGCCGTCGTCTTCACCGTCGGCGGCGGCAGCATGGACGAGTACGGCAACCTGCAGGAGTGGGTCGAGCGGACGGGCGGCGACCGCGCGAGGAGGCGGGTCGTCTACGGCAGCACGGAGATGCTCAACGCCGACGAGTTCATCAAACAGGAGCTGGAGAGGCTCGGCAAGGAAGTGGCTTCGTAGCGCGGGTCAAGTGGTCGTTATGTGGTAGCTTTACAACTGGGCAGGCCAGTTTTACCAGTCGCGGGCTGAAAGAAAAGAGAGTAAATACGATTCCCAATCTAGTTCATGTACGCCGTTCCTCTCGGCTTGACCGCAATGATCACCTTGGTGCTTGTCAGAAGTCGTGGAGCGTTTGCGTAAGAGCACCTACCTTGTGCGGTTCCCTCTTGTAGGACTAATTCAGCCACGCCATTGCGGCATTGGTCCGTGACCAAATTGGAATGCAAGTGATGATGACCAAGGGGGGGTGACATCCATCCACCTCTCTTCTGGGCAAGGCACAGTGTGCAAGATCACGTTCAACAGCGGAACACTCCGTGCATGCAAATAACTTTGGCAATCTGAACAAGTCATGTCAAATTCGGGTCTCTGTTGGTTGTTGATCTCATTTCATCATTTTCTCAAGAGCTGCCCCGTCTACTGAAAATCCCTCCCCGAAACCAAGCTGCGAACCGACCCCAATCCCCATCCCGTCATGGGTGCCGACGACCCAACCTCCTCCATCACCCATCAAGGGTGGACTGAGGGACGCCGGGTCGAGAGGCATGCAGAAGAAAAGAAACTCCAGTGGATGTTCCATTGTGATATCAGAGAAACCAAAACGCAACAGAACGTCGTGGGGTGGGGAAGGGGGTCCGCGCAAGTTGGGAAAGGAAAAAAAGACTAAAGCACACATAATCCAGAAACGCGTAAAAGTAGGAAAAAAGCAAAGTCATTAGAGTTACATCCAACCACCCATGGTCGTACTCCAAATATGATGGAGTTGAAAACTCCCCAAAAGTCGTGTTCGCCGTCCACCGAGCCCTTTCCACCAAGAAAGGGGCGGGTATAATGCTCACAATAGAATCGTCATGAAACACGCAAAAAGCGAAGAACAAGCGTTCCCCGTCAACAAACTGACCATCTCCCCGAAGCGATTAAACACCTCTGAACATGCGGACGATCAGGAACCACATTGCGCCGATGAACTTGAAAGACGACAATCCAGCGACAGACCAGAGCACCACCGACATGTAGATATTGGCACGACCGTCGGTGTCGTCAGTGCTGTTAGCAGAGGGGCTTATCCTCTCCAGACCAGCGGCACTGAGGACGACGGCAGCGAGACCAAAGTTGGAGATCATCCAAGCCAACACGACGACAGAACGAACACCACGGTAGTAGTCCATCTGGGCCTCGGCCAACTGCGATTCTGTCGGGGCTTTGACCTCCTTCACGAACTTGGTGCCGAAGACCGCAAGTTCGCGTTCGTACTGTGCGTTGAGATCGGCCTCGTCTGGGAGATCCGTCTTTCCGGAACCGTCCTTGGTACTGACAGTAGGTAGCTTCTCGGCCTTGTCGTCACCCTTTGTACCCCAAGAAATGTCGTGCGTGTTGCAGAACGCGTAGACGTTGAGAATGTTGGTGTAAGTGGGCGTCAGAAGCATGTACTGCCCGAAGGAGGTAATCATGTGCCAAGGGTCAAACATCAGCAGCGAGGCAAGGAGCCAAATACCATAGGTCGACATGACGGAGATGATGAGGGTGTAGAAGACGGGATTTTTGAAGAGGTCGGTCACGTTGAAGCCATTGGCGTCATTGACATCAGCGATGATAGCCTTGACGGCAATAAACACGGCAGCAAACAACAGGTAGCTGGGAAAAGTCAGTTAAAGATCGGCAAACCAAGCCAAATAGTAGACTCACATCATTATAAAGGCCCAGAAGTAAACCATCGTGATGTAGTAAGGCCCCGAACCAGCTGGACGATTGCCCATGGAAAGGACGAAGCACGTTATCAGAGCTATGCCGTAGACCCAAGTGAAGACGACACCAAGGATCTCGCCGGTTCTACCGAGCAAGTTGTCCTCACCCAGACTTGTTGTCAGGATCTTGAAAACCAGGAAGAAGTTACCGATAGCGAACCAGGCGAAGATGAGGTTGATCGTGTTGAAGACGAACTCGATGAAGAACATAAGCTTCCGAAGCATCGAGTGATCGGACCGGAAGAACTCGTAGAAGTGGGCAATAGCGTAGATCCCAGCGAAGAAGGAACCGTTCAACCAACGACGACGTTGAAGGACCAATTCCGTGACTGTGTCCGGCACGTCAGTCTCGCCAGTAGCGGACTTGACGTACTGAAGGATCCAATGGCAGTTGCGCTTAGTGACAAGCTCGAAGCAGAGGATACGATCCTCGGCGAGATACATGTTCGATGTGAAGATACCAGCGCCAGCACCCTCGAGCTTCTCGCCGGCAAAGTACTTCTCCAGTGGACCTTGTCCGTTCTTGTCGTTCTGCAGGGCAACATAGCGGTAGGCGGAGAAGGCACCAGGCAACACGGAGATGAAGCCAAAGGCGGATTCCAGGGGCTTGTCAAGGATGTTGCTCATCTTGTACTCGAAGTTCTGCGTCGCAACCAGGGGGTTAAGAAGGTGCTTTCCACCCGTTCCCAACATGGCCTTGATCTCACCGCAAGCGCCGGCACACATGGGCTCAAGGTCGAATGCCTTCCAGAGGTGGTAAATTGAGTTGCCACCGGGCTTGGTACCAGCATCGATGAGGACACAGATGTTGGGGTCGAGGACACGGCCGAATGCCTGGAAGAACCATCTGTGGGAGTTGATCTTTTTCTGGTTCTTTTCCTTCAAGCAGAACAACATCTGGACGGGCTGCTGCTTAGGGACCAACGTGACAACGTCGTTCTTGATCGTCATTCCGACTTGGGACGTGTATTCGTAAATGTGGGCTGTGACATCTTTGCCGTTGACTTGCTGCTTTGCAATGCCCTCCTGGTACACACCCATACCGGCCAGCAGAGCCCTGGTTCTCGGGTTGATCTTGGCACGACCGTCACTGACGACACAGACGACAATCTTCTTCCATGCGTCCTTGCCCCATGTCTTGCTCTCTTTTCGGTTGCACATGTACTCGACGTTCTTGAGGACACCGATCATTGTTCGTGCGAACAGGATTTCGTCCTCGTTGTACATGGTGACAACGATGAAAAGCTCCGTGTGCCTGGGCTTGGAGAAGAGCCTCTGTCGCAGCGTAAAGTTGTCATCGTAGAAGTAGTTTGGGTCGCACGTGGCCGCAGAGTAGCGCATGTGGGTGAACTCATCGCGCTCGCCGTGGGGAATCTGGTTGAGGAGTCTGGGGGGCACGGGGCAGTCGAGAACCAAGTTTCCGCGGTACAGTAACACCTGCTTGACAGTCTTCCACCTCTTGATTCCGCCGGCCGGCTGCGGTGTCGGGTTGTCCTGGTATCCGTCGGTGGCCGTGCTGTCTTGGTGAGGCAGCATTGGCCTGTTGTCGTCGTACTCGTTGTAACCAGTGGGCTGGTCATAAGGCATCGACGGATCGCGGGGTGAAGGCTCGTAAGGCTGATTGTAGTAGGCGTCGTGATGCGCTTCCGGGTTAACCCCATATTCACCGTGGTTGACTGGCGTCTCGTATCCACTCAAGTTGCTGACAGAGTGCTGGTTGCGAGAGCGGTTAGCTGATGGCTCGTGTGAGAGGTCGCCGGACCGACTTACTGCTGCGTTCAATTGCAATTGGTCGCTGGGCGTACCATACCGAGCCGGTCCCATAGGAACATCGAGCTGCTGGTGAGGGCTTGGACGGCCGTAAGGGTCGTCAACGTGCTGGGGCACGGGCTGCTGGTAGGCGGCGTTGTTGAAGGGGTTGTCCTCCAACTGGTAGCCATGTTGAAGCGGCTGGCCTGGTGAAGGCGTGCGATGGTACCTGGGGTCCATGCGGTCGTTGTAATAATCGTCGTCTATGGGAGCAGGTTAGGTTCGCTGTCTAGTCAAGTCGCGGAGGGCCCTGGGAGGATGTGTATTAAGGAAGCAGGAAACAAGAAAGTGTAGAAGGGAAAGACAAGAAGCTTGCGCCACGAAGGGTGCGTATTCGTACTCCTGAACAGTGGACAAACAGGCTCTTTGACAAGAGGCAGGGCGATCAGGGCGGAATGACGAGATGATTCAACCAGACAGACATCAGAGAGTATTCTTCGGATAAATCAAGTCGGGGCTTTGTGCGGGAAGGAGAGGGGGGATGTGGGATGAATGACGCCAAGGGACCATATCATAAAGGGACCAAGGTAGGTACTTGCCTAAACGATTATACGACATGGTTGCGATGGTATGAGGGGGTCAAGCAAAAGAACCGGTGTCTGATGTTTGCGACCAGGAGAGTCCGTGGGTGGATATGGTTATGGACCAGGTAGAGCGATTCGCGTCCTTCGGGGAGAGCGGGATGTGTTTCTAGGTGTTGGCTATGCTGCGGATGCGCCGTGCTGTGCAGGCTGAGGGGAAGGTGGTGGCCAGTCAAAAGCGTCGAGGATGGGCGCCGTGTATCGCGGGACGAGAGGCACGAAGAAACGTCGAGATGGAAAGTGGATAGGATGGGAGAGAGTTGGGATTGTTCGGACCCAAGTCGCAAAGTTGCAGTCGCAGTCGCAGTCGCAGCCGTCGGATCGGTCTTGTCGGTGGTTCAACTTCAGCTGAGCCCCTATTATTTTCTCCCCCTTCCGCGAAGGTACCTTGTCAATACTTTGATGCGTGCCAGAGTATGGTTTTTTTTTGGGTGTGCTTGTGCTTCCCCTCCAATGCAGAGCAAGCTAGGTAATCAAGGAGGTTGCCAGTTGCGCAGCTGTACTGGGTACTGGCGGGATGCGCAGCAGTGTGTCGGCGGTATGGTATGTACGGTATGGGCGCGCGGGTCGGTGCTCAACTCAATGCGCCTGACGGGTTTCGGGGGTGACGGGAGAAGGGCCCAAGGGAGGGTCAAGCGTGGTTGATGGAGGAGAGGGAGAGGGTGAGAAGAAGGGATGTGTTCGGTCAAAGGTGGGAGAGGTCAGGAAGGACGTCGCTCAAAAAGCTGGGTAGGCGCGGTTTCAAGCTGATTGAGCCCGTAGCAGATTGCCTGCGGGCAGGATGCAGGATAACCAGGACGGGGGAGGATGGACAGGGGTGATGGTGGTTGTGGGAGCGACCGCAGTCGGTGGTTCGTTGCGCAGCAGCGGGCAGGAGCAGCTCCACGTCTTGCGATCTTCTTTCCCTCCTTCTCTCCTTCCCCCAGCCTGCTGTACATACATACCTAGGTACCTACGTAGGACATACACTACATAATGCCCACGGTAAGTGGATAGGGATGGACTGCACCACCGTGAGGTAAGCAGGAAAAGATCCGCAGGGTCAGGCCTTACTACCCGAGCTGGTATACCAGCCTTGGTGCGCCAAACATGCGCTACCAAAATGGAGATTGAGTTGTCGCGTTTCAGGCACTCGAGTGTGGCGCGGCATCTCTTCGCTTCTGGGTTCTTGGGGGTTACAGATCGGACGGGATTGGTCACTAAGAATTACCTAAAGAACACTTGGCACATGGTACGCACACCGGAAGGGGAGGACATGGTGTTGGCCTCAGGGCTTCCAGAAAAACATTTGCCTTTGGTTGGAAGGGGGAAAAACTCAGATAGCATCCATCAACATGTCAACAATGGCTTCTGCTCTTCGTCGGGGCAATTGAGGGGCGGGTGACGTCGCCGGGGGCCTCATGGGTGGGCGTGTCAGGGTCCCGTCCCCTCGAGACTGCGGATGCCAGGTGTGCAACGGCCAACAGCCAACAGCCACCGGGGCAGGGTATCCGCGTACTCAATGTGTGTGCGTGTGACGAGCTTAGCGGGGAGGTTTGGAGAGATGGGGTGGGGGGGAGCACACCAACATGATGGCGGGCCTGACTGTGAGGGATGAGGATGGACCACGGTTGGGTCCTTGGGCCAAGACGGCACAGGCAGCGAGACGTGCATGGCCACGCCGATTTTCATAGCAGATTTCAAATTTCCTTTTTTTCTTCTTCTTCTTCTTCCTTACTGTGTTTCCTCGATCACGGTGATATGGAAGAAATCTCTACGTCTATCCGTTCACGCTGCAATCTTGTCCATCTGTGAGCGAGCGGGCGTCTCCAACTGTCATGTCTATCCACCGGCTGCCGAGTCACTGTCCGTCCATCTGTCAATTTCAATGACATGTCGACGAGCTTCCCCGTATTGACGGCACCCGAGAGTACGACAAAGTCAATACGCGACATCATCGACTCTTACTCGGACCCTCAAACAAACTATTTATCCGGACAACATGATTCAAACATTCAACCACTACAATTCAACGCATCCACTGGAGCCCTCTTTTCTCCTCTCCCTCATGGCCCACGACGCGCAAGGTACCCGCGACGATCGCAAGAGAGATTCGAAGCAATCAGGAAGTGCCGCAACAGCCGTTCGTTGCCCATTCGATGTCGCGTTCCCGTGGTTGCATGCGCTGCTGGGATCCGTTGTTCGAACCGAGCTAGGTAGGAGGGGATTCGCTGGGTCGACTGGGGGGTTCAACCTCCGAGCCATTGACAGGGTAACCGGCGCTTTCCCTCTGGTGGCCAGGGTTTAGGACTCCATGATTGATCGAAAGGTCAGCAATCGTGGCTGAAGGAGGTGTGCAAAGGTACGTACCGTAGTACTGTGCAGTACATGCAGAGTACCGTACCGTATCTTGCATCTCGCGGAGGCTTTTGCCTTTACACTACGTGTGTGCCTCCAAAAATAAAAATCCAAAGAAATAAGGGCGATGGAGTAAGTACGTGCACTACCTTATTGGTTCGACGCCACACTTGCTCACAGGTGACGACGCCTTTGACCTGCATTCCCGCTCCGTCTCCACATGTCCAACTGCTCAGCCTCGCTCGCTCTCGACTCGCACCCAAGTTGTCTCTCCTCCGCGGACTTTCATCCAACCTTGCCTCGTCAGCCCTCTAGACCCCTATGCGTTGAAAACCACCCGCTAACTGAACAACCACCAACCCAGGCCAGGCTTGGGACGGCCGCCACACACACAACCGGGCTTGTTCCCCGCCATTGGGGCTGAATCGCCTCAATCGGGTTCCAGGACTCGTCTCCAAAACCTGCTGCGGCCGGCACAGTCGACGTTTGCCCGTGCCTTTTGCCTCTCCCCGCACATGTGTTGATCACTGATTGCTCCGCTCGGTCTTGCTACTATCTCGCGCCGTGGCGCACTCGCTTGAGTCTCCTGGCCTGGAAGGGACAGAGATCCCTCCGATCAACCGATCAACCCGTACACCTGCATCTTGAACGATATGGGCGATGGCCTCATATCATCTCCCGAGGCACCGGCTTTGCCGTGTGTGTGGTGTTTGATCGTCACATGATACTGCTCTTGCCAGGGTCCGCCGGTGCACAGAGAATGGCCAAGCTTCTTCCAACCTCAAGTGCCGGAATTAACCTGACTTCCCGTCAATGACGATAATCCGATGTTGCTTCCCAAACTCAAATTAATCCGAACTCTACAATAGAAAACCACTTTCGCACTCGCCCCCCGAATCCTAGCTCAGGCCCTCTGTCTTTCTCTTTCTCCCCCCCCCTTTCTTTGCGGACCTGTGGATGGACGTCCGTCTGTTCTTTAATCGTGAACCCGTACAGCACCGAGGCCCCCAGGCCTCAATTGCCTCTTTAGAGTTCATATCGGCCCGGCCGAGGTAATGTTGTGGCATACACGGGTGCCATACCGTGATGGCTGCGATAGTGCCAAGTGCGTGGTTCAAATCCTCTGCATAGCCGAATCGATTCGTCTCTTGTTATGAGGTGCTCAGCTTACAACGGAGCTGAGTCTTTAACACACGCCTTCATCAAGCCATGTAAGACTGGCGCTCATATTTCGGAACACTAAGTTCAGCTGAGTCAAGCCAGGCGAAGCTTTTCCAGCACCATGGTTATTTCCAACTTAATACTTCAAGATGTTTCGTTGGTATTACAGAGAACGTGCCCTGGATACCACATTAGTGATTGATCAATAAGTCCATTTGATTACGAGATGCGGCGTCAATAGTGAGAACAGAGAAAGCTTTATTGGAACCAAATAGCAAGTGATAACATCAAAAAGTCGTGCTCCAAGCCTATGATCCAAGGGGGACAACAGAGTTATAGATCCAGACAAGCTGAGCCATTTCGTCAGCTAAACACGGAATAAGCCCGATAGCATGGTAAGCCAAAACTGAAGCTGGGACGAACCACGAAGCAAATATCAGCTGGAGGTGAAGGGAATGTGCCAAAAGACTATTCATCCGGTTTGATCAGTGGCGGTCCGCGGAAGGTAAGGAACTTTAGTCTGTTGGAGATGGCTTCGAATCACCATGTTCGAGGCATGCAGCCACCACAAAGTAAGCGGCTTGGCTTCGAGTGACAAATACCGCCTTACGTGTTGGATTTCTCCCACAACAGCTTGTGTCGCAAGCAACGCGCACACCCACGGCACCGATGATGGACGCCTTGAATCCCAACTCACTAGTCAAGACCCGGGTCCCGATCATCTCAGACGCTCACGGCGTACCCTCATTACCAGCGAATGAGTCCCTCGGTCCAGTCGACGTGGCACACCCATTGCGGCGATCTCGCAGAAATAAGCAAACTGGCCGATTTTATGAGACTCTCAACCTAAGAGGCACCACTGGAGCTCATCATCGCCGCAAACCACGACTGAACCCTCGAAACACCAATGTTCACGAAAGAGATCGCAGAGATACCACCCGATCGATACGGGGACCGCCTAGAGGGAATACGGCGACTTTGGCGAAGCGCGATGTCTCCTTCGGCATCCGCCAAGAACGAGGACGACGACGTTGACGACGACACCGTCTCGTTGGAGAGGGTACCCCCACACCTTCATCACGCCCCAAAGACGCCTTACTAAACCTCTTCGCAAGTGCATACAGCTACACACCATAGGTGGACGACTGGGGCTTCCAGTACGACGCCCGCGGAGACCACCAATAGGACATCGGCGGCGGCTTGGACGTTGTCGTCACTCCACGACCCGTTGAATGGTGTCCTTGATCGCACAGCCACCGGGTCGCGGCTCGGCTGCCCGGACGTGCTCACGGCCATCGCGCGGGCCAAGCCGCGCTTGCACTGCTTCGGGCATGTACATCAGGGCTGGGGCGAGCGACCGGCTTCGCATTAAGGGGCTTTTGATGTTGATCGGTCAGTAGCTGTCGAGTCGCGGGTTAGGCTGACGCCGGGGGCAGTTTGATGACCCTGGAGTCGTTGCGGTAGAAGAGGTGGAAGCTGGAGGCCTATACGGCGAAGGGGGCAAGCACCCATTGAGGAAGGACGAGCAGGCGCTATTCGTCAACGCCGCTATCAACGGGAAGGACGATCAGCCACAGCACTTGCCGTGGGGGCACGTCGACATTGAGCTTCGTAAGGCCCGTGATGCTGCTTGATCGTGTGGCACGGGTGAGCCCACCCGCAGCCCTTGAGAAATAGGCCAAAGGACGGCATCTGAAAGCAGGTATCCGTGATCGCGGGATGCAAGGATCGTTTGCATCCGGAGGAAGAAGGGTGACATTTTGGCGAAATGAGAAAGACGGGAAAGGGCTTTGGTTCTCAGTCCACCGCAATTAAACGCAGAATGAAACGGCGCAAAGCGGCACAAACCGGGGGGTTTTTGGACCCCAAAATGATATATTGGTGCTCGTGCTAACAACGGGATCATCAAACATGACACTCAGCCTAAGATTAATGAAAATTTTGGAGGGAAAATTATGAACGGCGTGACCTAGTCAAGGGAAGAGGTCAATTTCCCTTCTCTATTGCAAGGCGCAAACTATCTTTAAAGGTGTCTGTTCCTTCGGTAATGAAATCTTCCGGCTAGTGCTACAGTATCGACCATGATTCATCTCCGGATCTCAGTTGCGACAGCGAACAAAAAAGACCAAACGCACGACGTGGGTCCTTTAATTTGCGCTGAGCGGATGCAGGTCTTGTGCCCCTCCTACTTTATATGCTCACGGACTCATCGACATCGGTTGCCGCCTGCATGATCTGCGGCCGGGGTCTTGGTGCTGCTTGTCCCACATTTGCCCCGTCTGCTCCGTAATGGGTCCGAGTCGGTACGGAATTCCTCGGACCGTGGTTGGCGATTTTGAACACACCACAAATAACGAGGTAGGATGATGGTCGTTGTTCGTTCGTCCGTGAATGGGCTTGGTCGTGGTGTCTGGTCGCTTGGAGTGATGCGAGGCAATGCTCATGTTAAACAACCAAGCGGCCCGCCCGTCTCTACAAGTTTCTCCGTCAACCGCTGATGCGCGATCGAAAGTCTAACAGCCTGCAATACATGATGTCACACTGTTTTGCCCTTCTCTGTATTTCTGGTGTGCCCGAACGATCGAAAAGTGAACAAGCGACTCGGCGGAGGCATTTGCAACCCGGCTGGCCCCGGGTACAGTGAACCGATTTCCTCGAAGGCGTTTCTGTATGTGCTTGATTCTATCTCAAAAGAGTCTCGCAAAGAGCTCTGGCCACCAGCCTGGGGTTGAGGAGGTTTGCGGTTATCCTAGGAAAAAGGCTTGTGGGGAGTTACAACCAACCATTCAACCACCTTTGAAGAGTATCCGGTTCTGGGGGTTGCTGGTCGAGATAAGCACATATGATGACACAGCGTATACATGAACTGAGCCCCGAGACCTTCGAATCCGTAGATGAGAAGAAACAGAATTTGAACTATTGCGGCGTTTAACGGCCTGCCACTTGCTATTTGGCCAATGAACCCGTAGCCCAAGTCGACAGGTTTCCGTGCCACACGTTGATTCAGATGGCAAGTCCAACGCGGCTTCCAATAATTGTTGATTCAAGAATCGTCTCTGATATCACCGACTGTTGACAACATATTTACGTCTTTTGGAACTATGATTCTGTGATATTGAATGCATTCGGCTCAGCAAATATGATTCTGAGACGCACCTTGCAGGTTGACTTATGACGGCCCATGTACCAAACCCAGCCAGCGCCTGACGGACTGGATACCAAACTTTTCCGCATCTACGCGCTTTACGTTTTTTTAAACTTACTGAGTATGGCGGAAACTAAATGGCGGCGATGTGGTTCTCGAACGGTTGATGATCGAACGGATTCTCTACGCTACCCCGTTCCATCTATTCCATAGATAGTGATCACTTACGTCCTCAATGTCTACACGAATCAAACTCCAACATTAAGATAGTAGGTTTCGTGGGATACCGTAACTTTCTCGTTGTCTGCTGTAATGAGTAATTCTTTGACCGAAGATGACATGCCTCCTCGTTAACAATGGAATAGCTTTGTCCGGTCTTTCCATAGTAACTAGGTACGTTTGAGCCTTTCGTCAGTTGTAGGAGATGGCGTATTGAATGAATGTCATTACGTTTGCTTTTTTGACCATTTTATACTGAATCAGAAACCACGTGTGCCTCTTAGAATATCATTCCCCTGGGAAACTCGGCCTGCTACTGATACTTTTATCCAGGGAGTCATCATCCACATTACAGTGTGGCTAGAAACTTGCCGCTCGGAGGCCGGGATGTAGAGAAACAACTATGCAGGTAGGAGCCCCATCAGACCTTCGTGTCCATACTGTCTCCTCCGAAGTACCTGGACACAACGGGGCAAGGTAAACTACCAGGATCGCCGCTTCTGAATTATCCTTATGAAACCGGAAAGACCAATCGGGAACATACAATGACTTCGGACAACGACCCAGTGGAAGGATAATAATTGGTGACATGATTTTGACTCAAGCCGTAGGAGAAAAAGTTTGACACCGTCCTGAGGGAATAAGATTCACTCAAGAATTGTAATGGGCGTGACTATCATCGGTCTGTACAACGCGCTACAAGCAGCCCTGGAGTCCAGCAGCTCAAGCAAGAGTCGGTGAGCCTACAAGGGACTTAAGGGCGGACATGCTGGTTCATGCGAAGAGAATCTTGCCCACACTTTAGGCAATCACAAGAAACACACGAAATTGAATAGAAAGTTCGGTCTGAATATAAGCCAGCTAGCTATCGCGCTCTGCCGTGAGTGCAGAGTTGGTATCCCATCGTCTCTTCCATCATACACCCATCCTGTTGATCATGACCAGGAGAAAGCAGCAAATATGTACAAACCACGTACAAATTTCTAGTCTCAAAAAACGCCCGAGGTGTCCCCAACTCGAACCAGATTCTGAGTCCGAACCCATACTCGCTCTCGAGGCGGAGCCATTCTTCTCTTCATCGTGTCCGAGGTCTACTCCGACTCCTCGTCACTGGTGGCCTCAATGTTGGACCTCTTGGCCTTTGACTTCTCCTTGGAAGACTTCTTCTGCAACTCGACTGCAGTAGGCGCGCCGCCGTCCTCTTTAACATCCTCGACATCGTGGCCCATGGCGCGGAGCTTCTCACTGATGGCAGGGATGGCCTTGACCAGAGCCTCGTACTGGGCTACGTTGAGGGAGATTCCCTTCTTGCCGGGTAGCATGTCGCCATCCTTTTCATAGAACTCGCGGATGTTGATGAAGGTGTTGTTCTTGAATTGGGAGACACCGACGCGGCGCTTGTTGGAGAGCTATTTGAGAGTCGCAATCAGCACCCATTGGTGGAGAGTCGAGACCAGACAGAATACGACGGAGGAAAGAATTGCTTACATCCCAGAAGGGATTGCCCTCCTTATCGACGCCACTTGAGCTGCCTTCAGTCTTGGAGGTCTTGGTCTTCTTCGTGGGCTTGTTGATGACCTCGTCCTCGGAGTCGCTACGCGAGTCGCGCGGGGCACCGCGCTTAGTACCCTTTGTGAACGGCATGTTAGTTACGGTGGCAGTTGCGAGCTGCGCTTGCTTCAACGGCCTGGTTTGCGGATCAATTTGTGGCCTGGTTGCCGAGTCGCAGAACTCTACGCGACTTTTGAGGGCGGGATGTCAAGGTACAATCAACAAACCGATCAGTCGCATGTGGAGTGAGTTGTCAATGGCTTGGCAAGCGCGTTGCGGTCAGTTGAGTAAAGTGGTCCGTCGCGACTTTCATGAGATGACGTAATCTGACGAACGCCAAACCATGTGATGAGAGTCACGTGATACTGCTCTGGTCATCCTGCTGTAACCTGGTCGCTGATGGCAGGAGACATTGCACGCCTGGACTTAGGGGGAAGGGGGCCTCTCCTATGACGGGTCCAGAGTAGGTACTGAAGGGACGTTAATCTCCAACACTGACTGTCCTTGGTGCGTCCCTCCATGCAAGGGACATCGCTCTTTTGTCTCACCTCGAGCGGTCACTTCGCCGCCCCCTGACCCAGAATCGCCCTTCCCTACATAGTAATTGCTTGAGATCTGTTTCACCCCGTATTTCGTCCAGCTTCGCCGTCAAATTCATCCCGTTTCTTCCAAAGAGTATCCTATTATTTTCTATATAGCTTCTCTAGTCTGTCGATGCTCAACAACCGAGATCATAAAGAAGTGGACTCAGGAGTGGAAAAGACACTGCCCAGAAACACGGTGAATCTTGGTTTACGCGATTGTATATGCAGGGGTTTTGGCACTAAAATTAGGAGACTGGAGCTTTTTGGCGAGCATTTCAATTTGGAGCACGAGCTAAATTCCCATTCGCGGCGGGCCAACCTGTCACAAAAACTCCACCAAGAGACGTCAACAAGAATTCACTGCCGTGCTTTCCCCAATCCCCATCTGCGCTTGGGCCCCCCGGAACGACATCTGAGTCTACAGAGTACATCAGTCGATGCAGGCCTCTTTCCTCTACTAAAACCTTCCGAAACACTACCGCTGTAGCGTGTGGCTGACAAGAACCATCTCCCGGAAGACACGGCCAACCTGTCTTCTGACTTTATTCAGACCTTGCGCCTGCAGCTGACGAATACGGCTGGCTCCTTTGTGCTACTTGAAGCTTACAGCTCGAGCAAACTCGATTTTTACTCCTGGTCGGCTCGATCAATGCACGCTTTGTCTTCACCTCCAGCATCAGGGATGTGAGAGGGTGCGGCCCCCGAAGCAATAGACCGACGAACTAAGCAAACATGGACTCGACACCGGCTGAGGTGCATCCACCCGGAGCACCGCTCGTCGCCGATGAGAAGCTCCCGGCGACCAAGACCCCAACGACAACATCCGTTCCCCCTTCGACCGAAGAGAAACTCGCGACTGCTTCTATCCCTTCAATAACGTCGGCACCCATGCCGGATGCGCCAAAACCTACAGAAGAAGAAGATCTGTTGACCAAAGTCCTCAGATTCTTGTCGACCGCGACTCCCGAAACCCTCGGCGCCGTCGCAGTTGGCCTAGCAGCATCGACCTACTTCGTCCTCGGCAAGGTCGGACTCGTGCTAATTGGCGCTTTCGGCGGCGTTGTCGCCTTCATCACCTACGAGGCGCGTCATCCAGAAGTCTCTCGGGCAGTCCGGGGCGAGAAGGGCATCGACGTTCTTCAACGCCTGGCGCTAGTCAAGATCGCCGAACCGCCCAAGAACGACGCGGAGGAGGAGGAGCGCCTCATACATGGTTTCGATGACTTTCAGCCCGAGACGCGCGAGGCGTTGACTGGCCTGGTGGACGCCGTCATCCGCGACTATGTCAAATGGTGGTACTCTCCCATTCTTCCCAACGACAGCTCATTCCCTCTCTCCTGCAGGAGGCTTCTCAACTCGTTCCTCCTCTCCGTCTCGAACCATCTCTATCGCAAACGACCCGCCGATTCCTTCATCGATTTCATGACCAATGCGTCGTCCATGTTCATTGTCTTCCTTTCTGAGCTATCCTCAGCATTTACCGAGCAACACAACGATCCCAACTCATCGGCTGTTGAGATCATCGCAAAGTATCTGGAAGAGAACCCCAATTCGAATCTGGCCAACCTTTTGAACCACCCACAGCAGGCAGCCAAGTTCCGCAATGTGGCAGACGACCTTCTCGGCTTCTTGGATCGGTCGGCATACAACTGCGACCCAGCGCGCGTGTTTTTGAGAGAGATCTTGGCAGGGGTCGTTCTCGAGATGAGCTTGCAGTCGTGCTCCAAACCGGAGTGGATCAACGGATGGATCGTATACCTGCTGGAAGCTGGAGAGCCCGATTTTAGTCAAGCTATCGACGTTGGCATGCAGACAGGACCTGACGCAGCCAACACTAGTAATGCCAGTAGTGCGAACAACAACGCCTTCGCTGATATCGATGGAAACCTCGGCAACATTGCCCTGACCAAGGGCAACCGCAACTCACTGGACATGGAGCGGGATCGCCGGAAGGGATCAGTAGTGACGCACAAGAAGCAGCTAAGCAAGGCTGACGAAGAGATGGAGGAGGCTATGGAGGAGATGAAGCGCATGAACGCCCTGATTGCTGAGGAAGAGGCTAAGAGAGCCAAGCCACGACAGAGTGTTGACTCGATATCAAAGCCGACAGTACAGACCACTGAGGACAAGATGGTCTCTTCGCCCGGGGAATTGTCACCGAGATCATTGTCTTCGGCAGAGAAACCATTGACGAACGGGTCGCATGGCTCCAATGAATCCAACGGCTCCAACAAGGGTGAAAGCTTGCACTCACCTATCACACCGAGATCTACTGCAGATTCTTCCAGCCAGAAGTCGTCGCCGAAACACGCCTACAATGGAAGTGCATCCCAGTTCCTGAACTTCGATCAAATCGTGCCACCTGCCAAAGAGGAGCAGGAAGCATCGGAAGAGAGCACCCGCAAACCTCCTTTGACCCTTCACAATGCCACTATTACCCTCTATGAGGACGGCAATGACAGCAGCAAGATCCGAAGCAAGCCAACTTGGGACTACATGGTTCAGATTGAGCCATCGTCTTCACACTATCCCGGTTGGATGATTGTCAGGCAGTATTCAGACTTTGAGACTCTGCACGAAATCCTCAGGCGTATTGCAACAATCTCGGGGGCGACCGCCTTCACGGAGCAGCATTCCACACTTCCTAATTGGAAGTCGCACACAAGGGCGTCACTGCGTGGCGAGTTGGAACGATACGTGAAGGACGCATGTTGGTACAAGCCACTCGCAGAAAGCGAGGGTATGAAACGCTTTCTCGAGAAGGACTCAGGCCATGGCCACAGTAATTCCAAGTCTGGCCTGGCATGGGACACTGTCGGCAAGAACATGTTGGACGTCTTGACCATGGGTCCAAAGGGTGCTATGGAGGGCGGCAAGGCGGTGTTTGGCGGAGTGACTGGCGTGTTCAACAACATCGGCCTGGGCCCTAGGAAGAACACGGCGGCTTCTCTGTCAGAGATCCAAACATCAAACCGATGGTCGACAGGAACACCACCCCGGATGGATAGCACCACTAGCCTCAACGCTGCAGTCACGTCGCCAACCGGAGTGGGTCCCCGAAAGGGGAGGGACAGTCTCGACAGCCAAAGATCCTCAATCGTCTCGACCCAGCCAGGGAAGATCGCTCCGATGGACCGACGGCGTAGCTACGATCCGCGTGGGGATACTGAGGCGGACAGTCTCAAGCCTCGTTCTGATCGCTGGGAAAAGACCTCACCAAGTGCTAATGGCAGCCGCGAACATAGTAGAGCTTCGAGTCTAGCGCCTTTGCAGTCACCTGCCCTGAGGTCACCTTCTTCCACGAGCCTCGATGTTATGAACCTCCAGTACCTCCCTCCGCCTCCGGACGAGATGCCTGAAGACTATCAATCGCCCACGCATGGGGACATGCAGTCTAGGATGAACGACCTTATTGCGCCACGCAACTCAACGGGGGCTGTTTCGCCCGGTCTACCGCAGAGTCAGGCCAATAAGAAGGAGCCAAAACCCGCACGACAATACGCTCCATTGTCGGAGCAAGAGGCAAACGTGGCTGTTGAGCTGGTCTTCGCCATTATTAATGAGATGTACACGCTCTCGTCCGCTTGGAATATCAGGCGCACGCTGTTGGCCGCCGCAAAGTCTTTCCTTTTGCGACCCGGCAACCCGTCCCTGCTTTCGATTCAGAAGATGATGCAGGAGTCTGTCATTGACGCCAACACAAAGGACGAGGGTCTCGCGTACCACCTACGCAAGTTACGAGAAAACACGATGCCGACTGATGAGGAGCGTGCGGCATGGCCCGCCGAGATGACCGATGAAGAGAAGGAGAAGCTGCGCATCAAGGCGCGCAACTTGCTTATCAAACGAGGTGTCCCGGCCGCTTTGTCTGGCGTCATGGGTCAGGCGGCAACGACTGACGCCCTTGGGCGTATTTTTGACAGTCTTCAGATCGAGGAGGTAGCGCGGGGCTTCATGTTTGGCATGCTGCTTCAAGCTGTCAGGGTTGTTACCCACTAATTTACCCTCCCATGTTCCCCTGCCGTCGACGCAACACATTCTGTACCAAAAAAAATGAAGACGCAAAGCATATAGGCGAGACGAAAGCGCAAAGCAGACGCTGCTTTGTTTGTAAGACTAGATGACTTGAAAGAAAGACATGGGAAACGAACGATGCTGGACACACCGACAGGCAAGAGGACGAGAACAAGATTATATAAACATACTTAATAATTGACGAATACATACGAGCCAGAGTTATGAGTCAAAGTTTTCAAATGTAAGGATGAACATGATCTTTGAGCATTTTATTCGATCAGCCACCCGCAGCGTGTTATGGGTTATCGGCAGCCATCAAATTTGAGCTGGCGTTCCGAACCCCTCCTTACTTCCTGAAAACCCAGAGCTAGAATGAATCCTGAGTCGCTATTGAGATGCTTTGCCTGCTTGGGCGAGGCGGATGACCAAAGTTGAAGGAGAGAGAGCTCGAAGGCGCTGTGGAGCTCCACGATGGATGGTGAAGCTCACGAACACCCCCGCAAGGCAATTGCGTAGGGCGGGGTAATCCACGCTAATGGTGGGGTGCGGAGCTCAAGCTCCTTATCTTATCGGCAATGGCCTCCGATCACGACGTCGACCATTTGTCATCGATTGTTCTGATGAACTACTCTGCATCAGTCGTGTCCTTGAACCTTCATCTCTGAGTTTCCAACTCAATTGTGATTGTCATCTATGAAGATACCTTGACCTGACCTGAAAATTCCCAGAGAGAGCAACCTTAGACACGCCAGACTCTCGAGCATCTACACCTGCGAATCACCTCACTATCTGTCGAGGCCTACCTTCACAATGACCTCAGACTCTCGAGACCGCGGTATCCGCATTGCTATTGATCGCGGTGGAACCTTCACAGACTGTGTTGGCGAGCTTAACGGCAAAGAGATCATCATCAAGCTCCTCTCCGAAGATCCGGCCAACTACGAAGATGCGCCCCTCGAGGGCATCCGGCGCATCATGTCGCACTTCCTCGGCCGGGAGATACCCCGCGGCGAGGCCCTCGATACGAAGCAGATCGATTCCATCCGTATGGGAACCACCGTAGCGACTAATGCGCTGTTGGAGCGCAAGGGCGAGAAGATCGCCATGGTCGTCACCAAGGGGTTCAAGGACTGCTTGGCCATTGGCAACCAAAGCAGACCCAAGATCTTTGATCTAGCAATCCGGAAACCGGATGTTTTGTACGAGAAGGTGGTCGAGGTTGATGAGCGTGTGACTTTGGAGGACTACGCTGAGGACCCCGAGCGACACTTGACGCAGGCTTTTGCCAAGGCAGGGACGCCAGAGGCTGCGAAAGAGGAACTTGTTCAGGGCACATCTGGGGAAGCCGTGAGAATTCTTCAGCGTCCCGAGGCAGAAAACATCCGGAGTCAACTGCAAGAGGTATACGACTCGGGCATCCGTAGCATAGCTGTATGCCTGATGCACGGCTACACCTTCCCCGACCACGAGGCCCTCGTTGGAAAGATTGCTAAGGAGATTGGCTTCAAGCATATTTCCCTCAGTCATGAGCTTATGCCAATGATCAAGCTGGTCTCACGAGCGACTTCAGTCTGCGCGGATGCATATCTCACGCCCGCCATCAAGAAGTACATTTCGGGCTTCCAAGCTGGGTTCGAGGGCGGTCTGGGCACGAAGAGCGTCAAGCAGGAGGAAGGTGCCAAGGGCGCGCGCTGCGAGTTCATGCAGAGTGATGGCGGTCTTGTTGATGTGGAGAACTTTACCGGCCTCAAAGCCATCCTTTCCGGACCAGCGGGTGGTGTTGTGGGATATGCAATCACGTCGTACGATGAGGAGACCAAGGTCCCGGTGATTGGATTTGACATGGGCGGCACGAGTACTGATGTCTCTCGGTTTGGCGAGGGTCGGTATGAACATGTGTTCGAGACCACCACTGCTGGTGTGACTATCCAGTCCCCGCAGCTGGACATCAACACGGTAGCTGCGGGTGGTGGCTCGATGCTGTTCTGGAGGAACGGCCTCTTCGTCGTGGGGCCAGAGTCTGCCGGAGCCCATCCGGGTCCGGCATGTTACCGAAAAGGGGGGCCTGCGACTGTGACGGATGCCAACCTATACCTCGGTCGTCTGCTACCCGAGTTTTTCCCCAAGATTTTCGGCGAGAATGAGGACCAAGGACTTGACCCCGAGGCCAGCGAGAAGGTTCTGCAAGAGCTCGCTGACCAGGTCAATAAGGAGACTGGAAAGAACATGAGCGTTGATGAGGTAGCGTATGGCTTCTTGACTGTGGCCAATGAGACCATGACGAGACCCATCCGATCAATCACCGAGGCCAAGGGGCATGACTCCTCAAAGCATCGTCTGGCCACATTTGGCGGCGCCGGTGGTCAGCATGCCGTTGCTATTGCCGAAGCACTCGGAATCCAGCAGATTCTCATCCATAGATACTCTTCTGTCCTTTCGGCATATGGTATGGCGTTGGCTGATGTCGTTGACGAACGTCAAGAGCCCGATTCCAAGATCTGGAAGTATCCGGGTAAGGCGGTGGACGATTTGAAGAGCAAAATGGAGAAGCTGGAGGAGAAGTCCCGCAAAGCTCTACGCGATCAAGGCTTTGAGGATAAGGAAATCGTCTTTGAGGACTACCTCAACATGAGATACCGTGGTACCGAGTCGGCCTTAATGATCATCAAGCCCGACCAGAACGCGCAGAAGGAAGTCAAGGACTGGGACTTTGGAACCGCTTTCATCCAACAGCATCGTTACGAGTTCGGGTTTACGCTTGATGACAGAGATATCATCGTTGACGATGTGCGCGTCAGAGGCATTGGCAAGAGTTACAGACATGCGGAGAAGACGGTTGATCAGCAGCTGAAGGAACTGAAGCGCAAGGATGTGGAGCAGAGCAAGGCGCACAGCCGACAGAAGGTTTATTTCGAAGAGGGTCGGCTTGACACCCCTGTGTATAAGCTCGAAGACTTGAGCACTGGTGAGACCCTCAAGGGGCCAGCCATGCTGGCTGATGGAACACAGACAATTGTGGTCACGCCCAAGGCTACTGCTTTGGTTCTTGATACCCACGTAGTCATCGATATCCAGAAGGAGGTATCAAAGGAGGATGAGCATGTGCCCCAAACCCAGGCAAGAATTACAATGCTAACGACTTGTAACAGTACGCAAAAGAGCCAAGGGGAACGAGAGGTTGACCCCATCATGCTGAGTATATTTGGCCATCGCTTCATGGCGATTGCAGAACAGATGGGAAGGGCATTGCAGAAGACAAGTGTCAGCACTAACGTCAAGGAGCGTCTTGACTTTTCTTGCGCCATCTTCGACGCGACGGGAGGTCTCGTGGCCAATGCCCCTCATCTGCCTGTCCATCTGGGCTCAATGTCCACCTGCGTCAAGCGTCAAGCCGAGATATGGAAGGGCGAATTGAACAAGGGCGATGTTATCATCTCCAACCATCCGTCATATGGAGGCACCCATTTGCCAGACATCACCCTCGTAATGCCGGCCTTCAACGAGAAGGGCGACAAGATTCTCTTCTACGCGGCCTCGAGAGCCCACCACGCAGATATCGGCGGAATCACGGCTGGCAGTATGCCACCTCACTCAAAGGAGCTATTCCAGGAAGGTGCCGCAATCAAGAGCGAGAAGCTTGTGAGCGAAGGCCGCTTCGACGAGAAGAGGGTGACAGAACTGCTATACAACGAGCCCGCACAGTACCCTGGCTGCAGCGGTACGCGCTGCCTAGCTGATAACATCAACGACCTGAGGGCTCAGGTCTCAGCTAATCAGAAGGGCATTGCGCTAATCGAGGGACTCATTGAGGAGTACGGCGAGGAGACGGTGCAGTTCTACATGGTCCACATCCAGAACAACGCAGAGTTGTGCGTCCGCAACCTCCTGAAGGAAGTCAGCAAGCGCTTCGAGGGCAGAGACCTCCAGGCAGTAGATTTCATGGACGATGGCAGCCCCATCCGGCTGAAGGTGACGATCGACTCTGGTAAGGGTGAGGCTATTTTCGACTTTGAGGGCACCGGCCCTGAAGTCTATGGCAACGTCAACGCTCCCGAGGCCGTGACATACAGCGCTATCATCTACTGCCTCCGTTGTCTCATCTCAGAGGATATCCCCTTGAACCAGGGATGTCTGAAGCCCATCAACGTCAAAATCCCGCCAAAGTCGCTGCTTTCCCCCTCGGACGGTGCCGCTGTGGTGGGCGGCAACGTGCTGACGAGTCAGCGTGTGACGGACGTCATCTTCAAGGCCTTCCAGGCGTGCGCGGCGAGCCAAGGCGACTGCAATAACCTTACCTTTGGCTTTGGCGGGAACCTTACAGGCCAAAAGGAAGTCAAAGGTTTCGGGTACTATGAGACGATCGCGGGCGGAAGCGGCGCAGGGCCGAGCTGGGAGGGGACTAGTGGTGTGCATACCCATATGACCAACACACGCATCACGGACTCGGAGGTGTTTGAGCGGCGTTACCCGGTGATTCTGCGGGAATTTTCGCTGAGAGATGGGTCTGGCGGAGATGGGCAGCATCGCGGAGGCGACGGCGTCGTAAGGGACATCGAGTTCCGGATCCCGGTACAAGCGTCGATCCTCAGCGAGAGGCGCGTGTACCGGCCGTACGGGCTCGCTGGTGGTGAGGATGGTGAGTGTGGGTTGAACGTTTGGGTGAGGAAGGTAGAGAAGGGGAGCTGGGAGAAGTCTCTGAAGAGGCTCAAGGGTGGGGAAGGTAGCGAAAGGGATGCTGAGGTGGAGTATGAGGAGAGGAGATTCAATCTGGGTGCGAAGAACAGTGCGCCGATGAAGCCTGGCGAGAGGATCATTATCAACACGCCTGGTGGCGGTGGCTGGGGTAAGGTTGGGACGGAGAAGGCCTTTAGTCGCAAGAGGGACCCAACGGAGGGCTGGAGGAAGGGGAGCCATGCGAGCAGAGAGGATACCGCGCTCCAGGTTTAGTGAGATGAAGCAGGAAGGTCCTAGTTCAGTAATGCGTATGGCTTTGAAGATATCACACGTGGTGCCAGTCACTGGTGAGTATAGACTACAGTGGGATATATGAATTAATAGAAACACAAGGAACAAGCGTTGATGTGAGTTTGATCAACAACTGAACTTGATTGTCAGAATCCATGATGACTCTCCCGTCTATTCGCCGTACTTAAATGTGTGGCTCCAGTAAACAACAAACTGCAAGTCTAATATTGTCTTCATCAAGCACTTTAACCAGCACATCCTTGTTTTTCTTCAACCAACTAGCTTGCTGTGAGCAGAACATCACCCGTCTTTTGAGGTCTCGTTTCGCTCACTAGGGCGCGCCAGCAGTCTAAAGAGAACCGCGAGAATGATCCACCTGGCGCTTCTTGGGGACGTCGAACTGTAGGGGAAGTTTTTTGGTCTGCTCCCTGTCATTGACTTAGTTCTCGTCAACCTCCTCATACTCAGCAGCTTGGGAGGTTGTGACGGTAGACCCAGCAGTCTTTGTAGGAGTGTTAACGGTCTGTATAGTAGTGGCCAAGGCCTCGAAATCCTCAACAGGGCGGGGGTCGATTCTCTGTTTGGAGCCACTGAAGTGTGCGCCCTTGATGACATCGACAGCTTCCTTATCGAGGAGCTTGGTGCCCTCAACTGTTGACCGGGGCTTAGGGTCCTCGGGGTCCACAAGCCTGCGGATCTTGCTGACAGCGTAGAGAACCTTTTCGCGCGGAGTCTCTTCCAGGTCGCTGATGTCCACGATCCTCGCGATCCTCGCAGCCAGTTTGAGGATCTCGCTCTTGTTAATGCACGTGATGTATGGGTTGTGGCTGGCGTCGTAAGTAATGCCGAGGGCCACGGCCTTTTCGATGTTTGCGATGGCGGCGAAAAGTTTGGATTCTGACATATCATCTAGGCCGCTATACCTCGCGTACCAAACGGTCCAGCCGATTTCTTGCGTTTCATGGAAAATCTTAAATTTATCAATACAGTTGGTGTCCGAGGCGTTTTCCACGACAACACCACGTTTCTTCTTGTCCTTGGCGTCCTCAGTGATAGTTGTAGGGGCTACGACTATCTTTTTATCGTCTAAAACTCCCTTCACGTATCCGGAATCATCCAAGAATAAGGCCTTGAAGTCATTCTCCTCGATACGGTTGCCGGTGCGGTGGTTGGCGAAGTAGCTGGACGGGCCGTTCTTCTGATGACGGTGGGCAAGGGCGCCATCAGCCCAGTTTCTCTTGTTGGCGGCGAAGGCAGCAGCGGTGGAGGCGGGAGCTGAGAAAAAGGGGGAGAGAGAGGTTAAAGTAGGAAAGGCTGTTGCTGAGGTGGCAGAGAGAGCCATGATTTTTGATGTGTAGTAGTATGTGTTAGTTATTTTTGCTTTTCAGACGGAAGATGAAGCGTTCAAATGTCCTATGTTGATGGAGGAAGGGGGAAGATATACCTCTGAAGTCAAAATTCGATGCGCTTGTACATGGCTACAGAATCAGGTTCTGGAGATACCTTTCAAGCGCCGGAGAAAGGTTGGGGCAGGTTCATGGGAGCGAATTATGCTCTTTGATGACAAGGTTACTTGCTGATATGAGCCACAACTGCTAAATACATCGCTCATCTTTTTTATATCAACTGTATATGGTGTCTCCTTGCGCAAAGCTCCATGACTCGCAAAATGTCGAGGAGAAAGGGACGCAGAGTCTAGGTTGGTAGCAAAGTCTGCAAACATGCACTTAGGTAGATCTTCAGAGGAAGCTGTATGAAATAAGGTCAGCAATCTGTGATTAGTGCAGAAGCCAATACTAGCAAACTAAGATTGCTTTGCTACCAATTCCTACTTAATACTCGACCGGCAGTGCCATCTTCTGTATCTTAGTCGGTCTTGAATATCTTATCCAAGTATCTCAACCAGTTTTCTCCCAGCACTTTCTTCATTTTTTCTTCGCTCCAACCCTTCCTCGCCATTGCCACAGCCAACTCAGCCCGGTCAGCCAACGGCCCCAGGGGCTTGACGACCTTTTGGCTTCCCCATGGTGTCAAGCGCCGGGCATACCCCTTATCCTTGTTACACCATTCCAGAAAATCGCTTGGTCGTGCGTGTCCTTCACTGGCGTCCGACCCAACACCGACCAAATCTTCGCCGATCAATCCAATCACATAATCCAGTACGTCCACATAGTCATCTATCGTGCTGTCATTGCCCTTTGGCATGTGCGGCCCAAATTGAGATAAGCCGACAAACCCGCCTTTGCTGCCAATGAGCTTGATCAAGTGATCCGACTTGTTACGCGGATGATCGACTAAGCCCCCAGGAAGGACATGTGAGAAACACGGAGGCCTTTCGTCTGGCGCATACAGTATCACGTCTTCCGATGTTTGCGGTCCGACGTGAGAAAGATCGCACACGATGCCAAGACGGGCCATCTCATCGACCACTTCGCGCCCGAATCCCGTCAGACCGCTGTCCCGGGCCTCCGAGTACCCAGCGCCGGAATAGTTCTGCGTGTTGTACGTAAGCTGCATCTTACGCACGCCGAGATCGCGGAAGACGCGCAGGTAGTCGAGCTGGTCCTCAATGCCCGAGGTGTTTTGCCAGGACAGGAGTACTGCGGTCTTGCCGGCGTCCTTAGCGGCGCGAATGTCGGCCACGTTGTGAGCTTGGACGATAAGGTCCGAATGCTCCTCGAACCACCGCTTCCACTGGACTACGTTGGCGAGACTGCTGCGGAGGCCCTCCCAGAGACCACATGTACAGGAAACGCCGGCTATGCCGCCTTTATGCCAGGATTCGAAAATGTCGCGGGACCAGTTGGCGATGTTGAGTCCATCGAAATGAATTGCAGAAGCGTAGATCGCTCGAGCTTCTGTTTCCGTTACCATAGTGTTTTTAGGTTGAGAGTAATCAGGCTGTTGGTTTCGTGGCCCAGGTCTGTAGGTTCAGTCCGAAGGTTGAGATTTTGATTTCCAACAACAATAGAGGCCAAATAACGCGAGATGTGATACAAAACACTTCTTATCGACGAGCCATCGGTCATGTTTGTCCATGGCATGCCCCAGTGCGAGGACGGCGCCGAGCCCGGACAGCCTCCAAGCTCGACGTCGGAGAACGCCCGATAGGAGGATCACAGAGTCGCAATCGGCCCACTATCGGCACTGGCCTTGACAGACCCTTCGATAACGCCATCTCAAAATCGGATTGCCTCATTGAGGAATCCTGTATTGCCTGGAAATCCGATTCAGCAAACACCGATCGGGTTGGTGAGTATTTTGACCGATCCAGCTCAAGAGCTTGTATGCTTCCAGCATGCAGTTTGTATTAACATGTGAATACTGCATTGAGCGAAGTGGTCAGTAGTCAGTAATCGTATTTGCCTCAGTTGTTCTTATTTACACTTGGTAAGATGTCACGCGCCCTCAAGAAAACACCGCCGGTTCGGGAGGGTATACAAAGGGTAAAAGCGGCGGTGTTTTTCGGAGGATGCCTGGATATTTCTATCGGGAAAAGGCTGGAGGGGTTGGCTTGCTATCGGAGGTTACCCCATGTAGGTGCCGTCTTGTCTACCTTGAACCCTTGCCGCAATCCTTTTTTCAATCAATACATGGCTGGCTCGGGGGGATGGTGGGCAAGTTGTGGTTGGGAGTCGGAGAAAGTGCGCTCTTGATCAAGAGTCTCGAGGAATATGCATATGCACGGTCTGTCGTCGGGGGGTGCCCGACGGTAGTGGTTGACGCCATCGCTAGGGAAGCTACCCCGAGCAAAGCCTACTATCTGGAAGCTTTACATAAAGTGACTAGTGTTGCAATCAGGTTTGGATGTTGGACTTCGTATCAAAGTTGATGTTTCCAGCTTTGGTTTCGTTCATGCCATCATCTCCGGGAACACCGATACGAGAGCAACGATATGGACCATTCATCGAACGACGACGGCAAGGACGCCTTTTCCGTTGTGGCACAGCCTAACGAACAACAGCCAAAGCGCTCTCTTCGCAAACGAATTGCTGCAGTAGTTTGGGACAGTCTGGACAAGACTCCAGAGGAGCGCAAGTTTATCGCCAAGATAGATTGGTGGATCTTGAGCTACTGCTGTATTGCCTACTTTGTCAAGTGTAGGTTTAGGATACTCTCAATGTTCATTTTGTACTCCAGCAACTGACGTCTCCATAGATCTCGATCAAACCAACGTCAGGTACGCTCTTCGCTGTTGCTGTTGACTTTGCGCCACCGAAATATGGTTTAACTTGCGATCTTAGCAATGCATATGTCTCTGGAATGAAGGAAGATCTGCATCTCTCAGGCAACGACCTCAATTACCTAACAACCTTCTTCAATATTGGGTACATCATCGGACAGTTGCCATCCCAGCTGATACTTACCCGTATCCGACCTTCCATATGGCTTCCAACGCTTGAGCTCATCTGGAGCTTCGTCGTCATGGGCATGGCCGGGGCAAAGAACGTGCAGACGATGTGTGCATTGCGGTTCCTCGTCGGGCTTCTCGAAGCGTCTGCTTATCCCGGCATCATGACCTTGCTAGGTAACTGGTATACCCCTCAGGAGTTGGGTAAAAGAGCGTGTATCTTTCAGGCATCGTCTTCGATTGCGCAAATGTTCTCCGGGTAGGTCACGATACATCCGAATATTCTATCTCTGAATAGAGGCGTCTGACAGTGTCTAGTTATCTACAAGCTGGCTTACTCGCTGGTATGGACCACCGAAACGGTATTCGTGCCTGGCAATGGCTCTTCATCTTTGACGGTCCGTCTATTATCCCGCACGCTTCTTTTGTCAACAGCAACTAAATCCTATATAGGAATCATTGGCATTCCAATCTGCCTCTATGGATACTGGGCCATTCCGGATCAACCGACTTCCTCCCGTGCCCGTTGGCTCAAGCCTGAAGACCGTAGAATGGCTATCGGCCGCATGGAATCCTGTGGCCGAGAACCCATCCGAAAGCTCACCTGGCGAACCATCAAGGACATCGCCAATGGCTGGCCCGTCTGGCTCTTCAGCGCTATTTTCATCGCCCACGTCCTTGGCATCCGCATCTATTCATACTTCAACGTCTGGCTCAAGTCAACTGGACTTTACACCCCTGAAGAAGTCAACTTGATCCCCACAGCAGGCTACGGTACACAAGTCTTCTTTACACTGACCTACGCTTGGGCAAGTGACGCCATCGGCTTGCGATGGCCTCTTGTGATTGTCGCGTGCGTCATCGCCATGATTGGGACCGTGATCTTGAGCGTCTACCCGGAGGATAACATCCCTGCCATGATGGCAGCGTGGATCCTCACTTTCTTGGAGACTGGTGCCGGGGCTTTGATCATCACCTGGATCAACGAGGTCTGCTCACACTCTGCAGAGCATAGAGCTGTCATCATAGGTGTTGTGGAGACGGCCGCCTTCACATTCCAGGCTTGGGTGCCTCTGCTGGTGTACAACTCTGGAGATGCGCCCAAGTTCCCCATTGGCTACGAGATGGCTACTATGTTCTTTGGCTTGGAGATTTTTTTGACTTTGGTGATTTTGTGGTGTTCCAAGAAATGGCCGGTTAGGAAAATTGACTGAGTCGAGAGTAGTTGATAGTGACAGCGCGCTAGTGTATCTGTCGCTTGTAGCATAAGTACGATCTTTTGGACACGTATTGCAAAGTATTCTTGTCTTTAAAATGCAATCGATTCAGATGTTGATGCAGATGTTGTCTAAATAGCTGTGAGGTACATGACTGTGGCGATAACGGCAACAGACCAAGACATCCTAAAACCGGAGGTTTTGAGCAATGAGGTTCCTTGATAACCCAAGTTATTTAGGTTCCCTTGCTCGGCCAGCTTTTGAAATGGTTGACAGTCGAATGTTTCCCAATTGTCTAGCCTAAGACTAAATCTATCCAAAACCTTAGGACGACTTGTCATGTTGGCGGTGGCATTCTGGTATTCGAAGAACGAAGCGCTGTAAGCACTGTTGGCTACCAGGTTCTTACCGGATCATGGAAGATAAATCTATAAAAATGCGGGCGTTACTTTTCCACTGGGGATGCCGATACTGAACATATCACTTTGTGGCCAGTACTATGATCTGGTCAACTCTCTTTTCTCGTCAATCATATACTCAGATGACAGATTGACTTTGTTGTTGACAATACGTAGGCTGAAGTTGGCCCACTGGGTTGCTTGTGGTGGAACAGAAATCCATTCCAGATTCTCATGCCAGATGGAGAGTGAACTGAGCTGATCAAAAGGTAAATGCAAATGCTTGTAGTTATTTCATAGAATTGGAAAGTGTCGGCAGTCAAGTTTTGCAGGCTAGAGCTTCGCTGAAAGCTTGAGACATCTCCCGGCAGGGAGATTAGGCCTATACGCATGGAAGTAGTGAATTCGCCGCTTAGGACAGCTTCGAGCTGTTTGGTATCCGGCGCTACGGACAAAATCAGATAGTCCGACTCGTTGAACCCCACAACAAGCCGCTTCAAGTTCGAGGAGCTAGTAAGGGAGGCATATCCAAATTTAATGTTGTTCTTGAAGATGCTGTCAACGGACTCGAGGCTCGTCTGACTGATGCAAATGCCCTTCTGATTTCCCGGGACATGGTCGATTTTCCGTAGTTCCTTGTGCTTCAGAATGGAAAGTCTCACTGCCCATATCTCAAACGCTCCGACTGTGTGAAGGTTTGTGATGTCGACGTAGGCGAGGTCGACTAAGTCACAGAGAATGAATGTACCACCAACGGTACTGAGAGTTGGGGAGCTAATATTCTGAATGGAAGGATTCCCGTAACCAGTTATCCTTAGATTACCATCGACCGTTGTCAACGTAGTAGACGAAATCTCGAGGCTGGTGCCCTCGCGCATGTACCTCTCAGTCCCCAAGAGGTTTCCGTGGACGATCTCTGGGCCGCTGAGATCGATATTGGCAGTGTTTTGCGGTGCAACAACCAAATTACCTCACTTCGTGGCAATTCCGTGGGGCATCGGTATCACTAGGCTTCGCGATCAAGAGTCCTCCATCGGAAAAGTTACAAACTTGACCGAGAACACCTGGCCATCAAAGGTCAGAACCCCGTTAAGAAGCTGCGAGGCGTCATTAAACAGTCATCATAACATAAAGTGCTTGCTGTGAAAGCACCAACCTGCGAGCATTTTGAGAAACTGACCATGACTTCGAAAGCGATCGGAGACTCGAAGTTTGGAGTTTGGAAGACTGGCCAGGTTTCTGGGGTATGATGTTGTTATGCGCATACCCAGCACCACGCCGAGGAAGTGCTTGGCAGGGGGGCTTAAGACTTGGCAGCGATCTAGTATGGCAGTAGTCAGCTGCATCTCAGCGGCACAGCACGCGCCATTTGGCAAGAGGTTGCCCCGGAATCGAACATTGGGCCAAAATTGCAGGATAAAATTTAGCTTAACCCTGGTGATACAAGGCTCCGGGTTTCCTTCTAGATTGAACTGGCACGTCGCTTTAAACGCTTAACGCCCTACTGTGCGGAGGAGCCCTTTTTCTGGTACCGGAAGGCTCCGCCTAATGATGCAGTTTGCGCAACAGGCCACTGGCATCGTATTGTGAAAACACGTGGGCTTACTTTGTTCGTATGGTCAGTTTGAAAATCTATTCGCCTCCAACCGCACCATGAAATGTACAGAGAACCAATTCCTCTTCATGTTGATGGAGATGCCATCAGGGGTAGATTGGGGATCCGGAGGTCCAAGACCGCCGATCAACCTGCAGGAGATGCCGGACCGGACCGGCAGCAGTGGGATGGACTGCGGATGGAGTCGGGAGCACTGACCACCTCGTCGACCCCGCGTGCCCGCGTCTCCGTCGTTTCGCAAGCCGCCTAAATCCAGCGTAAACCGCCGGTGACTCACCATCCTCAGCCAAACGCAACGGAGCCGACCGACCAGTAACTCCACGGATCCTTGCCTACTTCGCCGACGCCAATATCCGCAATCCGGTTCTTTCGGTCTTATAAATTCACGACGCACACCGTTCCTCTATCGCCCTGTCTCGCCTTCTCACACGAACCCCGCATTATCCGCCCAACATGTCTCTCACAAACGAAGATTGGGAAGAGATCCGTCAGGACATCCCCTCAGTCTCGGAACCTTTCATCGCCCAGTACATCAACGGCCGTGAGGCGCTCATCGCCCAAGAGCATAAGTCACGCGCGGACGCATCCTTCCGTGCCGCAGCGTCCCCGATTGCCCGTCGCGCGGCTGATATCGTTTCCCGCATCCGTGATGAAGAGAAGCGGACGATATGGAACGCAGAGGCCGAGGAGGACCTCGCAACAAGCGAGGGCCTTGCGCCTTTCCCTGGAATGATGTTCACGCTCGCCAAGCAACGCCTTGAGACAACCCGTTTGTGGCGCATTGTCCAGAAAATGCCCAAGGGCTCCCTCCTCCACTCTCACTTGGACGCCATGGTTGACTTTGATTTCCTGTTTGACGTTCTGTTGAACACCCCGGGCATGCATTTCGCAGCAGACGAGCCACTGTCAAATGAGACAGCAAAGTCCAACTCTGGCGTTCACTTCAGATACAGAAAGGCAGCGAATAGCAAAAGCTCACCGTGGGACAAGGACTACGTTCCAGGAGAGTTCCGGCTGTTGACCAAGGCAGCGGACGAATATCCCGACGGTGGGAGGCCAGGATTCCTGAAATGGCTGAAAGCGAGATGCACAATCACGTTGACGGATAGCATGGAGCAGCATCACGGTATCGACGCTGTGTGGCGCAAGTTCGCCTCGTGTTTCAGGGTCACCAGCACCATCATTCACTACGAGCCCATTTTCCGTGCGTTTCTCAGAAGACTCATGGCATCGCTACTAGCGGACGGCATCTACTGGATTGAGCTTAGGTGAGAAGACATCACTGACTTGTTCCCGTAGGCCGTAGTTACTGACAGAAACAGATTCACGTGGCCCTTGAACTACTGCCGCGACAACCAAGAAGAGCCCGAGAAGGACTACAACCACATGTTCCAGGTGATGGAGGAGGAGCTCGCGCTCTTCAAGTCCAATCCTGCCAACGCCGCCTTCTGGGGCTTCCGCACCATCTGGACCACCATCCGCCAGCTGCCCACGCGCGACATCATCGAGAGCATGGACAACTGCATCACTACCAAGATCTCCTGGCCGCACCTCATTGCCGGCTATGACCTCGTGGGCCAGGAGGATCTGGGCCGGCCCCTTCGTGACCTGCTCCCAGAACTGTTCTGGTTCCGCAAGCAGTGCGCGCAGGAGGGCGTCAACCTGCCTTTCTTCTTCCACGCCGGCGAGACGCTCGGCGACGGGGATGAGACGGACCAGAACCTCTTCGACGCCGTCCTCCTCGGCACCCGCCGCATCGGCCACGGATTCTCCCTGTATAAGCACCCTCTTCTCATCGATATGGTCAAGGACAAGCGCATCCTTGTCGAGTCGTGCCCCATCAGCAACGAGGTCCTCCGCCTCTGCGGCTCCATCATGTCGCACCCGCTTCCCGCACTGCTGGCCCGCGGCGTTCCTTGCGCCCTCTGCAATGACGACCCAGCCATGCTGGGCCAGGATACGGCGGGCATGTCACATGACTACTGGCAGGCGCTGCAGGGGTGGGAGAACGTCGGGCTGCTGGGCTTGGGCTCCATGGCCGAGAACAGCGTGCGGTGGTCCGCGTTTGAGGACGAGACGCCTGAACAGTGGACCGCAGGCATCAAGGAGGCGAGCTTAGGGTCGAGCGTCAAGGCGGACCGGCTCAAGCAGTGGGCGACCGAGTGGGAGAAGTTCTGTCTGTGGGTCGTGGAGGAGTTCGGTGAGGAGTCAGAGAAGGCGTAAGGAGGTGATCACATGGGAACGACAGTGGCAACGTTACTGGGAGAAGCACTTTTCAACAAACAAGATGGCGCGGCGCGTGGGGTTGAACGGATAGGCGTGTCTGGTGACATTGGCAAAGGGATTGGGCATGGGCGGACGGTATGTATACAACGGAGTTTCAACAGTAAAAAGGTGCCACACGGATTGGCTTGGTTAAAAGGGTCACCTGGTATTCAACACAACGAATGAAAGGGCATTCAACGCGGCTCTGGGGCGAACGAACCATGGCCGGGGGTAGTTGGGAACCGATTGTATGGTTAGGCTACACCCTCCAACATCAAAAAGGCGACCGGCAGCCTAAACGCTTCATTTCAAATTCGCGAACCATGATTACCGTGCTAGTCGAAAATGACGTCGGCAGCCCAGGCTAAAAGATGGAATTGCACACCACCAAATGGTGTAACATCAAACAAAGCAACTAGAGACGTGGATATACCCACACACATGCAGTTTACCCCGAGAACGCTGCTGACTTCGCTACATTTGGGCATCCGTATATTTTTCAAGTGGATCTCCGGCAGACGGTGTTGACAGTCAGAACGAAGCTTGACCAATGATAGGCCGTCACATGGCGTTGGGGGAGGGCGTGTCAGCATTTGCAATCCCGACCTTGGGATAGAGAGGGCAGATGGTTGGGGGGGGGGGGGGTTCTGGCACTTGGAACCGGCTACAGAACCCGAGCGGTTCCCAATCTCCTTGTCTGAGCATTCAGCTGCAAAGGCAGTGTTGCAGTTCATGTACGTAGCGGCCCAAGGGACATCGGTCGGTATTGTATCCGGAACTGGACCTATTGTGGTCTGAAGGATCCACGCGGCTGCACAATGTGATTTCTTGAAATCGTTCGTTACCGTCATCTCAACGGGTCGACGAGGCCTCCATTCGATAGGTGTTGGTAGGGAGACCCTAAACAACGAGAACGGATGAACGCCATTCTCATCTTCAAGCTCCTCGCCATTAGTTCAATAGATCTGAAGTATGTTATTCATGTGAAAACCAAGCCAATCTTGTGGATTGAATAATCATCGTTTGCTATGGTGAAAGGGTGTTTGAATGTTAGGGAGGCAGAGGCCAAAGACGAGTGAAGAAGAGTCTACTAATAGCACCCCAACCGGTTTCTAGAGCATCAGGTGGATAAACATATTACATACGGCTTGCCAAATAAAAAAGATAGACGTCAATGTAGAGTGAAGCAATACAGTTAAGAGGGGTGAGACGAGTATCGAAGATCCAAGCTTCTGAGCTTTGTACTGGGGAACGAACGTTGATGGGACAAGTATCATTGTCGTCCCCACTGAGACTCTAGCCATGTTCTGAACCCTACCGGCCGTAAATCAACAGCCTCGTTAAGGCTAGCCTGACGGAAGTCATATCGTCCGTCAGCGGTGGCTATCAGCCGTTGGATATTCCACCACTGAGTCCAGTTCTGTCTTGATTCGTAATACGTGAGTTCGCTCTGGAGCTTGGAATATTTTCGGGTCCTCAGAGTGAATGCAACTAATCACCCGTCAGTCACAATCATCACGAAACTGCTTCAACCAAGTCCCTCGATTGGAAGTACGATTTACCTCCTCTGACATTGCTGCACTTGGCAAAGATGTCCCGGACAGACATCCTGTCACCTCGCATCTTGAACTCTCGAGGCCAGCTGCCGGGGCCAAGCTCGATAGCGGCAGCGACAAAACGACCTACGTCTTCTACGGAAGTCATGCATACCTGGACCGGTCGCCCAGATTCATTTGTCTCAACAATGTCGGCTGTGGCATTTCCAACGTCGACAAGGTAAGCCCCTGGGCTGCTTATGCAAGCACGGTCACCCATGCCACAACCCGCCAACCCACCAGGGGCAAAATGTTCGTAAAGAATGCCACAGGAGAAGACCGTGTAGTCCATCTTGCGAGACTTGGAGCTGGCACAGCGTTTCAGCAGCTCGATGGCTTCGAATGATCCATAGTCGAGAGGGTCGTCACCAGATGGTCTGTGAGATACCGACCCTTCGAACTCTGCCGGGACGAAGAGGCGTACACGAGCATGGCGAGCGGCGTGGATTAGGTTAATCTGTTCTTGGCCGCGGATCGTTGAGATGACGAGATCGATGCCTTGGAGGGCGAATTGAAGGCTCTCAGCGTCGTCGTAGTCGACGACAGCAACCTGGCAGTCATAACGTTGCTCCAAATCTGGTCTTGACTATGCACGATCATCTTAGCAAGTTTTTGTTTTGGGTGGATCATCAAAACCGAATACCAACATTTCTGGAAAGGACTATCAGAGGGTTGGTCGTCTTTGTGATGTGACGAGTGAGGATGGCCGCGAACCCTCCGGCTCCGGCGATGGCTATTCGCATCATGACTGCCTGTCTAAGTGTATTGGGTAACCGATTACTGCTCGAGGTTAGAGGTCGAATGATCAAGATTGGAAATACGTTTTCTTTTATATGTTGGCTATCCCTATGGTACGAAAGCCCACTTGGCTAAAGTACGCCATGGTCTTAACGTCACTGCCATCAAGCGTGTGGTTGTCGAGGACCGCTGGTTTATAGTCCACACCATCACGGACGGCCTGAGGTGACTCAGGAACTTATTCAGATATGACTGGTTATTTGGTGTAAGGAAAAAAGACGACTAAGTCTAGTCGGACAAGCAAGTGACCAATCCCGAGACGAAGGGGAGGACTCGGAGACCTGACATCGGGTCTTCTTGATGTGAACAAAGATCCATTGCAGGAGACAATGTTTTTGTTCAAAGTTGTAAGCCAAGAACGCGCAAGTCGCCTTACAATGACTTTGGAAAGGTGGTGGGGTTCGACAGCCTGATGAGTTGAACTCCAACTCACCATGAATGGTCGCCGGCTGACTTGCATGTCGGCGACGTTTTGCCAGTTGGGTAGGGACCCACGCCAAAACCGAACAGTCCGATAGAAAGTGAGAAAAAAATAAAATGACGATGAGCTTCCCAAGTCGTACCTAGTCGCAGGGCTGGTGTAGACGCTGGGTAACTCGGAGTGCGGAGTGAGGCACACTCTGGATGACTGATTACCCAGCTAACTGAGCCCCGGGGGTTCAATCGCATCCCCTAGCGGGAATCAAAATAAATATGGTATTGTTCTTCCAAGAGCTATCTTAGCATAATCCCGAGGATACCTGAGCTCGTTGTCCGCTGATTGTCATCCGCTGGTGCGCCTTTGAGTCAACCTTGGATGGAAACATGGTCTGGGCTTGGTGAGCGAATTGAATGATATTGTGCTACACGCCCGATAATAACCAATTGAGAGCAGTGGGTATTGAAGACCGAGGCAGTGACAATTCCAGACTCTGAGCTTGCGTGGAAACACCATCGTCAGCTAGGGCTAAGTTCAAGCATGTGAGTGGCAGCCATTGGCTCGCTTTACGGATCGACGTACACGGAAAAGTGGCTGGTTTGACCTGCATCTTCAACCCGATGTCTCAATGGACGGATATCTTGCAGGCTGCAGGCTGATGTGGTGACAGAAGTTCAAAGCAGCGTTTTCACGATCGATTAGGGGTTGATACCTCGGCGCTCGCGGCCAAATACGTTCACCTCACCGAGACTCAATCGGGAAATGAAACAAGGTCAACGTAGCAATGAGGGTCCGGATAGTTGGAATGTAACGGTGGCCAAGGTAGCACCATGACGGAAGGTTGGAGGTTGGCAACACTTCGACTTGACGAGAGTCGGAGTCGAAATAGACGGCACCTCGTTGAAGCCTACCATTGGCGCAACCCCTTGCGACCAGAGCAGGCTTCCCTGCCTCATGTTGAGCCACAAGACTGGATGCCTAAGTCATGGCAGTAAGCAGCAATTGATTCATTCGTTATCTGCGGTCCAGACAGGGCTTCGTGATTATGACGACTGAAGTTGTTTCCGGAGAAAATGGGAAGGGGGCGTTGAGAGTTGGGGTCCTTTTCGGTACGTACCTAGTCCGATGGCTCAGCCCTACGCATGAATGCCTCAGATGAACATGCTGGAGGCACAGGACAGAAGTATGAACGGCTTTCCGGTGTAGGCCGGGAACTAATATTCCCTTCGATCGGGGTAGACACTGACCTGGTGATGACTTCGCCTTGCAACCTCACAGCTACAACTGATGGAGACATTGTATTCCATCTTCTACGGACAGGAAGCCCGGATCAGCTGCCTCCATAATGGTGAGGTTGGTATACGCTCATGGCAAGGTCAATAAAGCGCATCAAGCGAATCACGCTTTTGGGCAGGGTCGGATCGCGAGACTGCATTCAAGTATTCAGACGACCACAGCTGATTGTCAACGTATTAGTGGAACACCAACGTTCGAGACCGGAATGGCAATCGAAATGTGGGTTTTGTGCCGTATCTCAAGTTATTTGACCCGTTCTGAGTCTTTGCATCCCACGAATCGGAACTCCAGATGGATATCGATTTGCTCAGAGGTAAGTGTCTCCTGTAGCAACTTCTATATTGAGTCAAGTTGAAGGTTCATCTAGCGGCTTTTGCGTCAGGACTAGGTGTCGAAGTTTGAACCCGTCTGTTGTTGATCCTTGGCATCGTCAGTTACTTCCTCAATAAGTGTCGCCACTGTTGAAGCCAAGATTCGTTTCCAGGACTGGGTATATTTAGGACCAGGCGTCATCAAGAAAACATGTTCAGGCAGAAAGGGACCTGGATGCGTACAAGGATCAGTTCAGTTCCGATACGAGAGGCGATCTGAAGTCGCAGATCATCGCGAATCTGGGGTTCAATCCACTCAGACACGCCCCGAGGTGAACAATATGAAACTTGCAGCCCGAACTACAAGATGACATAAGTGGAAGAACTCATTTTGACGAATCCTCGGGCATGGACTGAGAACCGATCGTTTATGATACTTGAGTGGTCCGCCGCGCTGAACCTCATGACCAGGGAGGATGAAGCTGCAGCGGAAGTCCAACCAATGAGAACAGCTAGCTAGAGTTCCGTGGGTTTGATCCGGTGATTCACTCGTGCATGGGCTCTCTTCCGTGGGGGTTATCACAGAGAAGCTGCGTATTTCAGGCAGAAAAAGGCGTCCACTAGCACGATACTGAAGTCCCCTATTGATCAGTCGTCAGTAGACTAAAACAGAGACAATTGTTGATTCATGGCCTGCTGCGACTGCAAATCGTCTTTTCAGGGTTATCCCGGCCGATACATTCAGAGAGCATGCCCCACTTCGTACATTTCGGACTGGGAGGCCTGAAGCTCGGGCCATCTCCAGTGCAGGTCGATGATTTCGGCCAAACAAATAATCCGTTGCCCTAATTTTTCGGCCATTCGTTTTTCTAACCCACACAGAAAATCCACTCGAGCGCAGGAAAAGTTCGTGAAGACCAGGCTCAACCGATCTCAATCAGACAATTCTCCCCCTTCCCTCACCACAACCACAACAACCAGACGCAGGATCAAACCTCTTTGCGTTCCGCACAACCGTCCAAAATGGCTCCTCAAGCAGTACGTACAACATGAGACAAACGCTTTGCTGTTGGCCCAGCCCATGGCTCGAAAGAGTTCGCGGCAGCGGCGTGAAACAGTAGGCTAAGTCAATATTTTCAATAGGCGATCAAGCGCACCGGCAAGGGCAAGAACCAGAAGGTCACCAAGAAGTTCATCATCAACGCTTCCCAGCCCGCTTCCGACAAGATCTTCGACGTCGCTGCCTTCGAGAAGTTCCTCCAGGACAAGATCAAGGTTGAGGGTCGCGTTGGCAACCTCGGCGACCAGGTCCAGATCTCCCAGCAGGGTGAGGGCAAGATTGAGATCATCGCCCACAACGAGCTCTCCGGCCGCTACCTCAAGTACCTGTACGTTGTCCCGCGACGTTCGCCAACCCTACGTTTCAAGCAAGACCGCTGACATATCTTCAACCGCAGGACCAAGAAGTTCCTCAAGAAGCAGCAGCTCCGTGACTGGCTCCGTGTCGTCTCCACCTCCAAGGGTGTCTACGAGCTCAAGTTCTTCAACGTCGTCAACGACGAGGCTGAGGATGATGACGAGTAAACGGTTTCTATGCATGGGTCAGGTTACTTGGGTCGGCATGGCACTTGAATTTTGGCAAGGTTAATGGGAATTACCATGGGGAATACCAAAAGTTAGCACCATCGTGTGCTTGTTGATCTGCCATACATTTTCCTATGATTTCGTGATGCAAGTGAGAGGTGATGTTGGGTATCCTTTAAACAGTCTATGATATATATGTCGTTCCTGGTTCGTTCCGACGCCGAAATGTCTACAATGCTCCGCGCTACTCAGGCAATGCCCTCATGACGCCCTCGAATGCCACCAGTGCCATGGCGTTAGCTGGGAACGCCCTTAAGAAGCACGGCAGAAACCCGCGCCAGTAACCCTTCCATCCCGCTTCCCTGTACACTGCAGCCGCTGCGTCCCTCCATCTGGGGAATCTTTGAACACCGTCGTTGAGCCCGCCGCCAAGGGGATCCGTCATGATGCGCTGCTTGATCACATCAGAGGGGTAACTCGTCAACCAGAAGACCTGCGCGCTCAACCCGCCGGCCCAGAAATTCACCGCTGGCGCGCTGAGCTTCGTGTTCTCCTTGAAATACTTTGAAAACACGTCGTAGCTGCCCCACCAACAGAAAAAGAAGCCCCTGAACAGCAGCGTCGCGCTCAGCCCGTGGTACACGCCCTTCAGGCCATGGTGCGCGTAGATCTTGCGCAGGCAGTCGACGGGTCCGCTGTACAGCCGCTCGGCCTTGTTGGCGGCGTACTGGATCTGCAGGCGCGCTTTGATGTGCTCGACGGGCGCCGCGATGAAGCTGACGGTGCTGCCGGCCATGACGCCCGCGAGGCCATGGCCGTATGACGGCAGGTTTTCCACGGTGCCGACGCGGAAGAGACGCTCGGCTACGAGCCGACGGTACACGGTCAAGGAGCCCAGCATCACCGAGTCCATGAACATCCAGCCCACCAGCGGGGGCGTCGCGCCCTTGTACAGGCCCGGCACGCCCTCATTCCGCAACGTCTGCGTGACGCATTGGAGGGGTCCGCTGAAGCGCGAAGCGTCCGTTGTCTGGAGACGCACTTTAATTGTGTCGAAGGGGTGGCCGACTTCGCAGAGTTAGTGACTGAGAGCTTTCGACATCAGACAATGGGGGATATTCGACAGACCTGTGAGCTTGGCTATCCCGGAGAACACTCCGGCGACGAAGCCCTTGTAGTTCTTGACCACCGCCTTAGGCTCTTCCCTCACTTCCGCAGCCATGGTGTCCGAGTGAGGAGGAACCACCGTGAGATCGCTGGCAGCGGACATCGGATCCGATTTCGATTCTCAAAGTATGGTCACTTCGAGACGGACCACCGGAAAATCTCGCGGGGTCTGATGCAAGAAGAGAAAAACCCCTTTCTATCAACAATGGTTGGGCCTTACGCGAAATCCATCGCAAGTGAGCCGGGGTGAAGATATGGTGTGCCTGGTCTTCATGAATCATGAAGCTCCCTGATTCTCGCTAAGCAAAAAGGAGCCGATTCCGGGGACGGCGGGGATCTTGTAATCACTTCGGGACCCGCTCTGATTGGTTGAGCATAGCTGTTTGGATGCACCCTTACATCGGGTTCCCTCCTGCAGGAACTCGTTGTCTGCATCATTCTTCGCGCCGCTCGGTGAACAAACCCCGATCTCAAGCTCTTATTTTGAGTCTATGGCGAATCTTGTACCCAACACGGCACTTGCCGTGCTACGGACCTCATGTCACGACGCTCAGGGTCTTTTCATATTGCAATGCTCATTTTTCTTACGTCCTTTTGACTACTTCTACAGCACCCCAAGATCTTTATCTAACCCGTCTCCTTTGATCTGTTGCGTTCTCCAGTCAGGCACCTCGAAGCCATAATCCCGCGAATGGTACTCCGATGCCCCCCAACTTATATATCCTGACTGCCGCGGACCTTGGATGAGCCCGTGAGGTGAGCATCATCTTTACCTCGATGTCAGCAGCGTGATCCGCAACCTGGCCAAGCTCCCTGATAAAGGGAACGTGAATGTTTCCGGGCATCGCTTTTTGCTGCGACAAAGGGATCTCTACTCGCAATCGGAAGGTTCTCATGCTCTTCCACGTGGCAAGGGTCTTGCATGCCGCCGCCCAATGAAGGAGAATCTTCTTCCTGGATGAAGGCTTGAAGGCATCGTTATTGCTGAACTTGACGTCGAGGGAGACTTTGTTCAGCCGTTCAGCAAGACCGTTGGCCAGTTCTCTGCCTGCCACCTTGTCGAAGAAGGTCTCCAAAGCTAGAAAATCTTGGAACGCAAAGGATTGATCGCAATGAGGCGCAACGTCTTCGTACATGCGGCGACACGCGAGCAGAAGAGGTAGTGGGTAGACGAGCTCGTCGTGAGGGCGGGGGTAGTGTTGCTTGTGTTGATTCCGCTTAGGGTCTGATCCCATGGAAATCGCCGCATGGTGTACCGCTGCGCGCCTTTCTCTGATCTCAGCGCCGTTGTCTTCAAATATTCCGTTGCAAACTACCCGACAAAGGCGGCCTTCCGCCGAGGAAGAATCTCCGACCTCGTTGCAAGAGGCCCTGCCGTTGACATCTATATATGTGAGTTGCGGCAAACGTATGCGAGGGTATGCGCTGTCGTAGATGTCCATGCGAAGCTCCCAAGGGAGCTTAAAGAAGCGCGATTGCTCCTGGGGGTCTGATGGTCGAGTTGGCTCGTTGGGCCTGCCCTCGGGGGTCGGGGTTATCTGTGCCATTAAGATCGAATTGACGGGGCTCGAGATGCTCAAGAGAACAATGAGAAGTATCTCTGACTACATATTGTCAGGTGAATGAGTTTTGAGTGAATAGAGCAAGCAGCTAGAGGTAGCTGGGAGAGAGGGTGTGAGGTTGTATATCGTTCCAGCGGCGCATTACGGCAGGATAGCGAGGCCAACCCAAAATTTTAGTCCCAGAGGCATTAGACATATTGTCAAGTACCGAAATGACTGCACTAGCAGTTTTAGTACAGAAATGGAACATTGACCCCGAATATGGACATGATGACGGGATGGTTAGAGGGTCTGCGAATTGGCCTCACTGCCCACCTTGTGGTAGTGGCTTGGGCATGGAACAATGTCAACGGATCTGATCGGATTTCGCCAATCATTTATATATGCTTCTAAGAGAGATAAACCAAGATATGCATCAATGATGATGAGCAGGGTCCCCTCGCGAAACGTGACATTTAGGCGGGTAGGGGTCCGAAGCTCTCTCCCCTTGCCTAGCTCCCGGCGCTGACGTCACGTGGAGTACACAATCTCTAGAACACCTGCTCATCCCACCTGACAGCCTTGGGACGTTTGATTGAATCGTTCTACAACTTTGAGGCGGCCCCCAGACCGAAAGCTCGAGATACAACAACTCCTCACAGACGATTCAACACAATGAAAGCAATCTACGCCGTCCCGGCGACACTGGCACTCGTCTACAGAGCCTGGTCGCATCAATCCCTCACCCCCGCGGGCATCGTCGCCGCCGTTATCACAGCTATCGCCCATGCCTACCACCCATGGAACCTGCCCTTCGCGCTGCTCTGCGTATTCTTTCTTGCTGGAACGAGGGCCACGAAGGTATGACGGAGGCCTATCCATGTTGAGGGGAAATGGCGGATCCTAACTTTTTCCTTAGGTCAAGCACGATGTCAAAGCCCAGATGACGATGGCTGCCCGAGGCACGCCAGGAGGTGAAGGAGCGCGCACCCACGTTCAGGGTAAGTTCTGTTGTCGCCCATGATTGATTTTCTTGCGTTCTCTCTGACGATTGAAATCCAGTCTTCGCCAATTCGCTGATGGCGTCGTGCCTTTCACTCCTCCACGCCTACCAGCTCAACAAGCGAAAGGCCGCAATCTTCGACTCAACAACCCCGAACCCTTCTGGCACACTATGCTACTCTTGGGGCGGCGATCTCCTCGTTGTTGGGATCATTGCGAACTATGCCGCGGTTGCTGCCGACACGTTCAGCTCAGAGCTAGGCATCTTGGCCAAAGGAGAGCCACGCTTGATTACGTCCCCTACCTTGCGCAAGGTCCCGCGCGGCACAAACGGCGGCGTCACTCCCCTCGGCATTGCCGCTGGCGCGTTGGGCTCCATGATCGTCGTCACGGCCTCCATGGTCTTCCTTCCCCTCTGCGGAGACGACAGCGTCGGTAAAGTCGGCGGCGGCATCTCGGCGTGGACGACCCAGCAGCGATCCACATTTATGTTGGGAATGACGCTTTGGGGCGTCTTTGGGAGTCTCCTGGACAGTGTGCTCGGCGCCGTCTTCCAGCGTTCCGTCAGGGACGTGCGGACCGGCAAGATCGTCGAGGGCGAGGGCGGAACCAAGGTCCTGATCTCGGGCGACAGGGCCGACCACGCCGACAAGAACCAGAAGCGCGCAGTCATCAAGGCTGCGGCGCTCCATGGGGAGGGCAAGCGCGCCGTTGAGCAGATGCAAGAGGTTGAGGGCGTGGAAACCCCCGAGACCAGCGATTCGAAGAAGAGGTACGACCCCGAGGACAAGCACCGCAAGCCGACCATGGGTGATGCGAAGCCCTCGCGGGTCGTGGAGACGGGCTGGGACCTGTTGGACAACAACGACGTAAACTTTTTAATGGCTTTCACCATGAGCATGGGGGCCATGGGTGTCGCCAGCTGGTTTTGGGGTGTGCCGATAGAGAGTATCCTTGACGTTTAAACTAGTAATACATGCTTCTCCTCTCCTGATCTCTATGTAGCTTGAATAGGGAATTTGGGAGGTATTTCCGCCTGTCCCAAGTACTGCTTCGACGCCGACAGCACTCCGCCCAAGCAGTCGTTGCCGCAGCACACCACACATCACTCAAACCGGGACAATTCAAAAGTCAGGGTACAAGATTCTTTTGATAGTGTACTACAAGTGCCTGTCCTCCTCCCACATACATATTCTTCTACAACTGCTCCCCTTTTTCTGGGTGATACCCACCACCTGTCAACTGTCGAAACCCTCCACAACGAAGATTGCACAACTCGGCTATGCACATCTCCCATCCCTGAGCCATAGCACGAAACTTGCCAAAACGGCAAAAGGAACGGCAGGGCAGAAGAATAGAAAAAAAAAATGAAGTTAAAAACAGACTTCCCAACGCCAAGCCAAAAGAGCAATGCTATGCCTTACCTTTCTTTTTCTCGCTACGCGAACTCGCTCTTGTTTCTCTTCCTCCATCTAGTATAAAATCGGACCATAAAAACAGACAGTCAGAGACGGTGAGGAATCAACTCGCCCAAAGAACAAAGCTTGGTCCATTATCCCATAATCTTTCATGCTCATGACGTTTCGGTCATCTTTCATTGGGCGTTGGCCGACTTGTGAGACTCCAGGGCACTGGCCAGCGTCTTGGCCAGCTCCTCGGTCTTGACCTGTACCATCCATGTTTCGAGTCCGTTGCCAGCCTCGTTCGAGGTGGTGAGCTTGACGTATTTCTTGTCCGCCTTGTAGGTTTCAGCAGGCAGGACTGATCGGTTTAGCACGACGTGGCCGCGGGGCTCCGCGCGCAAGAGCATGCGGACAGCGCCGGTGTTCTTGTGCTTCAGCAGACGGAACGGACCAACACCCTTGGTGGACCACGGGCTCTTGTTCTTGGGCTGGTCGTCGCCACTATCCTTGTCCTCCTCGGATCCGGCAGGGATGAACTTGAGGATCTTAGCCCGTACGTCATGTACAACCACCTCATCCTCCTCTCCGGGGCCGCCCTCGGTGAGCTTGAGCTGCTCGTGAGGCTTGCCCTCGGCATCGTCACCATCACCGCTGCCACCAGCCTTCTCAGCTTCCGCAGCCGGCTCGGGAGTTCCGTTGGCAGGGGTAGTGGCTAGGCTGGAGGCGCCGCCAAAGTTGAAAGGCGAGTTCGTTCCAGTGGTCGAGGCACCCGCCGGAGGCTGCAGGTTGCCGAACATGCCAGACGCAGGCTGAGCGGGCTTGGAACCAAATAGGTTGCTCGTAGGCGCCGAAGTCGATGCTCCGAACAGGGGTTTTTGAGAAGCAGGCGCAGAGGAATTGGCGGATCCGTTCGAGGCACCGAAGGCAAAGGTGGGAGTAGACGCTGCGGGAGCCGCAGGCTGAGCAGGAGCACCACCTCCAAATTGGAAGGGGGTGCTGCTCGACGGCGCAGCCGAGGACGAACCACCGCCGAACTGGAATGGCGAAGAGCCGTTGGAAGGCGTAGAGGAGCCACCAAAGTTGAACATGCCCCCAGACGAGGGAGCCGGAGCGGAATCGGACGCACCTCCGTTGTTGGATGCGAAGGGGTTGTTGAAAGTCTGACCACCACCACCAGCACTGAACGTGAAAGATCCACCACCGCCAGAGCCAAAGCTTGGAGGACCACTGGAACCTCCGTTAGTTTGGGGCGCAGGTGCAGCGCCTCCAAACGGGTTGGATGGGGGCGCGCTCTGGTTTCCTCCAAAGTTGAACATGCCGCCTGACGGCGCGGAAGGCGCAGAAGACGGGGCATTGAATTGCTTCTTAGCTGGCGGTCCATCATGCTTCATGGGGCTACCACCAAAGAGAGAGTTGGCGGCTGGGGCGGTCTCTGCTTGCTTGCTGGCGCCGAAGCTGAAGATGGGGGCCGCGGGGGCCGGAGCGGCCTCAGGTGCCTTGGAAGGCTCGGTGGGCTTAGCACCAAACAGGTTGGAGGTACCCGATGCCGGCGCATTGTTGCCAAAGAGGGGGTTCGACTGGAAAGGAGTCGAGGCGGTCGAAGTGCTCGCTCCGAATAGGGGCTTGGCGGGTTCGGCGGCAGGTGCCTCCTGAGGCTTGCCACCGAAGAGAGTCGAAGACTGCATTACCGAGCCCGCAGGCTTGTCCTGGGCACCGAAGAGGTTCGAAGCCGGGGCCTGGGCCTTGGGCTCTTCCGCTTTGGGAGCGGAAGCACCGAACGCGAAAGTGGGTGCAGCTACCGGCCTTGAAGGTGCATCGTCCTTCTTGGGCTCCCCCGATGGCTTCGACTGGAATCCAGAGGAAAACCCACCAAAGGGCGACTTGGCAGGAGGCTGCGAGCTGTTCTCCTTATCAGACTCTGCTCCCGTGTCGTCCTCGGATCGAGAGCGCTTCTCGGGCTTGGTCTTCTCGTCCTGCTTAGGAGCTCCAAACAGACTGGAGGCAGGAGCAGCAGGCTTAGCACCGAAGATGGAGCTGGATCCATTTGTAGAAGCGCCAAAGAGGCCATTGCTGGCCGAAGCATTGGCATTGAACTTGATCGGAGAGTTAGGGTTCCAGGTCGCGTTAACAGGAGCCGGCGCGGCATCCTTGCTCGAAGCAAACGGCGTCGGCTCGGCCGAGTCCGTACGGAGGGGTTGACCGTTGTTGCCCTTGCTAACACGGTCGAAAAGGCTCTTGCCAGGCGTGCCTTCTCTGGCATCGGACGAGGTGCTAGAGGGACCAGTCGCGGCGCCGCTGGAGAAAAGAGGCTTCTTAGTACCGAAGGGGTTCGAAGCCGGCTGGGCCAAAGGTGTTTCGGCGCCACCGCTAGCGGCAACACTGGGCTCGTAGCTCTGCTGCCCGGCTTCCTGCGTGTCGGCCTCATCGTCAGAGTCGGTTTCACTCTCACCATCAGCCTCCACACCGCTGTTCTTCGCAGAGCTGGCATCGGAAAGATAACCAAAAATGTTGGATGGTTGGGCAGGCTTGATGTTAGCTTCGAGCACGGAGCGAGAAAGGTTGTTGGCAGCAGCCTTGGACGCGCCGGCAAAGGGGTTAGGCTTCGCCTCTGCAGCCTTGGGGGCCGCCTTGGGGGTCGATGCGGGTCCCTGGTTGTTGGCAACCCTTTCGAACATGCTCTTGGTCGCGGAGGGCGTCGAAGTCGACTTCTGCAACTTGCTCGGCGGGTTCTCGTCCGACTCATCGGCCACTGTTGCCCTTCTCTTGTTCTTCGTCGCAGCTGGGGTGGCCGGCTCTTGCTCCTCCTCTCTGTCCACAGCACGTCTCTTGTTGTTTTTGTTAGGAGAGGCATTCGAAAGTGCCGCGTCCTTGGGGGTTAATTGGTCCTCAGCCTTGCGCTTAGAACGGGTAGTCTGCCTCGAAGGGCTGGCGTCCGCAGCATCTTCCTCAGGCTCGGGCAGGTTGTGAGCGGTTCTCCACTTCTTCAACACCTCCTCTGAAGGCTTGACGTTCTTGAACTCGTAGAGCCCGTACCTGAGCATGATCAAGCTCCGACTCTTTTCGAACTCCTTTGCAAAGTTCATGATGTTGAGCTTCCAGTCCTTCTTGGTGAAGATCTCGTTGGCAGCATATTTGAGGCGGCGGAGATCCAGGACGCAAAAGAGCTGGCGGCGCTGCAAGTCATCGTACTCAGGGGGGACAAGGTGGCCGAGGTACTGGTCTGCGTAGACGGTACCCCTGGCTTCGAGCTCGGGAGGGATGTCTCGAGCAAGTGCTTCGCCAGAGAGTTCGGGAGGCGGGGAGGGGATGCGCATCTGGAAAAGGTCGGCCGACGTCGATTTGGTAGACAAGCCTCGCGGGGTCGCCTGAGCGATCGTCTCTCGGTAAACCTTTTGCGAAGCCGGGGTCGCGCCAGGCGCGAAAACCTTCTTGGCGGTGCTTGCAGGCAGACTCGGCGCGAAGGGGGTAACGGCCGGGCTCGCGCTGATGGAGGAGGACCGGAAGAGGTTGTGAGCGGTGGAAATGGTGCTCGTGTTGAGGTTGCTCGAGGGAACCGGGTCGCGATTCAGAACTCTCTGGGACGGGGCAGTCTGGGGAGTGCCCAGTCGCTTGTTGGGGTTCAGAGGCGAAGCTTGGTAGCTCCGGTTCGCGAATTTGAGCGACGGGCGCGGGCGCGGGGTGCTGTTTCGGTGATCCATGATGACGAGCGAGAAAGAAAGATGCGATTTTAGGGTTCTAATTAGTCGGCGGAGATGGGGTGGGTGTCGTTCGACTCGGTCTCGGAAGGAGAGTCGCGTCTCGATTCACGCAGGATTCGCAGACAAAGCGACCGGGGATGGGGTAGAAGGAAAGCAGGCGCTGCAGCAGGAAGCGACCACTAAAGGGTGGATGTGAGTGGATGAGAAAACTCGGAAAACAATGAAGCGTCGACAGTAACAGAAGGCAATAGCGCAGCGATCAGGAAAGCTGATGCTGGATGGCGCATCAAAGACGCCTTGTTGGTGGTTTGGCCGGAGGACCACACGAAGATTTTGGTGCAGGATGTTTTTTTGGTGTGGCACGTCCGGGCGACGGGTGACGGGGCCAGCTGTTGGAAAAAAAAAGCAGGGGCGAGCACACCTCGACGATCCAGCGTCAAGACTGGGAGGGATGGGTCCACTTTTCTGCCGTCACCCAACCTCAGGCAACCGTGACCGCCTTCAACACGAGTTGGCGGCAACGCATGCTGAAGTGCGACGCGACAGGTCTGGCTGGATGGTTGGCTGGCTGGGTTGGCTTTCGGCGCTTCCCATCCTCCCTCGAGCTGTGTCCGGTCCCTCGTCACTCTCAAGTCAGGTTTCGCGTCACGCTGTCCGGCCAAAAAGCACAGCTCCGGACAGCTCAACCAACAGCCAGGGTGCTGGAAGACACGTACTGGCTTCCTTCTTATTTTCATTGCTCTGTCGTCGAGCAGCATCTGGAGATCGGAGCGTCTACTGATCCGGGCTTCTACTACCTAAGTACTCCCGTCTGCTGAGTCAGCCTCACTCAGTTCCCTTCGGATGGATGCAGTGCAACACCCTCCTCCAAAGCTGGCTGCACTCCTGACCCCTCTGCATCTGCACCAAAAAACTTGTATGGCCGATGCGCCTACGCGACTGAAACTAGGGGAACTCCGTCCTAGTTGCAGTCTCGTTCAAGCATTCCTCCAACATGTGCCTCACCTCAGGTTGCCCCTGTACATTCGTCGGGGCTGGTTGAATGGCGCCCCTCCTTGTCCATGTCTAAAGCCATGTACTTATTGGGGTGTCGAGTGGTCATTGAAAGCCCCGACTGCCGGCTCGGTGGTCTCGTGCGATGCGCTGCAACACGTCTGGCTGGAACCGGCTCTTGACGGCCGAAAAACACACGTGGAGTGTATTCAGCGGCGCCGGCTCCCCGACCACTAGGTACTTGGTCTTTTCGCTCGGGCCGGCAATGGTCGGGAATCCCATCATCTCAGTTCCAGCACCGTTGAAAGCGGTCAAAGCGACGGAAGCACGTGTCCATCAGCAAGCGCGTCGAACATCCGCCGCGGATTAATTGTACCGGTTTCCAGTTTACGCGGTCATTGTCAACTTTTCGCATATTATGGAGCGCTTCGCAGGCCGCAAAAGTTGTTGCCGGCGGATACTTTTTGGGCTGTCACATGCTTTTGCACAAGGCGCAATATCCAGGCCATCGACCACAAGTGCATCGTGAATCAAGCCAACGCAACACAACTTCCTGGGACAATTGTTCAACGGGTTTAACATGCTAAATAAATGTTCATATTCTCATTTCCTACGGCAACGCTACGTTTGGCGCGCATCCGGGTCCAGCAACCTATGGCTGATCCAACTGGTAGGTTATGGTACAGGGTATTACCGACAACGCAATGTCCGCCGCGACGCATTTACAACTTGGCCTTGGACTGGGCCTTCTTCAGGATGGGCTCCATGCGGGTAGCCTTCATGACGTCGCCCTTGATCTTGAGCTTGCCGGACATGAAGAGCTTCTGGGCGTTGGCCTTGCCCTGGACGAGGTTGCCAAAGTCGGCGTCGGACAGAGACAGAGTGACTAGGATGAAGACGTCAGGCCAATGTTCAACAGCTGCTTGTCTCGCGCCGAATACATACCGGTGGGCTTCTGGCCAGTGCCCTTGGCGACCTGGCCCTTCTCCTTGAGATCAATGTGCCAGCTGTCGGTCTCGCCGGCCGAGTTCTTCAGGGTGAAGGCAAAGATGGCGTTGCCCTGCTTGATGGCGTCCTTGCGGTCGGGCTCGCTGGAGCCAAGCGCATCGTTGATGGCATCGAAAGCGACCGAGGAGGGGAACTTGTCTGCAGCAAAAGGACCCAATCAGCATCGAGCGACGAAGAAACCGAGGCGGCCGGGCGTCAAGTGCTTACCGTTGGCGAGACCCATGATGACTGTCTGTTTAGGGAAGTGTTTGGTAGGCTTGTTGGAGATGATGGAATACTGATGTTTGGGTACAGGAGATCGCGAAAGATTACCGAAACGCGGGGGCTGGCCGGTTAGTTTAAATACTGAAAGGGTTGTCAACGGTAAGCCGTGCGTCGGAGGTCGGGGCCCTTGTCGGACGGAGGAACAAAGCGAAAGAAGAGGTACCTGGAAAGCTGGATGACGCTCAGTTGTCGCATGTGAACCTCGGCGATTTAGCGCAGCGTCATGTGCGCCCGCGCGCGCCCCAGAGCGGAAAGACGTGGGACCCCACACCCCAAAGACACTCAGGTGGTGCTGCAGACTGCGACCCCGACCCCGACCCCAGTTCACCTCAGCCATGGTACATACCGACGGGACTGTACCACACTGGAATGCGCTCGATGCGTCCGCTGGAGAATCGCGCTCGGCACCTCAGTCGCAGGCAAGCGGAGACTTGGTTGGCGGCCCCAGCCGAATCCGAGCACAACTGGAGCCAAGAACGGGAGAGACGCGGCGCACCTAGCGCGGACCAAGCCTCTTGCCATCCACCACTGACATTTGGCCTAACATTGTCATTGACATTTGGATTCTGGGTCTTGCATTCCCTATTAAGCATCGCGAATCGCAGGCGGTGTGGGCAAGCCGGACAGCCATGGCCCTCTACCTTATTTTGCTTCACTTTCCGCTTCTAACCTGCGAGTCAATGACGCCACAGCGTGCTTCGTTTCTCGACTAGTCCCGGCACCGGCAACTGACGCTAATCCATGGATCCCAACTCCCAATGGATGCCGATCTCATTCAATCTCTTGGATCCGGCCTGGCCCCCCACGAGCGCCTTTCAAGCCACTGGATATGGCTCTAGACCTTTCTTTCACCTCAGCCATGCTCTTTCAACATTGTTTCGCGAAGACCGAGGCACTAATGGAAGACACGAGGCAAAAAGGTGGAGAATGTTGATAGAAGGTCCGAACCAACGCGACGGGCAAAACAAGACAATCCCGATTCTGCAGTCCATTTGTCGCATACAAACAAGCTTCAGACAATCCGGCACGTGGACGAATCGCATTCCTCATTCGGTTCTTGATTTTATGCCTTCTCGGTCCTCACGACCACACGCCATAAACATGGTCGCTGCTCCTCATCGATGATAACCAAATGCTCCAGATCCCGACAATCATCTCATGGCTCATTGACAGCAGCCGAGGGAAGTCTAAAGAGTTGGAGTAGCCGACCAATGCTAGAAAACCCTTCGACCGAATTGGGCAGCACTGACGAGAACGAGTCCGAATGCGGCATCGCCTTGCAACAAAGGACTCAAGATCAGGGGCAGAGGGACCTCGGCTGGAAGCAGTCAAAGAATCCCTGACACGAATGGATCAACGTTTCGTTTTGACAGTTCGTCCGACTACAGATTTGGGCCCTAACTAACGATATGCTACATCGCTGCTTCGAAACAGCCTACCGCTCGTCTATTCGTACCAGGACATGCAACCCCTGTCTGAAGTTCGGAACGAGCATCTCTCCTCACCTGCAGGTCCCTTTGGACGGCGCACAACCAGCCGCTCGCACAGCCCTTTAAGCGCCCGAATCTCTCAAATACGCGGCAACGACACCGCCCCACGACCCCGTGTTATCGCTCGCAAACACCTCCCATACCACCCCGCCCGTCTTGTCGTACAAGAGAGCCGTGGTGCTCTTCGTGCTCAGGCCGAACCAGTACGTCGACTTGGCGCCGTCAGCGAAGGCCTGGTTGGTCATGCAGTTGCCTCCCGTGTTCTCGCACTGCGCGTTCTGCCAAAGGTTGTCGTTCATCTTGTTGAAGAAGACCCACAGCGCCGACCCGTGGATCACGACCTTGGAGCTGCCCGTCATGTAGTGGCCCCAGGACCGGAAACAACGGTCGTTGTTGCCCTGCCCTTGAGCCGCACAGTTGCTAAAGTCCGGGTCGCCATAGGCCGGCTTGACGCTCCAGGGGCTTGGGGCTCTTTGCGGAGTCCCCTCACCTTGCCAGTACGCGCTCTCTGTTTGTTGCAAGGAGATGTAGACGTTTTGCGCGTTGTGGAGGTTGTACTGATACAAGACACAATGCTCAAAGCTGGTTCCCACCAGCCACGTGGGCTTGGTGCTCTCAATGAGGGCGCCCCGGCCGACGGCGATGTTCTGTGCGGCGCCGCCATCGAGCGAGTGGTCAGCCACCCAACCCCAGACATTCTCCAGGTAGGCAGAGGCAGTCGAAGTGACGTGCATCAGCGCGAAGGCGGCCTTGCAAGCGCCCGGATCCGCGCCGCCACAGTTGGTGTTGGTGAGCGAGTGCTTGGTGCCGCCGACACGAAAGACGCTGCTCCAGATGCCGACGTCGCCGGGCTTGGATCCCGCCATGTTGATCTGCACTAGAGTCGCGCCCTGCTGGACGTCGGCGACCTCGACTGTGATGTCCGTGATCTGGGCGACGCCCGTCTCGCCGGGGTTGCCGATTTTGAGGATGGGCTGAGGGTCGTCGGGGTTCCACCATAGCGATCCGAGGCCTGCCAAGGTTAGCTTTTTTTTTGGGGGGGGGGGGGGGGAGAGAGGCGGATGTTTCTGGGCCTAGGGGACATACCGTTGAAGATGCTGAGGGTCTCGCCGATCAGCCTCGTTCCAGGAGGCACGTAGATCGTCTCCTTGGTAAGGTAGATGCCCTGGGGCACAAAGATGATCTTGCAGCCCTTGTACTTCTGCAGGATCGCGTTGATATTCGGGCCATCGTCGTGGCTGTTGTCTCCGTAGACAGGGTATTGCGGATCGCCCTTCAAGCTGACGAACTGATCCAGAGCATACTTCTCATATTGAGGCAGCGGCGCAGTAAAGTACCTGCCCCCGGACAGCAGCGCAGCAGGCCGCTCGATGGGGTACGTCGTTCCGCGCTGCAGGTTGTTGGAGTTGACGTATCCCATGACCCACGTCTGGCCCGCCGGGACCGAGTCGGACCTGAGGGTCGACCCATCGCTCGCCGACTTGACCGCCGTCGCGCCACTGACCTGGAAGTTGTCAATGACGAGCGAATTCTGGCCATACCCCGTCACCAGGTTGTTGACACCGGCGTTGCAGGCGCTGACGCTCGAGTCCACGAGTGAGACGACGCCCGCCGTGCTGCGGCCCATATCGATGCCGAAGTTGCAGTTGGCAAAGGTCGCGCCCTGCACCACGGCGACGTAGACGCTGTCCACCGAGATGCCGACGTTGCAGCCGTTGAAGGAGAGGTTCTTGAACTGGTACTGCTGGCCGTTGACCTTGATGCCGATGGCGCCGCCCTCGAATTGCTAGTTGCTCGTCAGCTCATCTCGCTCATCCAACCCCCCCGAGAGTTCAAGAGGCACTGACACTGTCACTGATGAGGATTCCAGAACCACCCGCGGCCATCGTGATACCGATATGGCTCGAGTAGTTGGGCATGCGGACCTTGACGTTGGACAGAGAGCACCCCTGCGAGACGCTCCAGTCGATGCCCACGGCCTGCACGCTCGTGCCGATCTCGGTGGTGTCGACGACGACGTTGCGCACCGCCATGTAAAAGTTCTTGGTCGCCGACCCGTCGCCCTGGTGCGAGTCGTAGCCGTTGATGACGGGCTGGGTGCCGAGCGCCGGGTCGGCGATGAGCACGGGGGGGTTGAGGGCGTCGCCGACGAGGTAGGTCGTCACGAGCATCTGGATCGGCTTCTTGATGCGGTACCGGCCCGGCGGGATGTAGACGTAGGCCGGGCGGGTCGTCACGGTGTTTCCTGTGCGGCTCCATGCTGGGATAGAGTCAGTCGGCTGATGTCCCTCACGCTCGGCTCCGAGAAATCTTGTTAGTCTTGGGCAAACATACCTTCAATGGCAAAGTTGAAGGCATCGGACGAGTCCTGGACGCCGGTGTTGTCGGCGCCGTACTGCACCGCCGTGCGGTAGTACTGGAACGTCGAGTCAGTGCTCGTCGGCGTGGTGCCGTTGTGGCCAATGGCGGCACGCCACCAGGTCGACGGGCTGCTCTCGACGGGGCCGGAGCACGTCTGTCGGGACTCGAGAATGCTCGCGTCTGCGTCCCGAGCGTCGTGGGAGTGGGGGTGGGCGACGGCCCCGATGCCGAGGACGGCGAGGAGGGGAAGCAGCTTCATCGTGGCCTTTGTCCTCTTTCTGCGGGCAGGTGAGCTAAAGAGCCCCCTTCCTACAACCTCGAGGACGTCATGGCACAGTATTTATATGTATGGACGGCATGAGGCTTGCTGCCTGCTCATCGTCGTCAGACGTTCACCGTATATTGTTCCAGGTCAGCTAGTGAATAGGCTAGTTGATCTTGGGAGGAAAAAAATTAAAATGACTCCCCCCTGGATGGCTTAATGCGCGTGTCTGAATAATCGCCCAAGCCGCTCGATTCCGCAATTGCATGCAGGGATCCAAGGTCTAGAAGCCGGGGCCCAGCGAGCTCCGCAGCAGACGGGATGCGTTCATTGACAGCGTGTTTCGGGCTTATGTGAGATTTGTAAAATTGCACATGGCGTTCTGGATTGTGCCCCCTGACGGGGCCTACCTAATAGCCAACTTGGGGTGGGGTTTTGACGCAGAACACACGGCTATCGCCTGCGGGTACTTGCTTGTTCTAAGCATGCTCTCTAGGCACCGAGATTTCGGGGCGACAGGGGGGTGTGCAGAGTTGCGGGGATCATCATGCAGTCGAGGGCCACGAGCTGAAATCTTGGTAATGGGGGACCACCTCACCCAGTCGGACAAGCACAGGAAAAAGTCGATAATGGCTATTTTAAGGAGCCAGGAATGCAGGTACCCATGTGAGCGAGTTTCTCGGGTTATCGTCAGCTGCCGTGCGCGTGTGCGGATGAGAGCGGCAGGCTTTGGCGATGGTGTCTTGTGATGTCGGAATAGGCGGTGCGGCGGAACTCAGCTGGTGTTGATACCGCCACGTACTCTTGAGCAGATACTAGCTCAGGTGCTTGGCTAGTGTGAGGTTGCAATATTGATCCTGAGTGTCTTAGACCAATGGCAATGGTCTGCTCGTTAATGTACGACGACGGTGCTGTTGATCTCTAGCTGTATATGATAGAGCCGTGGGAGTTGCAGGTTCTTCCAGATGCGGTTCTTAAAATTTATCGAGATATCTACGTCAGGAGAATCCTCATGCTCAAACGGAGAAGACGTCCAATCGCATCCAGCGCGTCGCATCTGTCTTCAGTCGCTCAGATGGCCCTCGGTTGCCAGTACGTGACGGTGGTTCTCGGACTTCACCGGTTGTGCAGTCTTGCTCCCCTATCTGGATGCTTTGAAACACTAGGGCGAGTGTACCCAGAAGCCACCTGTGAGATTGGGCAATACTGTGAGATCAAACCTGGTTAGCAGCGTGGCAAGACGAACTCCGCCGTTGAGGTGGAACAACCAATCGAAGTGTTGAGTATGCTGCGAACCACGGTAGCGCCAGAGCACGATACCAGGCAAATAGTTCCTTCACAACTCAATTCATTCTCTCTATAATACCCAAAACCTAGCCTGCTGCTGGCTTCGCTTGCAGTTGGATATGACTTCTCGATAGAGATGTTATATTCGCAGAAACTTCCTAAACAGGTGGTGTATGTAAGTATGTATTGGATACATGAGTACCCACCGCGGCGCCGTTACATGCATCATCAAGTGACGTTTATCTTGCGCACATGTTCTACCCTCCGTTGTAGGTTCAATACCCGCATCTGCGTCTGCCTTGCGGTGTCCCGATTGGAACTCGTAGCTTCGTCTATGAATTCGAAAGCAACAATTATGCATTGGGAAGCTGGAAGATCATGAGCAGCCCACTATGGAGGGGACGTCGCACTGGCTGAAGTTAACGGGTGCTCTTCTCTCATTCGACCTCTCTGAGACGTACGGCAAATGCCAAGCCTGCTTATCAAGCGAAAAGGATCACTCGCATCAGGTTGCCTATTGGAAGACACTAAGTTGTTACTTTCTTGGCGTGTAATGGTATGTTCTGCACAAGTTCATTACAGAATCCTGCATTGACAGGCATCTGTGAGCCTAGGCATGAGATGCGAGTCGCATGTTCGAGTGGCTTCATGGCGTTTTTATCCTTGCTCGCCTCCGTCGCAGTGTCTCTCGCCGAGTATTTCGCCGTCGGTGTCAGCAACGACGTTCCTTTATGGTAAGCTCTAATAGGAAAACTGGCTGTGAAGTAACAAAGGCTGTGTCCGTCAATATTTGGCCGGTCAAAGACAGTCCTGGCTGTCGATCCACAGCACGTAGATGTAGACGGGAGGCTAGCTGGGTAACGATGCCAAATGACCCTGTCTTGAAGGCCCGGGAAGTATAATACGGACGCTACATCTTTGGTGTTGTCTTTTGCAACCTGGGCTGTTTGCTATATGCCACAGTGATGTCATTCTTGGCGAGAGAGCACCTTGACTCCTGGCTCCATTTGGCGGTACACTGGCCATCTGGAACTAGTGAACAGGTCTCGGGCCGGCAGTTGAAAATGCCAATCAAATCCACATGCCATTACAGGCTACTTGTCTTGGCCGCTGTGTCCCTGCCAAAAGTGTGACAACACAAAACAAAAAGTCGATGAGCGACATCCACAAGCCTCCAACATGGATCTAAACCAAAAACGCGGCACTTACACTGGCCCGAGGAACAAGAAATGTTGTAACGAAGTTGCACGAAAATAACTTCCAACAGAAAGGATGCCGCTCAGGCCTCCCATGCGTGGCACATTGATATACATGCAACCCCCCCCCCCCTTCTATGTATGCGTTAAGGGGTATACTTCCCCCAACAACCAACCACTCAATCCCTACGCCTCGACCTTGGCCTGGCTCACGTCGGGATAGACATCGAACCTCCTCTGCGTGTTGATCGGGATGTTCCTCCTCGCCTCCAAAATCTTCTCGCCGTCAAGCTCCCACGCCACGATCCCCTCCTTCTCCTCCGCCTCCACCAGCACGTTCGCCATCGGGTCGATGATGAGGCTGTGGCCGTACGCGTGGTACGACGCGTTCACGTCCCGCGCGGGGCTGCACATGGCGACGTAGATCTGGTTGTCCACGGCGCGGCCCTGGCCTAGCAGCCGCCAGTGCATCGGCCCTGTCGTCAGGTTGAAGGCGCCCGGGTACACGAGCGCGAAGCAGCCCTTGCGCGCGGCGATCATGGCGAGCTCCGGGAAGCGGATGTCGTAGCAGATGGCGACCGAGATGCGGCCGTACTCGGGGAGGTCGACGACCGTCACCGAGTTGCCGGGGCTGAGGACCTCGGACTCCCTGAACGTGATCTTGCCCGGGATGTCAATGTCGAAGAGGTGCACCTTGCGGTGCGTCGCCAGCAGCTCGCCCTGTGGCGAGAACACCAGGCTCGTGTTGTAGAACTTGCCCGTCTTGCCGTCCAGCTCAGGGATCGACCCACCGACGAGGTACGCGCCGCTCTCGGACGCCATGGCCGCCAGCGCGTGGAAGCTGGGCGACTGCTCGCGCGTCGGCGGCGAGGGCAGCAGCGTCTCGGCGTACTTGGGGAAGTAGTCGCATCCGTACGGCGAGTTGAAGCACTCTGGGAGCACGACAATCTTGGCGCCGTCCCGCGCGGCCTCGAGGACCTTGGCGCGCGCGTTGGCGAGGTTGGCCGTCTTGTCGGCGCCCGAGGCGAGCTGGATGCAGGCCAGCTTGACGGGCTTCTTGAGCACCGGGGAGGCGGAGGCGGTCGCGGCGGCGGAGGTGGCCATTTTGCGAAAGGGCACGAGGCGGTGCGCGGAAGGTTTGAGGATGGAGGACGTAAGGGTGCGAAGGGTCCGTAGGGCGAGGCGCATTGCTCAAGGAGTGGTTGTTGGACGGCGCGGCGGACCGGGTGACGTTGGAGGTCGGGAATGGGGGGATGGTGGGGGATTGGAGGTTTGTGAGGAGCGTGGTGGGGTGGGAGGGCGATAACGGCGGGGTAGCTTTGCCGCACGGCGGCATTGCAATCGGAGCTCATCCCTGTCGGAGTTCGGCCACTAGTGGGATGTATCACACTGTATGTCCATGCGTGTAATCGTGGCAGATGCACCGTGCGAATTAGTTCAAAGGACGCCGAATTGTCCGATACACTTCATCGGGAAATTGAGCTGAGCGGACCGGGTCCGATCGGCCAATGCGTCCCGTCCCGAGCGCCGGCGCTTGTGTGTTCATCGCCGATAAGTATGCTTCGCACCTCGCACTCTGCACGCAGTCTTTGGCCTTTTGTTCATTCACTTTTCAACTTTTCCATATTTACTCACAGTTCAATCACGTTCATCTAGATGTCAACCTTGCAGTCTTCACTTGGTAACGAACCTTGGAATGATTCTCTGGAGTGCTCGAAGCGACGGACCTAGAAGACACCCAATGTCGGGCATCGATACCGCCGGGCGAATATCGCAACTGGACATGTAGGAAACAGTGTTTTCTACTTTGGCTGCTCGCGAAGCCTTACAATGTCGTCTGGACGGTCTCAGCAACAGCTCCGCACCCGTGTCCTGGGAATGCGGAACCTAGTACGGCGGCCATAGATCCGATCTAACACACCCCACCGACCCCATTCGTGCTCCCACTTCCGCTTACACCACCAACAGCCCAGGTAACCAGGCATGATTGAGAGATCCTACACGCATCAACCCTCCAAAAATGTCCCCGCCAAACGGGCTTCATGCCATGACAAACCGGGCCGTCCGTCTCTTTTGCATTACCTTCGCCTCATCGGCAACCGTCCCTTTTGTTTTCGTAGGCCTCGTACACGTTTTCCATGTTCGTCCGTTCGCTGTCCGCGGCCTGAAACGTTCGTTGTGAGCTTACCTGGCTATGGCTAGCGAGAAGCTTTGCCGAAACAATGACAGCCCACCATCGAGGCCGTATCCGTCCGGGAGGGGCAAGTCTGGACAAGTCCGCGGTTGAGAAATCATGGTTCTCTTGTTGATCACAGGCGCATCTTTCCGGGTCGCGGAGTTGCCATGAGTACGGCAAACTTTTAATGGCATGGTGTTGTCAATGCACACCTCCCACACGCGCATAGGAGAAGCGACGGGATTCGTTGTTTTGAGGCAAACTATCCCATCTGGGTATTCCGCTCTTTGGATGATTTTAACATGTTTTGTCCAGTGTTGTTTCTTCTCCTTTGGAATAAAGATGAGATGTTTGCTTCCCAGCCGTTGCACGCCCCTCTTGCCCTCGCAGCGTCGTCCACACACATCTTTTCTTGACCCAAAACGTGAGCGACAAAGCTTGAAACAGTTGATTAGGTATCAATCCATCGCACGCAAAACCAATTCAGCTCGGCCTCTCCTATGCTTTCGTTTCGTCCTATTTGAAGCACCCGTCGCAACCTCCACCCCACCTTCTCACCATAAGCCTCACTTTTGCCATGAAGCTCTAAGCAAGGGCCAATCGCTGTGCCCTGCTCTTCTATTGGCATTGAATGCACAGTGCCAAGGGGCCGTCGCATGATGGCGAATAATATGCAAAAAATGACTGAAGTGTTCCAGCCGCCTTTTTTGCAAAAACTCTGTCGAGACCAACGCCGCATATGGACAATAGATAACGAGAAATTAGACACAAAGGAAGCGGATAATATACATCCATGTCGGTTTTGAGAGCCTTGTCGAGGCTGACTCATTGCTTGTGACAAGAAGGTTGGTGTTGACGCACACGTTCGCAATCTTACGAGTAGAATGCTGAAGGTCGTGAATGGCGCCGCCGCGCGGAGCTGAGGCGGGGTAAGGATTGAGGCCGGAGAGGGCCGCGGGTATCGATTAGAGTTGGCATGTTTGAAGCATGCCAAATGAAGGTAAGGTTGGTCTAGGGCCACCTGGTGACCCGATCGTCGTTGGCTCTGCCTTATAGTATCAGCTGCTTCAGGTTGCGTTGGATGATCATATCCTGGACTGAGCCCATGGTGATCTTAAGCAGGTTCGTGTCCGTCGCATTCGTAAAATGCCCGTAGATTTCCTTCTCGGTATTTCGGTTCAATGCGCGGAACTTGTCCAAAAAGTATTTGCTGGCAGATTTCCAATCGTCGGCGGGACCATGGTAATCAGTGAAGCCGTGTGATGTGATGGGGTTGTTGGGTAGTTTTTCCTTGAATAAGTCCATCTTGTTGAGGAAGAGGATAAGCGCAGACTTCGTAAACCAGTGAGAGTTGGCGATCGACTCCCACAGCATGAGTGCTTCGTTCATTTGGTTCTGTCAAGGTCCAGTCAGTTCGGCACGGGGAAATACAACACAAGTACACATACGCCATCCTTGTCTTCGACCAAACACTGGTCGTAGCCGCTAATCGCGACGAGGAAAAGCAAACAGTTGACGTTTTCGAAGCAGTGAATCCACTTCTTCCGTTCGGAGCGCTGACCACCAACGTCGAACATGCGGTACGTCAGTTGGCCCAGGTCGAAGACCGTCTCGGTAATACCAGTCGTTCGCAACCTCGAACGCAACAAATCCTGGTCTGTCGGTACATAGTTCTGGTCCCAGATTCGGTCCAAATCGTCGCAAAAGCTAGGCGAGTTAGCAACCACTTGTTGCATTGTGTACATATGAGTCGGGGCGCTTACTATGCCAGATTGTCGTGGAGAGCAAACTCATTGCCCTTGGCAATAGCTTGCTTGACACCTCCATCGACCCAGAGCTCCTTTATAGGTTGCAGATAATCGCGCGGGAGGGGGTCTTGGGCGATGATCTCGTGTTCCACCAAGATGTGCGCCATGTGCTTCTGCGAAGAGACAGTATGTGTTAGCCCAGCCGTTTGATTAATGGCATGCACCAGTTGCGGACTCTCGCATGATTGTCATACGCGATTAGCCTAGTGGGGGGTTGCTTGCCTCGTTTTCGGGGTTGGTAAACTCGATACCCATCTCGGTCATGGCATCTTGGATCAAGCGGAAGGATTGGACAATATTATTGAAGACGACAGGCTTCCATTCGAGCTTTTCATTCTTGCTGAAACCTTGGGCGTAGATCAATTTCATCTGCTTCAGCACGGTAGACTTTCCAGACTCTCCAGCACCTGTCGAAGAAGTACGAGTCAGCGAACGGGCCAGAAAGCTTCACGAGGTAGATAGGCGCGTCAGCATACCCAGCAGCAAAAGCTTGACCTCTTTTGATAGTCTCTTTTCATCCTGGCGGATCAGACGGTCGAGATCCCGCGAACGAGCGGCGCTGCCGTCGTCCTGTTTTCGAGCCCCGAAACACATGTTGTTGGTTTTAGCTGTGGTCGATCGGCAATGGCGGAACCAGAAAGTCGGCTGGGTTGGCGTTCAAGAGATGGAGGAGAAAAGCAAAAAAAGGAATGCGGCCCCTCGCTGGACGAAGAGTGGGTGATAGACGCGAACGGCGGCGGACCAGTGGAGGTGGTGGAGAGAAAGAAAAAGGAAGGAGAAAAAGGAAGGATAATAAAAGCCCAAGACGAAAGCGAGCTAGAAGAAGAAATGCGAGCCGACTAGTCCGGGCGACGAGGGTTTGGGGAATTCGCGTCCAGTCGGGGAGGAAGTGCGTGGTCTCGCAATGGTCCGAGGGCGTTGATTTGAATGTCAGAAAGATCAGACGGGAAACCCAAGGATGGCCGGGCCAAGAGGAAGACGGACAGGATAGGTCGACTCGGGTCGCAGTGCAGTATCAACCTTAAGGATGTGGAGGAGAGGTAAAGGCGGACAATTAGGCGTGGTGGAAGAATGCCTGTCTACCTTTTGAGGGTCGAGGAATGGAGTGGTGGGTGGAGGAAGCTTTTGTCGGTTTGAGAAGAGTCCCACACTGATGGCTGGCGCGTTACTCGGTTGGTACCTTTGCTGCGGACGCGGTCGAAAGGAGCGAGAGGCGGGAGAGACAGCCCAAGAAAGAGAGAGGGAAGAAAAAGGGCACTAAAAGTCTCGGGGGCGTTCGTAGTGGACGCCCGGTGGGCTGCGGGTTGCTAATGTTAATCCTTCGGATCTCTGCGTTTTGGCTGCCCAGCGAGGCCAATGGCGTGTCAGGGGAAAAGACTAACGTGCTAGCGCGGAATAATGGAGAAAGGAACAGGCGGCAACGACGAAGAGATGAGGAATGAGTCGGAGGACGAGGTCAGAGGCGAGACGAGAGACGAGAGAAGAGAGACGGCGAAAAGAAGAGGATGGAGGCTGCAGCCGCTTAGGAATTGGATCAAGAGGATGATGAAGAAGGCTCGACAAAAGGGGAGGAGGAGAGGCGCGGTGGGGATCGAAAGAAGCAGAGAGCAGAAGCCCAAGAAGCAGGAGAGGAAGCATGGACAAATTATGCACTAAAGGAAGCACCTCACTGCAAGGTGCATCGACGAGGGTGGGGGTACGTACTGGATTGGGGTATCCACTAAAGTCTGTCTGTACATACAACCCATACCTAGTCCCCTACCTAGTTTACATGCCTCGAGCATCCGGACGGGGGTCGACAAGGCGACCAGGTACCTTGGCCTGGTCTTCGTTTCTCTTTTTTTCTTCTTCTTTTTTTTTTTTCTCTCTCTCACGTACTGAGATCGCTACAGACGCTGCGGTCTTGCGCATACCCAAATGCTTGGCTCCCTGTGATGGCATGGACAAGGGACCAACAAAACAGAGTTGGTATGACTTGCCGTGCGTTGGGCACAGAAGTATAGGCAGCATGGGGTGAGCCGGTCATCGAAGGAGACAACGGTACTTGCACTGCGAACACGGAGGCGCGACGTCGACATCGACGACATCGATGACAACGCCGACGGCACAATGAGATGCCCAGCTCAGCTACGTAGGTAGTGACCTCACTGTAGCTTGGTTAATCGGAACTAGGAGCAGCAGCAGGAGTGTCAGTCAGTGATTGCACCGCACTCGTCCGGACTGACTACCTCTAGTCGACTTTCCCCAATCTCATTCTACATAAAGAAGGTCAGGCACAGGAACAGGAACGAAACCAGAGGAACGTCTGGAACCTCTGGGCCAGGATGATGGCAGGACCTGCTCAGTGCTCAACACACACACACACACACACACACACACACACCACGCACACACAATCGAGCACGTACCGAGCTCTAGAACTTGCCGGGCCCGCAAGAGGAAAGCATTGAAGCAGAACGGAAGTGGGGGCACTGCCGTGACGTACCTGGCCGGTATTGTGGTCCGATTCGTCGCGTGACCCCTGCCCGCAGATGTGGCAGAAATGCATCTTGAGGGACTTGGCAGGTACCTGGGGTACGCACCTACTCGCAAGTCGTTCCGCAGCTTCCTTGCACTTGCATTAGACCTAGAGCAAGCCACCTCGAGTTCCCCGTCCCTCCCACCTTACCTTCGTTGCCTCGCTCTACCCAATGTACACTACCTACAGTCCCGGAGCATCGCACCACACCTCAACCACCTTCCACCAAAAACTCCTCTCCTCTGCCTGTCATGCCTCACGGCACTGGAATGTACAGTAGTGTTACGGATACATAGTAGCGTAGGCCGATCGTTCCTAGGAAACAAAGATAACATTCCATCGTCATCTCAGACATTTCACCCGCCACTAAGTCAGTCTCCCAGTCCACCGGTCCATTGCAACACTCGGGCAGTCCCCCTTTCGTCCAATGGGCCTCTACGATGCGACCTTCTCTCTGATTGTGTATGTACTGCGTGCGGGTACAGACGACACATATCGAGGAGTTCGGACACCATGACCGCCATCCAACGCCGCACCTCCAAGGCACTGCATGTATGTGCACGACCTCATGTCTCCTCCCAACACCTCCCTCCTCGAGGCATCAACGACGAGACAACCCCCCTCAAGCGCCGGGTTGAGCCCGCCTTTGCAGGAAGCCTCCATTCGTCCTTCGTGACAGCTGGCGGATGCACGATGCTGGCTGGGGCTGAGTGTCCCAGAGGTACAGGTTGCAAGCTGCGAACTGCCACGCCTCATGACTGCAGGGGAATCTATCGGCACATGGCAAACAAATCAGGGACAGACCAATAGATGCAGACCATATTCCGACACATGGAGCAACCACTGGAGAACAATGACACATGGCTGTCTTGATTCATTCAACTTCATCCCTCCAATCTGCCAAACGTTGTTGCTGTCGTCCGTCTTATTCACGCACCTCTCGACCTACGCTGTACACCACTTGACAAGTTCACCACGATATGTTTTGAACTCAAACCCCCGAAAGTTCTGCGTGATGCATGGCAGGCCCGCGGGTGACCCGTTCACGACTCGATCATATGGGCTCTGCGTGCAACGTCAATGCATCAACCATTGGCCCCTCATCGAGCCTTCATTTTGTTGTCTCCATTCTGCAGGCGGAGTATCCATATTCTAGACTGAGCAAGCAGTACGGTAACATCATGGCATTTCGCGAAAACGGAGCAACTCCGATCCTCCGGACCCAGGCGTCATACCAGATCGCCACCACGCAACCCCAATCGAGGCGTCTACTCCGGAAACGCCTTGTGCGCGCTACCCTTCTTGAGCTCTTGGTTAAGGAGCGATGCGTTGCTTCGCGTATGCGAGCCGCCGTCGCACCCGCAACAGTGGCCAGCTCGCGCCTCGCCCTCCAACAAGGCCTGCAAAGAGAAGTGGCTGCTGTTGTTTGCGGAAGTGCGTCCCACTTCCACAACGCCTCTTTCGTCGCTTCTAGGCGTAGCGCAGCTCGCCACGCAGCCACTAGACATCAGACTTCCTTCATCTGCCATACGGCTCTTTGGCAGCTTCTGCAGGTTGTTTCCGCTTTCGAAAACGGCCGTCTCTTCCCAGAGAAGCCTTCTACTGTATCCGTACTTCCTGTACAATGCATTGCACAAACATGCATCATGCTAGTCCTTCCTTTCGAACAGTGGGGCCCTGGCCGAACGCGTCCGCCCTCGATGGGGAGGCATGTCACCCCCTGATTCATGCGACTGCAACGTCCACACCCGAGCACGACTCTGCCTATCGCTCTACCCTGGAGTCTCATTCTGCCATACTTTTCCCCAACACTAATTCTGATCAGCATTGCAGGCTCCGGTGGAAAATTGAACGTTGGTTTTGCGGGCCGCTACGAGGGTCCTGCAGCATCGATGGTAAGAGTCCCGCAGAAACGAACGCTCCAAGGCGCCGGGGTCTCCCCTGGCCAATCCTGGCCGTCGAGGCATGACAGCCGCAGGGATGAGAGTCGCAGACTTGTACTATGTAGCTCGTTTCGTTCGAGAGGGCGCCCGTTTGTGGATGGGTTGCACAACTCACGGCCTTCTAGCCGGGATCCACAGCCATCGATGAGCCAGATCAGCGTGCGTTTCCAGAGCGCCGATGACCTGCTGCTGCTGTTGCTACTACTACTACAGTACTACCACTGTCGCTCTCAGCATACTCAACACGGCAAGGCCTGGGCGGGCATCGACCTCCCCGATAACCTGCACGAAATAGTCGAGATGTTCCGAATACTCCGTGCCGCCAATCGGGACTTGTGCACGACTGGCCCAAACCCGCTGTAGGCAACCAACCGTCTGCGTTAGAGCCTCAAGTTAACGGCGGCCGCCGTGAGGCCGGGCGCTCCGCAGAAGCTTTGAATCCTCGCTCGGACCTTGCGGCCAGGCCCTTATCATGCGGAGAAACAGACAAGACTTGGCCCGAGCCAGCGTTCCGAGATTCAACGTCGGTTGCCAAACTATGTTCCAGCTCATCGTGCTCGACCAGTCAGCCGCCTGGCGCGGCTCAATGGGTTTGCTGCTGCGGGAGGCTGGATGCCCTCGCGCACACTACGAAACGTTGCCGGATGCGGCCCCCAAGACCAAACGGCCCAGTGAGGGACAGCCAGTCAATGAGTCCGAGTTTGACAAGAAAGCAACAAAGACAACGTCCAGGCCGAGCGGCTGAGCGAGCTTATGGCATCGGGATATGTGGACCTCGTCTTCAGCTTCGTCTAATGTCAGGCTGTGTAATCCAATGGAATGGTGTGCTGGTAGACAGAAAACCGCCAGATGGGTTAACCCGCGCGGGGCCCAGGGTCTCGGCCTGTTGGAAAAAGGGAAAAAAGAAAGGCGAAGATTCGTGGATCGTCCTCAAACACTGCAGGGTCTCTGGAAACTTTGGGCTTTGTCACACGATGCACCGCACGGACTTGCCATCCCGCGCAGCGTGAATTGCTTTTCCCAAATCAAGGTTTCTGCGTGGGCATATGGCATTGCATCGGCGCCCTGGAGCAGCCTCTGTTGTCACAATCCCCAAAAGCACCAACCAGGAAGCAGTTTCGCGAGTAGGTAGTCTGCCGTTTCTCCTCGCATCTGTTCTCGGGCCAGCCCTACCAAATATCTCCTCAGTTCATGCGGGACCGAAACAACACTGGTGAGATTGGGACAGTTACAACAGCAACGTGCGAAACCTGGGGTATCATTCGTACCAATCATCCCGTCCCCAAAATACATTACTCTTGTTTCTCGTCACTGAAAGAGGCTAGTCAGCTGGGGCGATGAAGGCTGCGGCGTTATGCCAGATCTGGGGCAGCATATTCCGGCTGAGCCTCTGCAGTGAGAGTTTGTTTTACATCCCGATGGGCCAGAGGGTCACTCTGTGGCGTCCTACATTGATGGTCTGCGACGGCAGATTGCATACTTCAATTCAATTGCCACGAGCCCTCCAGGTTCAACATTAGTGATGTAAAAGAAAGAGCGAGGTTTGCAATGTGGTAACGGACCCTTGGCTGCACAGAGAAGGAAGTAGGAGAAAAAAAGAAAAAGAGGAAGAAGAAAGGTGTGGGCAGCGTTTTCTGTATGATTCACACATGCCTGAATTAGCTGCTGGTGCGACTTACGACGTTGGTACGTAGAGAATCTGCCACATCGGAGTGGACGCAAGACACGGCGGCTGGCTTTGGCAGAAAACGGGAGAGCACAGCAGGGCGGGTTGGATCCAGGTCGGCAAGCCCCGCAGTTCACGCATTTTTCTTGTCTCGGTTGGCGGCCAGAGGCGAAAGACGCATTCGGCGGCTGACCAGGGCAGACGATTTACTTCTTGGTTGGCGCGCCACAAGTTTTGTTTCTGTGGTCTAGTTGCCGCTGAAGAATGTTCTGGGACAACATTTTGGGGGCAAAATCTTTCGGCTCTTTGCACTAGTCTGAAGACTTTCTCTCCCACGGCACCACACAGTCGTGCGTGGCCTGGCCCGAGGAATTGTTAAGCCGAATGCCATGGCGTCGTCACGTTTCGTCTCGTCTTGTCTTTCCAGGTTGTCAAAACCACACACACAAAGAAAGATGTCACATATGATGGACGGCTGGAGGGTGGAGATCGGCACCCGAGGCGAGAAGGCAGACTCCGACAGCCGGTGAGACATGAAGGCCGTTGATTGCCGGCCAAGGGGTGGAGCCGACTCTCGGGAGTGAGATCCCGTTCAGTGTTGGAGAGAGAGGCCGAGTGAAGGGAGGGTGAGAGGCGGGACGAAGAAGCAAAACGAAGAAGAAAATAATAGGAGCCATTAGCCAAAGAGGTTTTTGGGCTGGAGATCCTGGCTCGCCACGTTTTCTGCAGAGGCACGCCGCATATATGCGCCATGCCCAACAGCGGATAATTCCCTCAGGGTTTATTTGCTTTGGGTTTTGGCCCGCAATCCCCCCCAACGACGACGGCTGAACAGGTCCAATGGCCACTCACGAAGTCCCCGGGTGGTTCGCAGCATCGGCCAACAAGTGCCCCTTTCGCGATGGGCATTAAAGGCTGGCAAGCAACGGACCGACGTCGCTGTCAAACTTGGGCAAGAATCGTCCAGACTCGATGGAATGGGTACATAGTACCCCGTAAAAGCCTTCGTCCCGCCGGGCCAAACCTCAATCATGGACCCGGAGCCATGGCATGACATAAGCTTGTGCGCTCGGCCCCTGGTGTTACGTATAACAACATAGGGTGTATCTGCATGTAACAAGGCAATCAAGGCGTGGTGGAAAAAGACATTGCCTTCTAAGTTGGCGACTGGCAAGAGTCAGGAACCTTACCCAGGCCTACGCGCACTGATAATGAGACGATGTCCAATGACAGCTTTGTGTGGGTGGTGGTATGAGGAGCCTCGAGCCACAGGAAGAGTACCAGTAAAAGCCAGCTGCAGCTGCAGGAGAAGAGGAGGAGGGCCGGGAGGGAGGGGAAATGATGGATATCCGTCCAAAGTCTTCACGGCCAAGAGACTGGCCAGTCATGGTCTCTGCAATTCTGGGTCCCAGCTCTCAAAACGAGGCCACCCCGGAGCCACAAAAATTTTCTTCCTGGTTTTCACGCGGGCACCGCAAACGCACCACGACTAGGACGGCACCCGCCTCCTCTCATAATTTACACCGCATCGGCAGACCAACCACAACCTACCACACGACGTCAACGCACATCCATTGTTTTGATATTCGACAGACAGCACACTTTTCGTCCTGGCTTTCTTCCGTCATATATTACCCCTCCCTTCCCGACTACTGCGCCTGCACCAGCGACATCTGTCTCGTTTGCCTGCGCCTCTGTCGACTTGTCGCTATCTACGCCACCATCTACACAATAGTCTTGCCATCAACCCCCCGTCTACCGCAAAAATGAGCGAGATTGCCCATCCTACCATCCAAGGTTCGTGCGGTCCACCCCCCTTCCTCCTCCTTCCCTCCCTCGCTCCTTCACAAACTCTCTGCCCTACGTCTGCACCGAGCTGCCCTTTTGTGCTGCTGCTGGCGCCCCCGACTCCCGTCGCTGCTTGTTCCCAAGGGGCCCTGGTACAACAATGTTGTGATCACCCCGCCCTACAACGTCTTCGGCTTGCGCGCCACGCCACAGGCAAGGGAACATATCGCAACCGGCCCCCGGCCCCATGGCCTCGTCTAGTCTCTTCCGTGACGTCGCCTGCCGGCAGGCCGGACTTGTTCGGCCTCGTCCACGGCCCTGTCTATCAACCTGGTCAACCGCCAACAACCTCCCGCGACTATTTACGGGTGGCTTACCCGCCCCAAGCGAATCTCGGCTCTGGCTCCTCCACCGTCTGAGCGCCCATGCACAATCCTGTCATGCTACTCTCGGTTAAGCAACTGCTCAGGAGAAACATCGATCCCCTGCGTGCAGATCGCCCTTCGTATAGCCTCTTGGCGAGGCGGCAATTGGACACCACGAACTATGTCGGCAGCTATTTCCTCAAAACAACCCATAATTCAGGATCATCAATGCAGACGGGGCAGCAGTGAACAGACTGAAGACACCCCGTATAGAAACAAATGAGACGAATAAGTCGAGAGCACGCTAACCCGGTGAATAATTTACAGATGGCTGGTTCCGTGAGATCTCGGACATGTGGCCCGGTAAGTCTACATGCTCAAGTCATGTTGAGATGAGATGGCCCGCGTGCTAACGACCTGCCACAGGCCAGGCCATGACCCTCAAGGTCAAGAAGGTCGTCCACCACGAGAAGAGCCAGTACCAGGATGTCCTCATCTTCGAGTCCACCGACTACGGCATGGTCTTGGTCCTGGACAACGTCATCCAGGCCACTGAGCGTGATGAGTTCTCCTACCAGGAGATGATCACCCACCTGGCCATGAACTCTCACCCCAACCCCAAGAAGGTCCTGGTCATTGGCGGTGGTGACGGCGGTGTCCTCCGTGAGGTCGTCAAGCACGAGTGCGTCGAGGAGGCCATCCTCTGCGACATTGACGAGGTGAATATCACCACATGGCATGCTTCAGCGTGCTGAGCCACAAGAACGATCCCCCCACTAACACGGTCTCCCAGGCCGTCATCCGCCTCTCCAAGCAGTACCTCCCCAACATGGCCGTGGGCTTCGATCACCCCAAGTCCAAGACCCACGTCGGCGACGGCTTCAAGTTCCTCGAGGAGTACAAGAACACATTTGACGTCATCATCACCGACTCCTCCGACCCCGAGGGTCCTGCCGAGTCCCTGTTCCAGAAGCCCTACTTCCAGCTCCTCCACGACGCCCTTCGGGAGGGCGGTGTCATCACTACCCAAGGTTGTACGTTCCCATTTGTTCAGGAATACCAGGAGGGGAATCAAGGAAGTCTCGGGTTTGGAAGAGAAATAAGCAAAACGCTGGAGGCAAACCCAACGTGGCCTGCCTCTTTCTCCTTCTTTTGGCCTGTCCTCGATTCTACCCATTTGATCCCCCGGTTCTTATGCCCAGCGGCAGCCGGCGAGGCTTGGTTATCTCCAGGAAACGCTTTCTCATCTCCTTTGTCTATCCAACTCGGGAAAGCGTCACGCCTGTGCTCGAGACTCTTTCTTTCTCTTTTTTCTTGTCTCTCCTTGTTCGCTTTCTGGAGCTTTCTTTCCTCATGTACCATAAGGACCAGGACTAGCTAACAGACGGTACACAGCCGAGAACCAGTGGCTTCACATGCCCCTCATCTCCAAGCTCAAGAAGGACTGCAAGGAGATCTTCCCCGTCGCCGAGTACGCCTACACCACCATCCCCACCTACCCCAGCGGTCAGATCGGCTTCATGGTCTGCACCAAGGACGCCAGCCGCAACGTCAAGGAGCCCCTCCGCAAGTGGTCCGCCGAGGAGGAGGACAAGCTGTGCAAGTACTACAACTCGGAGATCCACAAGGCCGCCTTCGTCTTGCCCAACTTCGCCAAGAAGGCTCTGCAGTAAACACGTTTGCGTGGTTTGACGCGATGACGTAAACGGAAACCCGTTTTTCATGACCCGGGGTTTTACAGGTTGGAGGGAACGGAGAGAGGAGGTACACAGGAACCAGGCGTGGCTTGGCACTGAATTCTTGCCAATGGGATGAACGATATAAAAAAAAGTTTTAGTCGTAACGCGGAGGTTGACTCCAGCGTGCTCAATACATTTTTTGTTGAGTCATGTCTGTTGTGAGGTCTTTTTCGACCTCGTCTTAAATCCGGGATTGTCTCTGCCGAGTCTGATCAAAGTCGTTGATGAAACGACCTTGTGTTTGTATACCCTCCACCGTCCACAGCCGCGCCGTGGGATAGCCCCTTTTTCGAACACGCCCATGGAGATGCTCACTCCTCAGCTATAGATCTCATGCCTCGACTCTGCGTCTTGATTCTTGCGTGTCCCCGACTCTCGAGATTTTCTCACCAGTCGCAGCTCTTGGCCAGCAGAGCGGCGAGCTTCTCCAGCCACACACGGTCAACCTCGTCGAACCCTTGCGTCACGGCACAATCGACATCGATGATGGCCACGAGCTTGCCCCCCTCGGCCACCACGGGGACGACGACCTCGCTCTTGCTGTCACCGTCGCAGGCGATGTGGCCCGGGAAGGCGTCGACGTCCGGCACGAGCTGGGTCTCGCGCGTGGCGGCCGCGGCGCCGCAGACGCCCCGGCCAAAGGGGATCGTCTGGCACGCGACCTTGCCCATGAAGGGGCCCAGGATGAGGGAGGGCTTGGCGGGGGTGGAGAGCGGGTCGAGGACGTAGAAGCCGGCCCAGTTCACCGAGGCGGAGGGGGCCGGGAGGGAGTGGTAGGCGTGCCAGAGGAGGGAGGCTGCGTTGGAGAGGTTGCTGGCGGGGGTGAGTTAGATGTGAATTCCCATACTGTGAGCAGGCTGCGTTGTTTGGGGGTTTGCGTACCAGACCTGGGGGAGGTGTTAGTCGATACACTGAGTCGGGGAGTCGAGGGTTCATATATGAGAAGATGGGGGGGGGGGGGGGGTGGATGAAGGGGGGAGGGTTTTTCTTCTTTTTTCCGCGTGAGGACGTACCCAGTTTCTTTGACCGTCAAAGAGGCCCTCTGCCTGCAGGAGGACCTGCTCGTAGGCCTCCTCCTTGGTGACGCCGTTGGCGAAGTTGGACGCGTCGGCGTGGACCTTTGAGTCACTCACTCGTCAGTACACCCGACGAGACTAGGGCTCATGAGTTTTGAGGTCTGTGAATGTACCATGATGTCTGCGCGGCAGATACGTGGGATATATGAAATGAAAAATGAGGTTAAAAAAAGCTTGGAGAGTCGTGTATGAGATGTGACGTTTTACGGTTTCCGGGGATACGTGTTTGGTGCTCTAGACGTTGAATTGCAATGTTGAGGTCAAGACGGGAAAATGTGTGTTGAAATCCACTGGCCCAATCACGTCAGACCCTTCGGTGAAGACTCGGTGAGCGGGGCTTCCTCTTTCTGTTTCGTCGGGGACGGGAAGGGTATTTTTTTCCTTTATGTCAGCATCTAGTGTTTCTTGGTGCTCCCTCTCCCGGCCCTAAAGCTCAGAGGTGCGGCGGCGACGGGCTTTGAGTGGAGCATTTCTGGCCCGTACCCTTGATTGCGCCTCCGGAGCTCAAGACTAAAAGGCTCTCCTTGTGGCTCTTCCAATCGATCATCTTGCCGCTCATACTGGCTCAAGGTACACCTTCCCCCCTTCTCCATTCGGAATGGGATCCGTCACCGATGTGCGCGGTTCGCAGATCACCTCGGGAGTGACCCGCGCCGACGCGCCATTGAGGTTGTACCGAACCCCGGGCGCGTACCTACTTGTGCATTGGCTGGAGGGTTGATCTGATCTCCGACGGACGGGGGTGAAACCAATCTTGCAACGGTTGCTAGTGTAGTGTCGCTCTAGAACTGCAGTGCGCCGTCATGGTTTCGTTTTCCTTGACCCCGCGCGCCGTGCTGTGCCTCTTTTACCTCGGCGTCCGAGAGCTTATGATGCCGCTGTTGGAGGTGAAGCAGACGCATGAGATTTTCATCCCACCTTTCACTGGTTTCTGTTATCATTAGCGTTGCTTCCGTTCTAAAAAACGAGACTCCAGTTCCGGCTCCTAGCTCTTTAAGCAGCTCCATCTAGTCAAAGCTTGTCACGTACAAGTCGTCCTCTAGCACACCGCAGCAAGCCTCCTCGCCTCCTAGTCATATTTTTAAAACCATCACCGGAACAGACGATTGCTCAAATGGCCTCGGAACACCAGGCGCCCCGCTTTTGCGCCGACTGCTTCAAGGGCACCCTCCGCGGCGACGCCGAGCCCCAGGGAACCGAGGAGACGATCAACGGCCTGCCGACCTACGTCGCGCGGCCCGATCCGGACCGTGAGCCCGCCGGCGTCGTGGTCATCTTGCCGGACGCTTTTGGATGGGAGCTGCGGAACACCCGCGCGCTGGCCGATGCGTACGCCAAGCGGATCCCGGCGGTGGTGCTGGTTCCCGAGCTTATGAACGGTCAGTGATGCTCCATCTGCTGTCTCGCAGCGTGACCTCTGTTGGGGTTGACCGCAAGCGCATGACAATACTACGAAGACATGGACAGACGCAGTTACTGACGCGACAGGAAAGGCTACGGTGTGCCCGAGTCCGCCCTGGCCATGGCCGACAAGATGCATGGCGAAAAATCATGGTTCTGGAAGTACTTTGTCATCGCGCCCGTCGTCGTGGCCACTTTGATCCGGCACTTCATCCCCCTCCTCGTCGCGACACGCTCGGGCGTCGTCATCCCCCGCATCGGCAACTTCCTCCGCGCCGTGCGCCTCGCGCCGCCCGCCCCTCTCGCCCAGCCGTCGGCCTCCTCGTCGACGTCCGTCGACTCGGTGCGCGCCGCGCAAAAGACCACCAAGATCGGCGTCGCCGGGTTCTGCTGGGGCGGTAAGTACACCGTGCAGCTGACGCAGCTCGGCGCCGGGCCGTTCGGCGCTCAGCCGCTCGTCGACTGCGGGTACACCGCGCACCCGAGCTTTCTGAGCCTGCCGGGGGACCTGGAGAAGGTGGTGTTGCCGCTGAGCGTGGCGAACGGAGACGACGACATGATGATGCCCAAGGCCAAGATGGCGCAGGCCAAGGAGCTGTTGGGCGAGAAGGAGAACTGCGAGATTGTCGAGTACCCGGGCGCCAAGCACGGGTTCGCCGTCAGGGGAGATCCGAATGACCAGAGCCAGGCGGAATATGGGAGGAGGGCCGAGGACCAGGCCGTGAGTTGGTTCCGGAGGTGGTTTGGGCAGGGCGCGGAAGAGTGAGAGGATGGTAATCTGAGAAGGGGGCCCTGAAGGCAGTAAATGTTTTGGCTTTCTAGGTCTGCACGTGTTGTGCTTCTCTCCTGAGGCAATTAGCTCGAACATCAAATTGGACGACTAACTCGCTATGACTGAATATCCATGGCGTAGGATCCTGTCCGATGCGACTGCAGTATTAATGTACACAAAGTTTGTGGGAAACAGCGGTAGGCTGTGAACTGTAATGGTTGTAATACACGCAAAGTTGAGAGGGTGCAATACGACGAACTACATAATGTGCAAAAACGGAACTACTGTGTGCAATTGAAGTAAAAATCAACACAACTCATCACCATGCAAGGAATGAAAACCGACGAGTGTTGCAATGAAAAAAGACAAAAATAAAGGTTCTCCCCTTCCAGAATCGAACTAGAGACCTTTCGATGACAATGTAACCATTACAGTCGAACGTGATGAACCAACTACACCAAGGGGAGATTAAGGCTAAGCCTTACTTGGTTGGATGCTTTGGTGCAATTATGCTATACAAACCATTCTGATGACTCACAAGTGGATCGACAGGGTTGAGATGTGCCGCTCGTACGCGGGTAACACTTTCCAACTGGTAGCCAAGTTCCAATAAGTGAGAACTCTCCACAAGGGTGGAAACAGTCATGAACCAGTGTACTAGCATTGAAGTGGTCACTATAGCGTCTGAGTTGAAGTGCGAGTGATGCATGATGTAAGGGATATTTAATATTGAAATCACATTGATTACTTCCTTTGCCCTACCAACTGATTGTGATTGATCATTAAAAAAAAGTCGAATCTCTACTACTTTCCAGCGAAGCTTCTGCACCCAATTCCTCTGGCCGCGTTATAGCCAGCTATTTCGACGCTGTTTGTCGCATGTGTAAGTGTCGGTCGCCTTACCCGAACCGCCCAGGGGCCAAGTTTACCTTGCCCCGCGTCAGAAACAGTCCCGTCGCATTTTCGAGATCTCCAGAATCAGTCTCATATTCGATTGGGCCATCCACTTGCTCCGAGTGAGAGAACCAACGCCAAGGGGAACGGCAAAGCTTGATTCGGTGAGAAAGGCCGCTCCCCCGGACCCGACACGCGCGGGTGGAGGGTGTAGTGTGGGGCCGACGCAAGGGGCGAGCTCCGATAAGCGATAAGCAATTGTAGGTAATCAGTGACGGAACCAATTGTCCTTTTTTTATTTATTTAATTAAAGTCGATTACCGTATCCTTGACACGCTCTTTACTCATTCGCCGCGACCACCCTGTTCACGATTCCGACCTCGACCCTCATTTACCTCTCCCTCTCTTTCTCTCTTTCCCTCAGCACCAACTTCTCATGCGATGAACCGCAGCACAACACTGCGCGCAATGCGCGTTCCGGCTTCGCGCCTTTGCGCAAGCTCCGTCCACTCAACCTTCCTCCTCTCCGCCATCGCGAAAACAGCGACCCCCTACCGCCGCCTGGCGAGCTCCGTCGCGACCGAACCCACCTCTCCTCCCTCGCCGCCCGTCCCGAGCGCAAAAGTCAACCCCCCCGCCTCGACGCGCCCGGCGCCCCTGGACCTCCCCGAGCGCAAGCCCGACTCCTCCAAGATTGGCCACCTCTTCCAGACGGGCAAGGCCTATATCAAGTTCTACAAGACGGGCCTCAAGGCCGTTTTCTCCAACCGGCGCCTGATACAAAACGTCATCACCGAAAAGAGCGCCTCCGTCGAGGGGTTCCGTTCGCCCTCCGTCTTCACGCCCGGCGTCATCCCCCAGGGGTTCTCGCGCGCTGACTGGATGCTCCTCTGGCGCGTGCGCCATGACATCCTCCGCGTCCCGCTCTTTGGTCTGGTCCTCCTTATTTGTGGGGAGTTCACCCCGCTCATCGTCATCTTCGTCGACGGTGTCGTGCCCTACACATGCCGCCTGCCGCAGCAGGTCGAGTCCAGCTTCAAGCAGGCCGAGGAGCGCCGTAAGACGTCGTTCCTCGAGTTTGAGAAGGCTGCGCCGCAGGGCGTCGCGTCAGGGACGGCACAGGCGGCGGCCAGGAAGCATGTGCTCCGCAGCCTGCACGTGCCGGGCATGATGTGGGAGAAGCTCGGCTTCTTCCCGCCGGGGCTATGGGCGACCAAGGGCCGGCTGCGGATGGCGTTCCTGGAGGGAGATGATCGACTTCTGGCGCGCGATGGCGGTGCTGCTGGGTTGGAGGAGCAGGAAGTGCGCACTGCGTGTATGGAGCGCGGCATCGATTGCATTGGGCGGGAGGATACAGAGTTGAGGCAGCTGCTTGACCAGTGGCTGCGTCTAGTTGATGCAGAGGAGACAGGTGAGCGGAGGAAACGCATGACGGTTATGTTGACCACAAGGTAAGAACCCTGCCCCGCACCACCTGTATCTTGCTAACAAACCCCTTTCCATAGGACTGAGAACTGGCCAAAGGACAGAGACTTTGAGCTCCCCATGTGGCACCTCTGATTCTCTAAGTACACTACCTAAAATTTGTACAATATCTTCGCCTGGCGGATGGCAACAACTTCCGGCGATTCCTTTGTTAGGCCTTACATGGTGGCAGGCGCCGGGCATGTATACTATTGCATTTTGCTGCGGTATGAGCAGACGGACGGGCACCAAAAAGCATATGGCGGGGCTCGGGGAAAAAGGACAGCGGCATGACTGCATATATATATCAACTCCGTTCCGGACAGAAAGTAACAAATGTCAAAACTTCCCTATCTAGACAACCGATTGAAGGCAAAACCAGCCACAGATGCCTGTCAATTCTAATTCATCCACCATGGTCAGGGTTGCGCTCATGGGTAACGCGGTCGACTCTGTTCATCTCTTCAAGGCCGTCTGGACCCTGGTCTTACATTCATAACACAGACTGGCTCCATTGACCCTCGTGATAGCCGCCTCATTGGCCACTAACGCCGCCATCTTCCTCTGGAACGCAATCGACGTCGCAACCACAAACTCGCTCGGTAACTGATATGCCAACCGTTCCCACGACCCCGGCGAGCAGTTCTTCACGAACAACTCCTTCAGCCTCTTCAGGAGCCCCTCAATGTCGTCGTCCCTGCGGTGCAGACCTTCGAGCGCGACGTAGCCATTGGCAAAGTTGAACACCCACCACTCGGCGCAGTGCGCATCGCCCAGCTTCATGGCGCCGACGTCGAGCGTCTCCCGGATGGCGGTTGAGACCTTGCCCAGCAGCAGGTCATCATGGAAACGGTCGCACAGAGACCACATGTCGACGAGCTCATTGAGATCGTACGGGGTTTGCATGTCGCAGGGCTTCAGGATAAAGGGGGAGACCTCGTACGAGTCCTCGGTGTTGTCGGCGGCGTTGCGACGGGAGCGCCTGACGCGCTGGGCAGTGAGGCGGGTAAAGTAGCATAGCTTGACATAGGTGCCCAGGGTGAGCGGGCTGATGCTCACATTGGCTTCGCCGTCGTCCGAGTCATCGTCGAGGTCGATCGTGTTGGTCTGGGACTCGGCGAAGGGGCCGTCGAGACAGCGCTGGAAGTACTTGGACGACTCGACCAGGAGCGACTTGTGGATCGCAAAGGACTGGTCAGAGGTTTTGAGCCAGATTATGGTCTGCGGTTGTCTGTGCCTTGGGGTCAGTGGTTATGCCTGGGATGAGATGAGATCTACAGCTGCTTGGACCGCAGTCATTGTGAAGGACTCGGGGCGCCAAGGGCCCAAAAACTCTCTCAATTGAGAGACAAACGGTGTTTAGGTAGTTACACCGATGTCGATGGTTGCATTAATCGCATCCAGCCCCTTTCCGACAAGAGGCACACGCCGAGCGTACAAAAACCCATAGAAACACATAAAGAATAACTAATAGTACGCAAACGACCGACTTGCAATGTACCTAGTGCAATCAAACATACCTCAAGAGACTCTGTACATCGCCAAGTTCTTCGGGTCTCGGTGCACCTCTGTCGAGTGTAGTGGTCATGGTGTAGTTCCTTTCTAGAGATGCCAGTAGTTTTTACACCGGATCGATGTGTGACATTGATGAGAGGGAGAGAAAAGTCTCTCCGATGGACAAGGGAAACACGGTAGACACCCCGCGTGGGATATGGCCTCGGTAGGAGCTTGTTCACTCGTCTGATGTGTACGCCCAATCGGCTCGATGGTCTTGACTCGATCATGCACGGGTGAAAGGATGAAGTTTGATTACAATTAGGCATCGTTGTGGAACTCTCACAAGAACTCTTCAATCCTTCCGCTGGTGAATGCTGGGCCTGAGCAATAATTTTTTCCCCTGATGAGTCCCATCGGTCGAAGGCTTGCGATTCAATTGCGTTGTCGCTAATCATAGCTCTTGAGACTTTCCATAAGTTGACGCAGAAAACGAATGATATCCATAATCCCTGTAATCCAAGCTTTGTCAACTGCGGCGTACCTCACTCAACATGTGGGTGACGGAAGAACAGGGGAGGTAAGCGAGTTTGTTACTCCCTCCTTTGCCCTCGTCTACGTATCTTCAATCATTACGAAGTATGTATTGCCTCATATATGTAGTTACAATCGTTGTAAAAGAACCTTGACCAGAATCGCAGAATGAGGGGCTTATATGGATTTTCATGTTAGTCGCGTTGCCAATTCGGTGTTGCTAGCCCATCCCTTGAAACCCAGCATCCGGGCACCACCGCATTCCGAGGCCCATCGGAGAGTCCTTTTGTTTACCCCCTGAGGCCCAAGACTATATTGTGTGTATAGGTTGTCTTTTGAATTTTCCCCCATCGCACCGTATCAATCTCAACATCCAGTGCCAAGAGATGCTGTCTCAGTCGTCTGGGCGGACCTCCGACATGGGTGGGTGGGTGTTCAAACACAAGGGCCGGTGGGACCATTGGTCTGGTTCTATAAGAAGGCTCGAGTTGTCGACATGGTTTTCCAATACCTTTCTTTTATAGCTTTCGTTTTTCTTTCGTCGTTGTAGCAGTCGAAAATTCTTGTAGCGTTTGGAATTGGGTTTTGGACTTGCAGTCATTTCCTCGCTTCTTTGACTCTTTGCTCTTTCACACTCCCCTCAATCCTATTGCCATGCTGTTGATACTACTTGTTTTTGTGGTAGTCATACTACTTACCAAACGGTACTCCAAACCTAGCAAGGTCCCGCCTTGTGATGGCCAGGACTTCCCGTCCTTTCTCAGAAATACGCCCGACTATGCAACCGACCCTGTTTCGCTCCTTCGCAGAGTGGGAGCGCAATGCGAGAACGCCTTCTCGATTCAACTCCCGATGGCCTACAATTATTTTCTTCGTAGCAACAGGCTCAACAAAGCCTATCTCAACATGCCAGAGAATGCTCGCTCATTCTGCCATGGAATGGTGAGCCCCCCAAATCATCTCAACCTAGTTTGAGACACCCGTGGAACATCTTGTCTTAACGCACGAACTCAAGGGCGCCTTTCTCAACAAGAATATGGATCCGGTATACATGGAGAACATTAGAATAATGGTTGGATCTTTCATCCAGTACATGGATCGAGCTGAGGCGCAGGAACACACCGTCAAATGCGCCACGGAAGAGACCCACAGTTGCGCTCTGGAGTGGACGACGAGAAGTGACGTCGAGCTGTTCACCGAAGTCTCCGAGCTGACGCATAATGTCACTGTGAAGACTCTGATGGGCGATGACTTTTACGAGTCGGGCAGCGAGCTCTTGAGCCTCATGCACGCGATGGAGCACGACATTGACAACTTTTGGTCATTGGTGCTTCCTGACTGGGTGCCTCATCCGTCAGCCCGACGTCTGCATCGTGCTCGCGAGCGTGTCAAGGAGATCTTCTGGGAAAGGCTCAGCCAACGACACGTAGCAGCCAAGAACGGCGACGTCAAGTCTGACTTGCCGGACTACATCACGTACATGTTGCACGACAGGAGCACGGCACCGCTGAAGCACTGCTTTGCTGCCCATCACGCTCTCCTGATGTTTGCTTCTGACACGTCGACCGCCGCCGTGACCTCGTGGGTTGTTGTTTGCGTATGTGTCCAAGGTTGCAAAATTGTCCCCTACCTCAGCTGACAACGATTTCGTAGCTTTTGCGCCATCCAGATGTCATGGCTGCCGTCAAGAGAGATGCTCGAAGCGGAGCAAGCGACTCGGTACTCCTACAGGCCTGTATCAAGGAGACGATGCGTTACTATAATGCAATGAAGTACTTCCGCCCTGCGTCCGTCGAACCGAAGGGCTCGATGAGTTCCGTATCCCTCTTTTTGAAGCATGACGACACCGCAAACTACCCAAACTCAGACACCTGGATGCCCGGACGCTGGCTCAACGCCGAAAACAAGCTGGTCGACCTTGCAGGAAGGGAAGAGGAGTCCAAGCCCATGATCCTCGGCGGCGGAAATTACCTATGCCCGGGCGAAAAGATGGCTACAATCATCGTCACCCAGACTCTGACGACTCTTCTTCGTTACTACGACATCATATGGGCGACCCTTGAGCAACCTCGAACTGTGCGTTTTGACGACCTTGACTTTGACAAGATCGGCTCGCCATGGCTGAAGGTGAGTAGACGAATTCTCAAATTTGTTGTTTTGTCGACGCTCCTTACTGATGATCCTCCAGGGCGGCCTGAAGGTGAAGGTTTCCAGGCGAGTGTGGCCAGAGTTGATGGGAGGATGCTAAGGGTATGCCACGCCTAGATGAGGTTTGCGGCCCAAGTGTGCTTGCATACCGTAAGCCCGGTCTGTACCGGAGTTTGGTGAACAGAGTCAACAACGCATGAATCATTCAGTAATAGTCGCATGTAAACCAAGTATTAATAACGAAGCCTAACGATTCCATACAAGAGAACGAACTCAATCACTATGCTGCGTGTATGGGAGGGTTCTTTTCAGAGAACGCCGTACGATGCGACACATCAGAGTAGCTCGGCCAAAAGTATTTCTACCAACTTCTGTGTCCGCTCCAAGAGTGAAGTAGCAACACAGCTAGCTACTAACCCTCGTCCAGCCCGTTACTTTGTTTTTCTGTCTTGGTCCTCTTCGTCTTTGCATAATTTTGGTGTTGAAAACATAAAGTAGACGGGAGGCTTTGCAGTATAAGTGGCAGAGATATCGGGATAAGGGGACAATCAGGACGACGGACAAGGACGGTAGCGACAAGAAACCCAGAAACAACCAAGGAGAAAGTAGTGGTAATATTTCAGCTGTCCCGGTATTATGTTGCCGTGCTGCGAGGGTAGAGGCAGGTTGTCGCTCAACCGAGTCGGCCGGTTTCCTCCGGCTGTGGCGACGTCGTGTAGGAATCCGTTAGCAATGTGCTGTCACCCGGCGACGTGGCTCGCTACGGGAGGACAATACACGTTTCCCCAATAGCAGCCAATCAGAACCAAGGCCATCGCGCAAAGAGGCAACTCCACGGCTCCGGACAGTAGGCTACAAGGCAGCACCACGCCGACAAAGAACACGAAATCAGGGACACCGAACTTTCAAAAGTGAGACTTTCAGGTTCTGGATTTCCTAGCAGGGGTTAAACAAGGTTTCCGGCAAAATGGAAGCTGGCCAAGCTTGCGGCGCGAGATGCTGAGGCCGGCCGGCGAAGCGGGGTGCGATCGGCCACAGTGGATACTCTTCGCATTCCGTCTATTTGCGCTCGTTGAGCCGCCCGCGATTGTCATACTGACAGGACCTATGATGGAAGGCAAGGTGATTTCACCAAAGAATGCAGCAAGAAAAGCAGTAAGCTCTCAGGATGGCTCAATTGCTTACCTGAGGATACTCGATATCCAAATAGTGCTGACCTGCGGCTCGGGTGCTTGATGAAGGACAGCATGATCCGTCAACTATTGCACTACTCCCAGCCTTTTTCAACAGGCTAGTGAAGAAGCAATGCATGGATGCTAATCATATTGGACGCTGAATGTATTTGTGATACAAACACTGCTGTACAATATAGCTGGTCTCAGTTGATACTAGGCTTGGTTTGAGAATCTTAATTCTCTGGTGGGAAGCACGCTTCTGGCAACGGATTAGAGGCTGAATGACCTCATGTAGTAATCGTAATCGTCCCTTCCTGTCCACCGAGAATGCCATGATAATACAGCCACTCAGCAACATCTCGCCTGGCGATGGTATGCCCAGGAGCCGAGTTCCCTATCTTGCCGATCCGTACCGCCTAGAGTCCGTAAGGCTGATTATAGGTGAGAAGGGTGGGTCGCACAACCAGGCAAGAGCTGAAGCAATGGTAATGGTGCCAAATGGCCTTCTCCATTGCAGATTTGTCGGCATCGGGAGACCGCATTTCCATACTCGAGACGGATTCTGTCTTGTTGTCATCCGTACTAGTTTGCGTGCCACTACTGCTGCTAGAGTCATCACTGCTTTCGTAACCGGTACTGCTGTCATGTTCTTCACTGCTAATAAATCTGTCGCAGCTGGACTGTGTGACAGTGCACTCACTGCTTGTGTCGCTGCTCGTGTCGCTATATATGCTGCCAGTCTCGATTAGATTGCGTTGATTTGCGTCAAAGCCGTCCTTTTTGCCCATGAACCACTCGTAAAGCGGCTTGATATTGGCTGCGAGTGGACTCCATGATCGATAGATCTGCCTGCTGATTGAAATGGTGCCTATGCTGACAAGGCGAGGCATTGTTTCCGCCCCAAACGTTCGGTAGCCCTTTTGGAGAGCGGCAACGAGCGTGAACATGGCTTCTTCAGAAACATAGGGGTTTTCCACAAATCCCTGTAAATCTGTAGTCTCATGGGTTCTGAAGCCTCCGATACCGTATATGATGATGTGGACGGGTTCTCCCTCGAGACCTTTTGGGAAAAGGACGTCGATAAGAGTTTCCATATCGTCCAAATCCCCTGCTATAATACGTAGGCGAGCGCTTTGCTTAGGAGACAACGCTCCTGAAGTTTCCAGCATTTTGTCTAAAAGCGATCTGTTTCTGACATCTGTGAAATCCTTTCGTGAGAATGGCTTCTGGGTAGAATGCTTTCGAAGCAGAAGTGTGGCGGGAGGCAAGACAGTACTTGAAGGTATTCCACAGCCAAGACATAGAGATTTCTCACTTACAAACATGGCAAACAAGAGAAGGATCATCTAGGGAATACCTCAAACACCTGAAGACCGTCAAACCAGTAGCGCCAAAGAAGGCGACATGGCGTACGAGTACTTTGAGGGTGTAATTCTCACCGGCAATCGCAGGTTTAGGCTGCGTGAGAGTACAATTGTAGCATTTATAGGACAAAGCGATGATGAAGAGACGTAGTGGTGGAAAAGCGAACCGGCGGATGATCTCGAGTTGATGGCATCCTAGGCGCCAGGTTTGTGACGCACCTGGAAGTCCTAGGATAGGGGCAAGATCTTGTGGGTTGACCATAGCGACAGGAAACGTGAACACGAGAAACACAGAACCTGGAAACGTGTGACGGCATAAGATGAAGACAGCGACTAGAGATGAAACCGTCAAGCGTGATACAGAATGAGCTGATGGCGGGGGGTGGAAGACAGTCGATAGGCGATTGATAGCAAAAAGTATCAACTTCGGTACATGGGTTGCGAACAAAGTACCCTCTCGAAGAACGGAAAGATGATTTGGATTATTGGCGGGAGGTAATGTTGCTGCGAAAGACCAGGCAAAGTAGGAATACAGGCGAGTAGAGTGTGTTGGCTTGCTCCCATTCTGTCACTCGAGTCGGAAGGAGTAGGCCACAGGTGCCGGTTGGTCGAGACAACGGGTCTGGTTGAGGTACTGACTGTCTGCCCCTTCCAAGTAGATTTGAGTAGTTAATAGGAACTAGTTTAGGCGTGTTTGATAAGAGGGTTCAGAGATTGGGTGGGCTGGAATAAAAGAGCAAGTGGAATCCATGTAATGTATGAGACGGAAGGAAGTAATGCCTGCCTAGCCTTGTGTTGGAAGGCATTCGAGATACAAGGCAACCAACTGCGAACACAAGTTCTCCATCTTTCCTTCCGTACCGATTCAAACCGGGTTCCAATTACGGTAAGTTACGAGGACTAAAGACACCTTAGACATTGTTCATGGATGGAGATGAAGAACAGAAGAGACATCGAGTTTAAGAGTTGATTTCCCTTGTAGGCGGTATACCTTGAGTGGCAGACCTGACGATCTCTTAAGGTTCAAGGACTTCGGATCACTGTAAATCCGTCCTGGACTGGTTTAAATCGACTTTCATCATGGCGGTGCTCCGTATGAGACGCAAAGAGTGATCCGGCATGCTGAGATGAGCTTGAACACTTACACGCGATGACAGTGACTTACACGCGAACTTTCTCCACAATCGGGATGCCATCTTTCAGTTTACTGCCTCATAGACTCATCTCGCTTGATTTTAATATGGGACCGAATCATGAGTTGTCATTCTAGGGGTCACTTGGACTGACGTGTGGGCATGTCGTGAACTTATTAGGCTTCGCGCTCGTATCGCAGAAGACACGTGGCCCACGCAGCAGCGGATCACAACAAGCCCAATATCCGCTACCACAAGAGCATTCAAAAGGACATGACTGTTCCAGAATTTTTGCAGAATCTTCGCGGACTTCAAGCAGGAACAAAGCGCGGCGAGGTGGTTTTGCTGTATGAGCGACTTGGATACGTGAAGAAAGGCCGTACCAGAACGCGGTCCGAAGCGTTGTGGTCAAGGGGTACGTAGAGACAAGACAAATGTATTTTTCGTTAGCACTGGCATACAGCTTGCGCTGAGACCTTGATAACTGAAGAACCAATAGATCGTGACCATGTGAGAGTATGCTGAGTTTGTGATCGATTCGCCATGAGGGTGATGGGGCGAGAGAAATCGTATTCTAAAGTGCATTGTCCGATGCAAAAATTGAGAGAATGAAAGTACGTACCTAGACTATTCAGGGGTTGCATGGTGGGGGTGGGGTCGGTGTGTCGGTGAGCGATAAGCTTGTGACCCACTGAAATTTTCTCTGGCCCAGTGCTTGCGGCGGCCCAAGAGCGCTTGAACTTTGCCTTTTCACTCTTTCTCGACGTCGCCCGGATCATTTGCTTCGAGGCCAAAAACGCACCACACAACCTCCCGACAAGCTGCGAAAACAGAACTGAACGCAGATAATCGTCTTCAAATTCTAAACATCGAGCGGTGTTCTTTTACTACTGCGACGCAGACCCCTCTGTTCTCACGAGGCGCCGACCGCCGACGGCCTACGAGTCTCGCACTCGACCGACCAAATCCCAAGCGAAACCCGCGCACCGAACCCAAACACACCCACACTCACAAATATGGCTCAAGGAGGCGTGAAATCCTCCTCGCGCCCTGCGCCGACGGGCAAGCCCAAGCAGAAGTCGACCAAGAACGCCTCGCGTGTGGCGAAGCCGCAAAAGGCCAAGGCCCACGGCTCCGCGGACAAGATGCAGAAGAAGCTCGCCGCTGGCCTCGTGGGACGGACGGAGAAGCTCCTCGGTGAGCGCGCGGGTCATTTGGAACTCATCGGTAAGGGCAAGAAGGCGAAGGGTGCCAAGGACGAGAAGACGCACAAGGGCGGCAGCCGCAAGTTTGGCTAAGCCCTGCTCTGTCTTTTTGGTGGGAGAATGTTATGATGTGTATGGCATAGCTTGAAGGAACGCCGCGTTTGTTGTAGCAGAGAGGGCTACTGGGCACGATTCGGTGAAGGGCGATGCGTTAGGGAGCCATCTCTATGCTGCTCGAGCCTCCGACTGGCAAGGACGAGGCTGGAAATCACAAGAAGCACATCCGAGGCTGCGATGAAGCGTCTCACAGCCAAGGCAGTGCTGAAATACCACTAGCCTGCATGGGATTGCGATGTCCGAGGGTGTTTGACGACTAGATACCCCAAAACAATCGAAAAGCATGTTTTTTTTTGTTTTAAGCACATACACGTGATGGTTTGGGGGACCGCCCTTTGAAAGTCGGAATCTCAAGGCTAAGAAAGAAGCGATTAGGCTATGATTGGGGCATGCGGGATGACTGCTCAGTACCACGCCTCAGGGTTTGATGTGCCAGAGACAGTTAGGTATCGAACCACCCAGTGAACACTGCTTGGGTCGGAACTGCAGAACCTAGCAGGGGAAGCTTGTGACCGTCACCTTTGAGTGCGGAGGCCCCTAGTGCGATGTTCAGATCGAAGCCTTGAGGAAGTACTTCGCGCGTTTCGAGAAAGGACCCCATGGAATGACAGGGGGGCGGGCAAGCAGTTGTGTCATTCAGACCCCTCTGTGGGATCCATGACAGGCTCATATTGAGACACGGTCCAAAGCTTGATTTGTCACCAAGCTTTGCACTTACATGAATGAGAAGATAGAATAATATGTCATTCTTCCATCATATGCTATACGCCGGACAATCAGATGTTCCGCAGCTAACACAACCTCCTCAGCGCCTCGGATCTACGGCTAGTCTCCTTCGTTTTAACGGGCATTTCGTCTCTTATGTGTGTACGGTTCGGTTCACACGTCTTTACCTTGTTGCATCGAACAATGGTTCTCTCCATAGCAGACTGGTGCATATGCGTCTTTCGATTTCTGTGACTTCTTTTCTTGGCGTATTGTAGATGCCGGCAATGGCGCAGATGAAGCGGAAGCGAAAAGCGTTTTAGCAGATCCGAAACCTGGACAGCAAGCTGAGCGCGCTCACCTCAAGATGAATGGCTGTCGAGGAATGATAAGTCTCGTATTATGTCCGAGAGAAACGCATGTCAAGGATGACCCCAAATATTGAGAGCCTGTGCCGAGACGTGGTTCATGGGCTAAAAATGAATTAATCACCTGACCATAGAATACAGCGCCCAGAAAGAACTATTGGCCTCATCCAACTAGTCCTACTTTGGCTGTCTCTGATGGACTTGGAACTCAATAGAAGAATATGCTGAAGCATTGAACGAAGGCGAGTCATCTTGTCAATGAGCCGTAGCACAGAAGGAAGCACATCCGCAGTACCATACCTCGGTATGACGCAAACTGAACTACGCGAGGATTGTAATCTGATACATATGTAGATCATACGATGACAGTGTGCGCATCCAAGAACAATCGCATGACTAGTGCTCCATGGAAACAAAACATAATAGAGCTGGTAATATAGACAGGGTCCTGTGGCGGCAGGGGCGAGGGCGGACACGAATGAGGTATTAGAGAACGTTGCAGATCGTTCAGAGTGATCTCTAAGGATCCTTTTGCTTCAGGTGTCGGGTGGCTCCCCACGGATTCGCTGGGTCCGGGGGGCCTCTCGGACGTCCATGTGCTCCGTGTCCACTAAGGTCCGTCCGAGAGCACTGGCGAAAGAGTAGACAAGGCCTACAACGGAGTTCGGTTGTCGGAAACGTCGGGAGAGGGACCTTTTGGTGAAACCAGCATGACAAAACGAATTTATGGGACTTAAAGTAGTGGAAATCGGGCAGAAGGAGGATACTCTCAGAAGATAGCTACAGGCACAAACCAACGATCCAACAAGAGCTGTTTTCGAACGCTTGCTCTGTTATATCTGCCAAGGGACGGTGAAATAGCTAATGCACTTAGACAAAGGCGTTTTATGAATTTATTTGGACAGGAGAGCATTATGAATAGTGTTGTTCACTATTGTTACATGGCTGTACAGGAAACACATGTCAGAAGGGCTGTATATGCTCACGGACGCCCCTTTGTTTATGGTACCATCACGCCAGACCGCATCCTGTTTCCATGTGGCATGTTCGAGATGTGAAGAATCGCCAAGCGAACATAAGTTGACTAAAAGCAAAATCACGTTCAGTGTGGAAAAGGCGGGCGAGCCAAACGAGCGTTTCCATATATTCATCATGCCTCACGGTATGTATATATCCTTAAAAATACACAACAAAGGAACAAAATTTTGTGCAAATACCTCCAATGCCTTCCTTCAGTAAATGACAGTCACCCTCTTCCGCCGGCGGGCAGGATCCTGTTGTTGCACACCCATCAGCGGCGGACCAGGTATGGTGTACTCGAGGTTATCCTTGTAGATGTTGAACATGATGCCCGCGTCGTTGGACTTGTACAGCTCTGTCGCCTTGATGCCGGGGGGCTTCTCGGACCCGCCGCCTTGGACGTCGAGGTTGACGCATTGCGGATAGTTTTGCGCGCCACCCTCGCGGCCCGCTTCGTGAAGCGCGATGGTCTCATGGCGGAGGACGTACTGGCCCGGGGCGATGTTGGCCGGGATCGTCATGGTCCAGGACTTGTTGTTCGCGAGCATTTCATCGGAGCCCCACTTCCCCGGCGCCTTGGAGCCGTCCAAGAGCCCGACAGCGTCGATCTTAAAGAACTCTAGGTCCGCTTTGTTAACCTTGGCGCAATCGCCATTGCAAGAAGCGAGGTAGTCCATCATCGGCCCATGATGCGATTCGGGCCAATCAGTCCAGAAAACGGTCAGGTTGGAGCCTGCCGTCACCTTGGCGGCGATGGGCGCCGGTTCCGCACCGACGTGGCAAATAATGTCTGGAGCTGCGTACTTGTCGACGGCGACGAAGCCGTTGGACAGGTCCTGGGGAATGGACCATCCTACAACTTGTGGTGAGGGCTTCTGGTATTGCATCTGCGGACTGTAACCTTCATAGCTGGGGGACTGTTAGCTTAGTGATCACGAAATACGAGAGTGGGACAATGGGTTCAGGCTTACAAGACTCCATCTGCCATAACACCATTTACCGTGCCATGAGCACTGACGGCCTGGAATACAGCTGAAGCTAAGACGGTGTATTTGAAGGCAGACATCGTGAGAGCCTCCGCGTTAGACTGTTCGATTATGGCGTGATGGTAGTTTCGGCGAAATAACGACTGGTGTAATTCAGAGAGAAAAAATCCAGTTACTGCTCAAGGATCGTCTGCGTTTATGTATATTTTCGTTGTGAAAATTGAGCGACTGTGGCTTACAAAGGAGTGTAATAGTCGACCAGCGCACTACAGTATTATCAAGGAATGTGTAATATTGCTTTACGAATGGACGTCCAGTATAAGAAGTCCTTGGGATGGTGGTTATTATAGACTACCAGGCCGCAGACGAACGTCACGGCTGAAAAGTCTCCCGGCATGCTTCCTCCATCCAAACAAAGCCTTCACCCCGACCACCATGCGCTGATGTTTGGGACCACACACAGCACGGAGAAGGTGTAAAACATCGGACACAGAGAGTATACGATGACCCTAACTAACCGGCCAGAATCTAGAATATGATTGGCAAGCATCGGATCTTCGCCATCTAGGACGCTGGTTCACGGTATCACTTGGTCATGTCTCTGTTTCAAGACTAGGGTAAACCATTGTTTGAATCGGCCTTGCTTCTCGCAAAGCGTCCGTGCTGGCACCCTTCTCAGCCTCATAGAGTTATCTTCCGACGACTCTTCACGCTTTTCTTGTGTGTTGTTGTTTGGGAAGGTTTGTTCCAAGACCAGACAGCATGGCCATCCTGGTCAGAGTCTGGATGATGACCTCGCGAGTTGACTCTTCAGAGTCATCAGCTTCGTCTCAACAATTTCCTGATCTGGCATGGGCCTCGGCTTCGCATCCAGGCCCTCGGCGACGTTTTCATGCCGCAGTCTTGTATTTGCTGAACTGCTTGCTATACGGCCAAAGGGTGCGACGGTTTCATCCTTCCAGAGTGTTCGTCTCCTCGCTCAGCGCCGCACAAGCCCGCATGACGTGCTTCCGCATCAGAACTTTGGTGTTTTCTCCATTTCTCCCAATAATGTCCTGGGAATGCTCAGCATACTTCGCGTTTGATGAGTTGACAGAGGTGAAAACAGGTACTGAGTGCTTCGTTTGCGAGCGGGCGTTCGCCAAGACGAGTCCTTGAGAAGCCAAATTGCTGTCCCTCAATCTATTTGAAATATGCGCCAGGGGAATGCTTTGATGACGGACAAATGTCGAGCGTATTTCAGTTGGAGATACTCATTGTTCTTACGATTGGCAAACTATGTCCATCTACAGACTTCGCCAAATGTTCATCAATGATTCCATTTCCCTTGGTGCTGATTCAGGTGCCGCCATGCGGAACTTTGCCGCAGGCGAATGCATTTTGATATCCAGCCCTCATAACTCCATAACACCACTGACCAATGTCGAAAGCAAAGTGCCAGGCCGTAGCGGTAAGCCAACCATCCGAAAGTAAATTTATCCCATTTTACAACAACTCAAAGTCGTCCAGCTTGTCGCGATACTTCATGATGTTCCGCTTGACCTTGCTGCCCACGGTCCATGTGACAAAGTCCTCCATGCTGCGGGTTACCAAGAAAGCCGGATCGACGCACGTTTCCGTACCGACACGCACGTGTCCCTGTTCAATGAGCTTCGTGGCTGCCTGTACGGTTTCGGCCATGCTGCGAACTCAGTCAGCATCGTGATTGCAGGGAGAAGCAAGTTGTGAATAGCGTAATTCATACCGCAGGCGAGTCATGACAACTGGGAGACGCCGTCTTGCGAACGCGCTGACCGTGACATTGTGCTCGACGGCCGACAGCTTCGAGGCCGTGGACAGAATACCCATATCGTACAGCTTGTCGAGAAGGAGCTTCTCGTGCTTTCGGCGGGCCGCGTTTTCCGGGGGCATGAGACTGATTCTGTGTGCAAGTTGACGAATAGACTGCGCGCCTGTGTCAGTTCCTATGTAGGTGTATATTCGACCGTGGTATGTGCTCGATTCGAATCGGTGGCTGCCAAACTTACGCCGCATAGTCTGTTGTATTTATGCTGTTCACCTCAATTAGTATACCTTTGCGAGGCAGGAGTCGGTCACAATACTCACATAATCTTCAGGCTTTTGGATCATGTATCTCCGCACCTATATACACGTTAGAACTTATTGCGACACTTGTCTCTTCTGGAACTGGTCGTACCACTGAGGCATCACGGTGATCGCCATCCTAGCAAAATCATTGTTAGCACATTTGCCCCGGCTTGGTGTACTGCGCAAGCGGCGAGGGCCTCGGTACCTGTTTATACGTGATAAAGTCATGCTTCCGCAGAAGCTTCTGCTCGTGATACTTGAGTTTGCGGACCATGTTGGGCTTTCGGCGTCGCAAATTCCCAGTTCGATATGGTGGATGTCAACGGTGTCGGGTTGTCTGGGAAAGAAAAGTTCTGGAGCTGAGGCGGGACAAAATCCTTATCGGGGGTCTTATCGCAAAAATGGGGCGGAAGGTTCCGTCGGCCTACCAAAGAATTTCCGTGACAGCTTCAACCTTCGCGACCGACCACGCCTCGTTTGGAGACCCGACCAAAAGCTCATAAACCAGCCATGCCTCCCAGATTACCGTTTCTCTCGGCCGCCAAGGCCCCGAGTGCCTTCATGGCCCGGATTGCACGACCTTTCTCGTCGACTCCCGTCGTCACCCGTACGCCAATGCTTCCCATCACCTCCCTAGTCCCAGTGATCCATAGCTAACGGCGCCCGTTGCAGAGCCCTCTGACCCGATCTCGAATCTCCTGAACCTCGACGAAAAGCCCCAGGTGCACTCGGCTGACCGCATCCGTGGCATCATCAACAAGAGCGGCAAAGCGCGCATGGAGGGAGTTGCCGCGCGCAAGCGCACCATGCTTGAGTCTCTCCGCGAGAAGAAGATCAGCGACGACTACATTAAGCAAATGCCGCGCCGCTGGCGCGCCGGTGAAGTCTACGCACCGCACGACCTGAGCCCCGTTGAGATGGAGAAGTGGCGCAAGTCGAAGCGACCCAATGTCGATGTGATTGATCTCCTGGGCATCAACCCTCTGGATCACTACAGAGTACGTATCACTGGTCAACAGCATAGTCCACAATTCTGACGACGATTTACAGAATTTCTCCATGATATCCGAGTATATGACTTCGTTCGGACAGATTGAGCACTCCAAGAACACGGGACTGCGGCCAGTGAACCAGCGAAGGATTGCCAAGGCCATCAGGAGAGCGATTGGCATGGGTATCCACCCTAGTGTGCACCATCATCCCGAGCTGTTGAGAAAGAGATTCCGTCTTAACGCGTCATGGAAGTAGAGTCGGATAACGTAAAGGCTTGCAAGGCTAGTGGGGTATGTCTACGGATATGGGGATAATTACCCGTGTATGAATTGTACAACATCTTGGCGTCTATTATAAATGTACAGATACAAGAAGCTTCTCTAGCATTTTTTTGTACACATCATGCCTTCAGCACCCGCTGCAGCTTGAACTTCTTTAACTTCTCCGCCGTATGGTAGTAGCGGAATCTCTCCACCTCTGCCCACTCTTCCGGGAACTGCTTCTTAGCCCATGCCTCGAAGTCACGCTGTAGCCTCTGGCCGGGCAAAGCATTGAAAGGGATGCCCAATCTTTTGAAAATTAGCTTCATGACTGACAAAGGTATAGGAAGGGGCTTTACTCACGTCATTGCATCAGGCCCATAACCTACAGCTCGCTTCATGGTTCTGATTGTGCTCTGCACCTCCTGCAAGTTGCCGTTGCCTGCGAGGCCTCCACAGTATGCAGCGAATACCGCTGGAGGGATGTCGATCTCCATCTTTTCAATCTTCTTCCAGATGTCTCGGGCCATCTGGTCGCCAAAGGCTTTGATTTCGCAAAGGTAAAACACAATCTCGAGACTGTTATAGGACGGGCCTTCTGCCGATCGAACAATGTCTTGCCAAAACTCAAGTCCAAGACTTGGCTTTTGGCATGCTCCGTATGCAATCATCAATGCATTAAACAGCTTGGTGCTTGGTTGAATCTTAGTATCCATCTTCAACATGTTGTGAACCAGCTTCAGGCTGTCCAGATCAGGACAGCGGCCCATGCCCTCAAGGCATTGCACATATTCGTCGCTGGTGGGGTGGAATGTTGGGTTAACATGCTGACGCATGTGGCCGAAGACGTGAACTGCCATATCGGCTCGATTACGGTCGAAGAAGGCGTTCATGAGCTTGACACGGCTCTCAACACTGGTTTCCAAGAAGAATTGCCGCAAGATGGAATAAGCGTCCCAAACTCTTGCAGTGCTGTTCTTCCTGTCTAAACAGTACGCCACAAAGGCGTCTCTGACAGATCGTCGTTGTTCGTTGCTGTGTTGGAACACGTTGAGAGACAAGGTGTCGATGATCTCGAACTGTTGGTCGTTTTTGAGAAAAACTGTGCATAACGCAACCACTGTCTCGGGATCCAGTGTCACGATACGGTCCTCTAGAATATCCAACATCTCGCGTATCGCTTTGAAGTCTACTTTTGTTTGGTAGCACAACGCCTGGAGGTATTTGTTGATCAGAGGCAGATCATCCTCTCCGTTGAGCTCCGTCTTTGGGAGCTGCATATATGCCGTCCTTGCCCCAGCCAAATCTTTGGCCCGGATCTTGAAGTCCATCTGAAGAAGATAAGTCTTTGCATCAGGTCGGATGCCGAGCTCGCTGGAGAACGAAACGAGCCTATCCGCCAGGTACGGGTCGTTTTTCTCGATCGCAACCTCCAGGAGACCGTTGATGGTTTGTGTATCTGGCAGATAAGAGCTGTCATCCGGGTTGTGGCGAGCAACAACCTCGAACATGCCTTTGATATCATCGAGGCCCTTTCCCATCGATAGTACCGCCCACTGATAGATAACGTCCCAGTGCTCTTTGCTCGGATTCGCGTCGACAAGCCGTTTGAAGATCGGCGCAGTCCATCCACGTTGGTTGTTCCTGACTGAGAAGTGCAAAATCTCCTTGAATGCCCTAGGGCTCGGCTGTTTGTCGTTCGGAGCGGGTTTCAAAAACCACTTTTTCGTTTCCAAAACGTTGTCCTTCTTCGCATAGAATGTTGTCATGACCTCGTGAAAGCTTGACATGAAAGGCACACCGAGCTCTTCAGCCTTTGTGACAGCGGCGACTAGCTCTGTTTCGCGCCCTTCTTCCGCCAGACCTTGCAAGACATTGACCCAAAGGTTCTGGCCATCCAATCGCTCCGCCTTTGATAGCCGGGTCCAGTGTTCCTGCAGAGTAGAAAAAGCTTCGGTTGATGCGCCGAACAACGTCAGAGCGACGAGATATGATTCGAAGTCTTCCGCGGCACCAGGATCCGTCGGATCCAATGCCCTTTCCGCCTTAATCACATCGTATAAGAGCCTGGAGAACTCCAAGTGGTCTTTGGTATCTTCCTTTGGTAACTTTAACAGCGCATCCCTGACAGCTGTTAAATCCGTCAATGTCAACCCTGGTCCTGGTTCGTCATCCTTGTTTTCAACCAGATACTTCAACAGGTTTCGGCAGTGCAATGCTTGGGTGCTGTTAACGACAATGTTGTAGCGCAATTTGTAGACGAACAGGTCCCGAAACGCCTCGACCAGTTCTGTTCTCGTCGGCGGTCGTACGCTTTCCAAGAGGCGATTCCTCCACGTCAGGATTGCCGTCCACCCAGGCTCATACTCTGGCTTCTTGACCTGTCTCGGGGGCTTCTGCAGGATACCGAAGAACGTGCGGCGCGGGGCTCGTCGGGATAAGGACATCGTCGATGCTACCGGGAACTGAGTATGACGACACCCTGGTCTGGAGAGGATCGAGCACGCGGGGGCGCATCCCTTTGGAACGAAGACCCGTCGGTAGGCATGGCGGGCTATTTGCGCCCTCATGGTGTGGGTTCAGTGCTTCGATTGACGGGTTCTGTGAGATCAATTAGCTGCGTCAATCGCAGTAGTGAAGCTTCCAAAGGACGTACCTGGGCATTTCCAGACCAATCTAGAGTATGTGCGGCATGTGGTGAAGCTCAATGCCGGCTACCAAAGCTCTTGAAGATTTGCGATTTAGATTTGGGGATACTAAAGCTTTCGGGACTGGGAAAGCGTAGTAGCTGCCACCAAGATGCGACCCGCGTTAAGAAATTGCCGTAGATTAACCGATATTAGTCATCCAATCGTGCTGCGCGGCACCCCCGGCGACAGCTGTGTCTGTTGCCTTTTTATTCTCACACACGTTTCCAGCTTCACGACTTGAAGTAGAGATTGATTGATATAGTGGTATTTATGAAAAATCCTTTAATCGGCTCCGATAATCCGCCATTCAGATCTCCAAAGTGATGCAGCTGACCATAGGGTTCAAAACAACTACCTACACTACTTTACAACATTAAGATCAGTGCCTGATGGCTTCATGAAAAATGCAGGACGGATTGTTCATGAAGAAACAGAGTAGTTGATTCAAAAAGAAGCTCGTAGGTTTCTTTTTCCACAGTTCAAACGTTGTCTTGGAGACTTGCGAATCGAAACAACCGATATTCATAGGTTGACTCAAGACAACAGCGATACTTAGACTCAATCCAAGCTGCCTGGCAAATACATGCGCTGGTTACCATCTAGCAGCCTCGATATGCTGCGTCATGATTGAGACGTCATACCATTTTTTTTCTCGCTTTGCTTCAGGTTGGGATGACAACGTGGAATAGTACGGCCATCAGAATGTCAAGCGACCCGAGTGGGATCTCGATGCTGAACCGGAACACTCTAGACGAGCCGGAGGGTTACCTCCTGAGTGCCAGACTCTGGAGACATCAGGCATGACTGAAGTTCCATCTGAAGCCGTTTTGTGTCCAGAATTGGCAATCAAATGTCAAGTCGTCCTTTTCTCGGCCTCAACCGTAAGTTGCATGAAGCAAAGACACGCTCAGACCCGCGATGAAGTCAGTGCGGAGACCTGAGCAATTGCCAATATGACATAGAAGTGAATCATTCAAGGGAATAGTTGGGAGGCAGAAATGATTACAGCAACCTCTTTCAGCTTCTTATGAAAGGCAGCTGCACTTCGTGTGCGTTGGTTTCAGGAACAACAATTAACAAATAGAGTGAGCAAATCTGTGGAGGCGTTTATCTTGAGGTGAGTACCTTGCAGTAGGAACTCTATCACGATTATCTTTACTAATCTAAAGTAGATCTAAAAGTACCATCCGACCAGCCGTTGCTATATTGTTCCAGAGAACGCCCCATTATAGCTTGCAAAAGAGTTCCGACAAGTTGGCAGCATCCGGGACATCAACACTACATTGCTTTTACTTAGTGACGGCGTTTCTCTTAGTCATATGTCCGGCCACATGCCCAAATCCTATCCCGACTACGACGGCGTTATGAAATCGCAAACAAAGACACAACAACAGCTGAAGCGGAAATCTGGAAACCAAAATCCCCAGTGCTACTTTTGCTGCTGCTGGTGTTGTTGGCTAGTCCTTACATTGGTCGTGCTAACATGCGGTCTCGTTTCTCTGTTGTTCACTTCGCTTCCCTTGCCGGATCCTGTACACACGATCATGTAGACCATGATGATCAAAGTTGTCTTGACTGATTACCCATCTTTTGACCTCTCATGGTCACCTTTACTCTTAGGGTTTCCTGGGATCCTGGCACCGGCTTGTCGACGGCGCACACAGTCTCTGGTAATATGTCAACAACTAGAGCTTCGAAGAGGATACGAGGTGTTGGTCAACCGAGTCCAAGTTGAGAAGCCTGTTCATCCATTACCTTCCACATCTTGTCCCAATCTCTTGCCGCCTTCCATGGACGCAGAACCAAGTACCCCGAATATCCACCGTCGACATCGCTTCTCAACCCGCTCGGTCTCTCAGCGCCACAGACGGTTGCCTCGAGGCGACAGCTCAGTCGAATCCATGCATGGATTAAGAAGACTCCCATCCGCGGCTAGCGATAAGCTTTCTTTTTGCCCCAAGTGGCTCACGGCCATGGTGCCTCCGATGTAACCTGTTGTCTATCCCCGAGCTTGGAACCAGTGTCTTCGATACGCAGTTGTCGCATGGGCCACAATTTGTTGACTTGGTCGTTCTTCCATCCATTGGGACCTTGGTCCTCTTTCAAGAAAATCCTCCAAGACTGGGTACTGATGGTCTGATGCTTTCCGTCGCTGCGAATCTCGAAATCCGGGTTCCCGTTCTCGAGAAGTTCTCAACCGTCTAGACACGGCTTTGGTGTCCCATCTCTTCACTTTGGCTCTTTCTTCCTTCCAATCATTTGGCCTTTGTCTCCCTGTCCCTGGCTCGAATCTGCATAGATATGGAGCGTCGATGTTGTCGTCCTTTCCACAAGCACCATCTCGACTCTTTCATCATTCATCTTGCGACACCTGTAGCGCCGATACCACCAGGCCACCATATCTTTGGCGTCCTCGTTTTCTTCGGCTCGAGTTTTGTCGTTGATGAGTCGTCCTTTTCCTTTACCCTGAAGTCCTGTTCGTCTTCATCTTTCCGAAGCGATGTCCAGGCGTATCTTGTCGTCCCACTCTGACAGCCTCATCCCTGAGCCTTTCCTGCCTAAGCTGTTGTCCGAACCATCGTCATGGAGTTGTCGGTTGCTGGTGTCGGTGATGTCTCGTCGACTGACGTAGGCGTTTCCATGCACAACGTATACGAACCATTCGAGGCCCATCACACCCACACAATCTTAATGTGTTAGATGTGTCCCCAAAGGGTGTCGACCCGCAACTCATCGACGTTGCATATGTTGACATCGGCAGAAGTCGCGTGGCGTGATACATCAACCTCGAAGTGATTACGATGAGGGGGGAGAACCGGTGGCTATATAGACGGCAATGGAAGTTTTGGCTAGGCGAACAGACTGGGGTAGACAGCGAGGGACAAGAAGCTAGGATGCCGGGGTGTTGTACAAGATCCATACCCTCCGGACGATCTTATCCCATCATCGCCTAACCTGCTACCGCCATCCGATATAACGATGGCTCCAGCTAGTGTTGTATATCCCTCACCCTCGGTCAACAAGAAGTTGTCCGATAACCGAGGAGACCGGACAAGCGAAAAGAAGGAATGGGGTGATGGGGAAACCTGCAGAGGGAGGGCTAAGAAGAGACGAAGAGATCACCGACTCACCGCAATATAGTCCTGTACGATTCCTTTACACCCCCGGAACCATGTTATCCTTCTCTAGTTCTTTCCCCTCACTTGACGGAGTTGCTAGCGACTAAACTTGGTTCCAAACTTGCGTTGGCTCTAGCTCCGCCTCTCCTACCCCTCTTCTCATTCCTGCTTCTCTTTTATTTGTCCGGACGCATATCATCTTAGTTGCTTGCTTGATTTCCTCTCCTTTCACTTGTCGTCCGCCTCTAGTCCACGCGGCATCCCTGATCACGGGAGTTAGAGGTCAGATTCTGTATGGCTGGATGAATATGGTTGATCCATCTGGTCGACGGGCATTGAAGAGGGTGTGGGCGAATGGCTCCTGAGGCGTTCATGTCTGCGTTTCAGACCTGCAAGTGCAGCTCACGGCGACTGGCTGTCGTCGACTTTCGGCGCACCCTCCATGTTGACCCCATAGGACGGCGGCCAGCTCCGCTCCGTATTTTTCTTCTGTTTCCGGCCGGGTTGAATTCCTATCCAGTGACAGGTCTCAGGTTGACGTCGAGTCTGCGTAAGGCTTGTTCAAGGTTGGTGAAGTGCAAAGTGAAGCCTGGGCTATGTAGGGATGGATTGACCGAAAAGGAGAGAAGATGAGATACGTAAAAAAGAGACGGAGAGTAGCAAGAAACATGGGGGTATACCGAGAAACAGAATGAGGGAGAAGGTAACGGGCTAAGTCCAGCGCTGCCATCCAAACATCGTCCTGTTGTCGGTGATTCGGGGAACAATGATCGACGGTTGACTTCCCGTCCGTGCGTTGACGTTACGCTCCTTCACGCTTACACGATGGGTTAGGAGAGAAATACTCGGGTACGGACTTCACTTGATATCACCGAGTCGACGAAACAACCGGACCACGCCAAGCACGCAGCTACCGGACGAAGTAAGGGAAGGATTAACGCCAAATTCGTATGGGAATACGACAAGCCGACTCGTTTACTCTACCGGGATCATCACAAGACGAACCCGGTTGTCGACCATCAGAGGCGATGTCCGGTTGCTCCAACTTGCATGTTGACTGAAGTCAAAAGAGAGACAGAGTGTGTGAGAAAGATTCGAGAGGCTGCGGCTAACCGCCGTGGTGACCTGCACGCGCGTGGCACGACACGCGCAACTCCGGAACGCCCAGCTGGTATTTGCTTCTCTCCAGCCGTACAGCCCAACATTTTCCCTCTTTGGCTCTTTTGTCCCCGCCGGGCATCCCCGTGATGGCATTGTCTTTGCCTCATTAGGAGATAGAAGGCAGGAACGAGGCTGACAAACAACGCAAGGCAGGGGGAGTTGAGATGACTAACTCGGTGACCGGGGGGGGTTGGGGTTGAAGCAGACAAGATCGTCCGGCGACTCGCACAGCAATACTCAACGGATCGTGATCCCGGAAGGTGTGTGAGGCATATCAAAGACGCTGCGCCCAAAAGGGCGAGAATGCAACGGAAAGACGGTTATTAGCAATGCGAGACCCGGTCAACTCGGGCACGAATGCTCAAGGCAAGACCGTTTTGCGGACTTGGCCAGATCTAGACACACGTTGGGGGAGTGGTTGTTGTTGTTGCAATGTCCGGACAAGAAGCTGATCAACTACTACAGCGACCCAGGTTG